ATAATCTCTACAGCTCTGATGATAACATTTTCACTCTGATATTTCTTATCAGTTGATAGCTTTACTGCTTTTCTTTTTAATTTTCGCATAATTCGTGTGCATTGAATAATTTGAATAAATATCGCTAATATAAATTTTTTAATTTTAGTCAAAGTAGTAAAGTTAAATTTTATAACATTGTTAAAAATTTTAAATTATTCATCGATTATTGCATTTCTAATTTTGAACATTAATTAATCATTCTTTTATTTATTCAATTCTTTTTCTTTCATTAAGTTAAGTTAAGTTTATCTGCAAACTTTTATTAAATTGTTTTAGTTAAATTTACCTGTAAAGTTTTATTACTAAAAATATCATTTAGTGATTTCTTCTTTGCTTTAACAGTTTCTCTCATCCATCATTTTTGCATATATATATATAGCTAATTTATATTATCACCATATCGATATATGATAATTTCACACGTTTACCAAACTATGTTATAAAAGTTGATGACTAAAAATAGATGGATATCTATACATTTATTGAATGTAGCACACACACATATATAATCTTATTAAATCGATTCTTCGTAATGTCGATTTAATGGAATTGTGTATTATTATTCTGTTAAATAAATAATAATATTATATATCACACATGTTATTTCATTCTTATTTAAGTTATCACATATCATAATTGTAATATTTCAACTTTCTTTAGTTCAATTATCTCTTCTGGTAATATTTAAGTTACTATTATTAAACTAACATCATTTCTATTAATAATCAATATTATTCCATAGTGAATAAATATTTCAATCATCTTCACATTTGCTTTTGCAAACAATATATTCAATATTATAATTAAAAGTTACAATAAACAATATATTCAAATATTTTACAAAAAGCAGAAATTTTGATTTAAATTTAAATTCATTGTTTTCTATTTATTCAAATGATATTATCACTAATTATTTAAATGAAAAAGTCATACCTTTCATAATTCAGTTATCCTTTTTATGTATCCTTTTAGTTCTAATTATCTTAGTTATTTTAGTTTTATTATTTTAGTTATATTTTTAGTTTTAATTATAGTTATTTCAGTTATAATTATTTTAGTTATCCTTTTAGCATTAAAATGGGTTACTACCCATTTTGCTTTTCAAACTGAAATGAATTAAACAATTTTCCAAATTCATAATGCATTCTAATTTGAAATAGAAATTTTAAAAATTCTTTCAACATCTTATTGATGCATAAAATTTGCAATTCTTAATTTAATTTTCAAACTATCCATGCGTATAGAACTTTTTATTTTACACTTCTTTTTAATACGACTGATAATTTATCAATTACTAACTGGTTTCTATTTTTCTTCTTCTTCTTGTGCTCATCAAAGATATTACAATTTAATTGCTTTAGTAATTATCCTAATTAATGGATCAAGTTGAGGTTAATACCTTTCCTAATATTTTATTTACCGTGTGCACTTATTTTATGATAATAGTATAGTGGTGGCATTTAAACTTTTTTCTTCATCTTAAATGCATCCGGTCTAACAAAGATTAAATACTTCTTAGCCCTCCTCTAAGTCATGAAATTATTGAGTTTAATTCTGAAATCCGATACATTCATCATTTTAGGACTTCTTTGCCATTTTTAAGCTCAATTGTTATTTTCATGATAACTGCTGAAAATTTTACACTTTGCAAACTTTCCTACTAAGCGTGCATTTTCGCAAAATTATTGCAAAATTCTTTCGAATGAATTTTCTTATATCTGATTCATATATATCTTACATCTTTTTTCGATTTCATCTATAACTGATTTACCTGATATTTCTATTTTCTACACCTGATTTATACCCGATTTACCTGATATTTCCATTCTGATATTCTTTTTCAATATATCATTTTAGTAAGTTTATCATTTTGCTTTTTGTGGTAAAGAATATTTTCATGATAATTTTTATCTCTCCTTCTCTATTCTTCACTATCTTTATTTTATGTAATTCGCGAAAAAACAAAAGGAAATTTTCGAGGTGACATATTTGCAAAAAATGCTAAAAATGTTAATTGAGTTAGTTGCTATTTGAATTTTTTTATTATTGCTATTCTTTCCTTCTTTTATGTTGACAAATTTGATTTAAAAAAAACGAAGCGAAAGCTCTATGTAATCATATTCACTGCTTCTTATCACATTCTTTTATCATTGTCATTGTCACTATTATCGACATTTTCAGTCACATATTATTATTAGCTTTTAAGGTATGCAATATAAAAATCTTTTAGGTCCTAAGCTTAAGGTGCATAATAAGGTGTATAAGGTATATATTATGGTATATAATATAAAAATCTTTTAGGTTCTAAGCTTAAGGTATATAATATGAAAATCTTTTAGATTTCAAGCTTAAGGTATATAATATAAAAAATCTTTTAGGTTCTAAGCCTAAGGTATATAATATGCTTATAGGGTATAATAATTAGGTTATATAATATATAATAGCTTAAGGTATATAATATAAAATCTTTTAGGCTCTAAGCTTAAGGCATATATTATAAGTAATCTTTTAGGTACTTTGTCGTTTATTTCAATTTAAAAATCCTAAAAATTATTAGAGTTTTTCATTTCTTTCATTTTTCTTTCTTAATTCACATGAAATTTATCATTCACATGAAAGATATAATCATTTTCTTTGCTCCATTAAACTGAGAAGTGGCAAAAATTCCAAAAAAATAGTTTTCTGCATTATCGATAGATCATATCATTTTTATTTGTTTATTTTCATCCTGCGCTCTTTTTTTGTTTTTCTACTTCGTTTATTTATTTTAACGTAATTCCGAACTATTCCTCTCTGAATCTCATTAGACTTTCATTCTTTAGACTATAGTATCATATGACTATATCACTGCTTCATTAATAACGACAAACTACATAATTCATTCAAAGTATCCATTCTGTTTGATTAATAGTAGCTTACCTTCTTCCTACCTCTCTCACTGTTATTATCATTAATTAATTACAAAATCTTAGATATTTTCATTTCTTTTACGAAATAAATATTCTACATAAATTAAAATGCACTTATGCATATTTTTTTTGTTATCGATTAGAGTTATATATAATGATAACAGATGATTATATTGTATATATATATATTGATAACAGATGATAATATTTATATAGTGAGTGAGATATTTGTTGCTCTTTTTCTTTGATTTAATCAAAAGAGAAGCGAGAAGATTGATTTCATTAAATAATCAATGATTTCCATTGTCGCGCTGATCGAATAAATGAGAAATTTGACTTAAATAAATATCAATTTTATTAATGTTGCTGTCGTTGTTAAATTGATGATCTTATGAGTAGTAATATTTACGTGAATATTGTGATATAATAAAGAACAAAAGATCGAGTAATTCAAATGAATTGTAAGCAGTAAATTGTAGAAAAATCATCTGGAAGTAGAAAATGATATTCAGTTATGTTCTACCCATTTATGATTCATTGAATTAAACAATATATGTAACTTGTAATCAACAAATCATCTTACATGATGTAGTTTAAAATCGTTGCAGTTATTTAACTGTGTTCTGCTGGGCCTTAATCTGAAGAATATTGTTGGGTGACAAAAAAAACAACTGCTCAGTATCGCTGCCTACTGCATGAGGTCGGATGTATGCGTCTTTTAGTGCGATTCGCACTAGCGGTTTTCCTCCTTTGCTTACTGATCATTGCTACATACAAATTATCGGACCTACGTCAACATGTCATTTCACGCAATGATCCAAAAAAAGGTTTAATTTTATTTGCAATGATGTTTAATTTTGATGCATTAAAAAGTGCTAAAAAATTAGGAATTCCTGATCGATAATTGGATGATATCAATAATAGAGCCAGCTGTAGTAATGTTAGAGAAGTAATTCTGTTTAATTAAAACTTCAAGGTTAGCAAAAAACAGAAAATTTGTTGTATCATACTACTTTTAGATGCAGATGAAGTAGTCCGCATATTGCTTATGTCAGACGATTCGGCATCTAGCTGGAAAACAGATGTAAGTGTTACAGTCAACGTAGTCATAGTACTAATAGTTTCGCTGCTCAGTATCGCCTTGCTTATTACGGGTTAGTATTTTGTTCATTAAAATAACGATTTATTATCCTAGCAGAAATTATATTAACGCAGTGATAACTAGATGTATTTAGGATTAAGGATATAAAGGTTATCAACTGATCGGAAAAGTTGATAATTTCTATATCTTTTATCCTTCATATAATTAAAAGATTTCCTAATGGATGATTAGATTTTTTTAATTATGTTTTGTTTGAGTATGGTCTTTTTTTTGCGAGATAATGATAAACTCGAATTGAAATTATTTGCGACACCGAAATAAATTTATAATCTAATGTGATATTTCAGGTATAATTGTAATTGCTCTAACAGTGGATTCGTCTGTAATGGATAATGAAAGTGGTGATGTAGATGAAACGACAAGTTATTTACGAGATGATCAAACGGTAAATTCAAATTCAATACGAAATCGAATTTCTTGAATCAAAAAGAAGGTTGTATTAATAACCATGTCGGACTTTTTTAAAATTTACTTGATGATAAGATTTTCATATATTTTATCATTACTTTACGAAGAATTCTGTTAATACATCACTTCAAAAAAGGAAAAAAAATTTTAGATTTGGACACCAAAATTTTTGTCCTCTACGGATCATTTGCTACCAAGAATAGATATCATCGCAAATCTGAACAATTATTCAGTTTCGTCTATTAATGAAATATAATTGCAAATTATCGCCGTAACTATCAGTCGCAATTTTTATTTTTTGCTCTTATGTGATATGTACATATTGCTACATTATTTTATGTTATTTCTGTTGACATCCATGACATATCTCAAATTAAAACTTTAATATAGTTGTCCTTATCTTCTGCATTATTCATCTTCTCCCTACATGTTAGATTCATTGAATTGACGTTGCCTATCGAGAAATAAGGCAGTTTTCGGGTTCACTGGCACTTAACAATAGGGACTGAATTAGTTGTATAAAGAAGTTAGAATAAATTTTTCAAGGAGATACTTTATAAATGAACTTCGATTTTAAGGTAAATTGAACTTCAATCAATTGTATGCAATAGATCAGACTTAACTAAACATTGAAAACCTTTGCGAATCGAAGGAACTATCTTTTCAGTTATTCGATATTGCTGTTAAGGACATTATCCACAAATATAAAATTGAGAAGGCTCAATATTATATTTTTAGCTGTAACTTTTTTAGTCAATAATTTCATTTGAAAATTTATTTTGGGACAGTGAATTTATAATGATTATAGAATCGATTCTGCGGAATGAGGTTAAGTACAAATTTTGTGATCATCCCCACTTAATCGGTTAATAAGTTTTGCCCTTAGAAATTACTTCTTTAATGGCAATTAAACAAATATCCGACTGACTGAATTGTTGCTCTGTAAAATCCGGAAAATTTAAACAAAATTACTTATTGAAAATACTTGAATTTATTTATCTTCAAATAGAATATTGTCAGATTTCGAGATGTTCAAAAAAATGAAAGAAAGATTAGGCTCAGAAAATTTAGTAATTACATTAGGCGAAGTGTAGAATTTGGGTCTTAGCTTAGGAAGGCGTCGCTTCCATAAATATACATTCTGAATGAATACTTTCGCTTTCCCATAATTAGTTTTTGACAGCTAAATCTGCAAATAAGAAATTCAAGGCGTAAAGTGGGATGGAAGTATCTCTAGAATTTTGCGGCAATTTGTTGCCTTAAAAGGCATTACTCGAATGACACATTAAGTGATCAAAATTGTTGCTTATATGATTGTTACGTTATTTAAAACTTATCCAAATAAGGGAAAATCAGATTTGAAGAAATTCATGAAGATTTTTAAACTATTTATTTTTTTCTCTCCAATGAACTTATTCACCTTTCAGTTTCTTTAAAGTTTTTCGTTAAAAATTTCCAAAAGAAATGCCAAAAATTTTTCAAATGAAGGCTTACATATTTGTTGTAAAATGGCTATCATGAAATATATTTTAAAAAATTCACAAGAAACAGCTGTAATTAGCAATATCTAATAAAATCATTTACTAATACCGGATAACCGATCGATAAATTATTTTTCATCGTTTTTAAATCATTCTAGAGAAGGGTTATAAAATCAACATGTCAAAATGTTTTCCATAAATCGTAGAATGCATTCCATTAAAATATGTTTTCAATTAAAGCGCAATACCCGCGATGAAACATTTTTCTGCATACCGATGCATATAGCGAATGGTATCGAATCATTTGATGCCTAATTAGTTAAATACCTTTTCTTTCTTCATTTGTTTTATAATTCTTTCTCGACTTTCAAATATTACAATGTAGGATTTGAAACAAAACACGATCATACGATGTATTAAATTAAATATTTATTTTCCTGATTATGATACAATTTTTTGCAATAGAAATTTCATTTTTTAAAAGTAGAGATTTCATTTTATCACATTTTAAAACTTTATAAGCCGAACATGTACATTGAAAGATAATAGTAAATATGGAAAATCATTGCGATAATTATTTTTTATATTAAATAAGAAATTAATTTTATCACTTATACGATTATTACAATGAAAATAAGAAATGAAAAAGTTGATAAAAAAGAAAAGTGAAATTTGTTGAAAATAGTAGGGAGGAAATTGACAAGACTGAGAGATGAAAATGATGGATAACAAAAATGGCCAAATAATAAGACACATGATTTATGTGCGGAAATAATGTATTTAGATAATCGGAGTGATAACGCTAATGATTCCTACAAAAAATTATTTTATCGAAATGTTAAGCTATTTATTAACTAATACAATTAGGAGAAAAGAGGAGTAAACTTCAGTAGACTAATATCGCCGATATCGGAAATATCCCAATGGAATTTTTTCACTTAGACATCGATAGTCTAAGTGGAAAAATAGTCTTCGACATCAATTGTTTGTCAATGCATATTTTTTTGGCGTCGATGGGACATCGAATGATAGATTATAAATGAATTAGAGATGAAAATTGGTGATAATGAAGCTCTGATTTAGAAACGAAATTTCATGCACTTTTTGTGCATGCATTAATGCGGAAATTATTTTTTACGAAACATTCAACCAAATTGAAAATCGAAATTATATAATAATATAATTAAACCTAATGAAGTCGATTGATTGCTACAGATAGGTGGAAAATGGCAACATAAATACAATTAAATCTGTATTATTATATATTTTCTGACTGTATCATCCGTATATTTCGAATCGTGGTTAATTGGAAATAATGAATTTTGGATACGAACAATTTGAGAGTTAATTTATAGCAAAGCGCTATTTGCGGTACAATGATTTTATGCAATTTCTCATTCTCATCACACTTTAGAACTTTAATAATATCCAAGATACTGTTTTCGAACATTCACTTGCATAATGAGTGGCTAAATTGAGAAATATTAAAAAATGAAGAAACTTTTGGCTACTGAAAATTGTTACAGAGAAATGATAGAGGATACAAAAATTTATCATATTTAGATTTATTTCATTTTTCTTCAAATTTCTTAATTTTATTTTCTTTATTTTATTTTCCTTAGGTAAAGGATATTATTATCATATCATATCATATCATATCTATATATATATATATATATATATGAAGTTGTGCAGAACGAAGATATACGAACTCAAAACATTTTAGATTTAAAAATTTGAAGAAAAATATTTTGACAGCTTTCGCTTTAAAATTGTTTGATAGAGAACGATGGAAAATATTTTTTCAATAAGTTAGCAAGAATGCTCTTCTATCTATTCTTGATGGAATTAGCGATACAAAAATAAGAGCTTGCCAGCTCATCAGTTCACCACCTCGCTGTCGTTAATTCATCTTTCGCTGCAAAAAAAAATTGGAAGATATGAGGCGTTGTAAGATAAAGACTAACAATTTTAAATAACATTTCAATATCACTCTCGAGATTACCGACAAAATTACTCAATTTTTTAGAAGTCTTTCCAAATGGAAATTCCTCCAAAAATTCGGTATTTAAGTCTCATATCATAATTCAGTATTTCCAAAACTCAATATTATACATTACTGAAGTTAATTTTAACCTAAAAAGTTGATGTGAAGAAAAAAAGATTTTTTATCATCATTAATGCTCCTCGCAAATCCGTTTCAATATTATGTGGCAATATAGCATCTTTAGAAACACCTTCAGTATCCGAGCAAAGGACATGAATATTAAAATTTAACATTAAATAAAATTTAATGCATAATGAATAATGTATAAGAAAGTCTGGTTTTCCTTCTCTTCGAAAGTTCTCCAAATTCGATGCAAGGAAGAAATGAGAAAATGGAACACTTTTTATTTAATCGAAATTTTATCATTTAAAAAAACATTAAAAATTTATCAGCTGTTTAATAATCATGTTCTGATATTACGTAACGATAACATCAGAATGAAGTATGAAGGGAAGAAGCGTAGTAGATTCGTGCCTTCAATAATTCCATCAAGAAATAATTGAAAGATTTATTCTGAATTCTTTTCTTAATCAAATAATATTATCCCGACAAAAGAGAATTGAAGGTACGAATTTCCAGACAGATGTATAATGAAATAATTTCAGAAATTATCACCATCATTTAAATTACACGGATACAAAATGTATTTGATAGGTCTATAAATATTTTCAAATCGCTCCTCCCTAGTTTAGGAATCTATTGATAAACAACAAAATTTTTAATGATATAGCACTCGGTTAGGACAGTTTCACAATGATTCACAAAATATGTGCACATTCCTAAATTGCATAAAGAAATGATTGGCTATCGCTTCTTACGGAAATCATATTCCGGAAGATCGCCACGTTTTGCAACACTTTCCATGTCTAAAAATTACGAAAGATGAAATGAAAATTTCAATTATTTAAAAATTACTCTAGAATATTTTGTGCAAATTTGAAAATAAAACCACATATGATTACCAAATTGTTCTTGCTGGCAAGTTGCGCCAAGATATCCCGGGGCACAAGTACACTGACCGGTAACTCGATTACACGTTGCACCATTGTAACATTCACATCGCTGTTCACAATTTTTTCCATACCGTCCCGGTCGACATGCTACAAAAATAGAAATTGTTTTTAGATAGAAAAATTAGAGAATTATAGAGTTAATGCACCTGAACTGCAATCTACAAGATATGTATACATAAAACTAGATTAAAATAACTTTTCTTGTTTAGCACTAATTGAAACTATATGTTTAGTCAGCAATTTTCTTTGAGCTATCTGAATTTTAGATCTTAATCATTGATCGGATCAAAATGATTAACAAATGATTGGTCTTTCAGGAAGGACTGAATTATGCCAGTCATATCCTCAGAGTCAGCAAAATTATATATTATTATTTCTGGAGCAAAATGTACCTTGTTTACATTTAACACCATGCAATCCTAAAGGGCAATCACATTTTCCGGTTTCTGGATCACATTGGAATTCGCCACAATCACAAAACAGTTGACAGTGTGGACCGTAGGTATTGTTAGTACAGAAACGTTCACACTAAAGAATTTGAATGAAGAAAATTAAAAATAGCATATTTCGAATTATTTATCGCTAATTTCTAAATTTATTCTTACCTTAAACTAATGCTATATTAATTTTGTGAGAGGAGAAAGAAGAAAACACTCTGGACAAAATTAGGTATTTCTCTAATCAGAAAGGCAGCAACTATCCATTTTTAATCAAAGCTTTTAGGTTTTACGACTAAAAGTATTAGTGAAAACTTAACCAATAGTGTCTACAAAAAATATGGACTGTTTAACAACACCTGCTTGCCAAAATATCCTGAAGGGCATCGACATTGGCCATCACTGGGATCGCATGTTGCGCCATTCTGACAATCACAACTTTGACTACAATACCAACCATAGAAACCAACTGGACATGCTGCAAATTTTTTACAAGTTTTTAACACTGAAATTTTTTTAATTATCAGTAGGATTTGAAACATTTTTCCAAGATTTGAAATATTAATTAGACAGTTTAACTCTCTTCCATTGATTGTCCTATCTCAAAGTTGAATATAATTTGCATATTATTACTGCCTAAGTTTGAAAATTTAAAAACTGTCCAAAAATTCCGTTTATCAGATTAATTCAAAATAAACGGCTTCACTTGACCATATAAACACAGTTCTGGGTATTGTACCGCACGTGGTCAATAATTGAAAAGTTTTCTTTTTTGCTTCGAATATTGATGGTAATATAACAAAACGAAATCATGAAAAAACATACTATACTGACAGCGAGTACCATAACGACCTGTTGGACAGTCGCAGCAACCCTGCACAGGATCACATTTAGCACCACCATGACATTCGCAATCTAGCGTACAATTCACTCCATATTTGCCATCTGGACAGGGCTGATCACACGTTGCTCCGGTATATCCCAGTGAACATCTGCAATAATGAATTGATATTGTTGTTTCTAAAAGAAGGGAATTGCCATCAAAAATCAAAAAAGTATATAATTCAATTCACAATAACAGTCTTTCATTCGAAAAGAGTATTGTAGCATTCTTCATCTGGATTCGACATGGGTTTCGAAGAATGAAATGTTATTTACTGAAGTTCTATGTTCTTTCAGAACGATAAAACAATTTGTTAACACCAACAGTATACTTACTTACAAGCGCCAGTTGCTGGATCACAGTGCGCCTGATTAGCGCATCGGCATTTTTCACGACATCCAGGACCAAAACGTCCCTCAGGGCATACCTGTTGGCATTGCAAGCCGGTGAAACCAGCTGCACAACGACACTGACCTGTTACTCGATCACAAGTACCTCCATTTTCACATTGGCAGAGTTTTTCGCATTTTTCACCAAACCGATTCGTGGGACAGGATACCTCACATTTGGTACCAACAAAACCTGGCGGACAAATACATTGTCCAGTTACTTCACTACAAGTACCACCGTTCATGCACTGACAAATGCCATCACAATTCGTGCCATATCGTCCTTGGATACATCCTGAATTAGAATTATACAAAGCGGATAAATTTGAATTAGTCTAATGCTACCAATGTGGCACGAAATTGCAGTCTACAAAACTTCAATTTATGCAGTATTCTTGAAACTGTCATATCTAACACGGCAACGAATTGATTTCCAATTTGTTTTAAAGTGGAAAAAAATTTCGATCAATCATTCTCATAGGTTGAATAATTAAAAAATCAGGAATTTATAATAAAATGAAGAGAATTATGAGACTTATCTTGAGCGCAATCGATACCGGCATATCCCGGCTTACAAAAGCATTTCCCGGTAATGGGATCACAGTTAGCATTCGATGCACATTCGCACTGTTGTGCACAATTTTCACCGAATGTTCCAGGAGGACAAAGCTCGGTGCAAGAATGACCGGTGTAGCCATTCGGACAATGACAGCGACCGGTGATATGATTACACGGCTTCTGATTTGGACATCGACATGCTGAGGCACAGTGCTGTCCATAATAACCTCTTAAACATGCTGAAACATACTGTTATAACCTATATACTTACAAGCTGCTCATCTCTCCGATTCTTTAGAATCGACTATTTTCTTCATCAGAACTCTTGAAAGTATATCATTACGCATTTATTATATTTAGGATCCAAATTTTTTTCAAAGAAGAACCTAAAATATTTGCAAGAAAAATTTATTTACGTCGATTACATTTGCGACCTCGCCAACCAGGAGTACAATGACAATGACCACTGATTGGATCACAATTTGCACCATTTTCGCATAAGCACAATTCTTCACAACGTTCGCCAAATAAACCATGAGGACAAACGCGCTCGCATCTAAATTAAGCTTCGAAAACTAATACTATTATGACAATTTTATGATTTAAATTGGAGGCAATGATTGATTGATTAATTGATTTGATTGATTTTATATGAACACGAGAGCTTTGTTATGCAAACACTTGATCGCAGGATCAAAAATTTTTTAAATAGTTCCGCTCAGATAATTGTAATATTTATAACTTCAATAAAATACGATCGAACCATATGGTACCACATACCTTTCACCAATAGAACCGGGTAAACACTGACAACTACCATCCGTACGGTTGCAACTTGCACCTCGCATACAATTACATTCGTGTTCACAATTTATTCCGTACCGTTTAAATGGACACACTGGAAAAGGATAATATGAAGTGATAGGTTTAAAATATTTGCGCAATAGACTCATATTTGGATCAAAACAAACAAATCATAAAAGGATGAATGGAAAATCAGAAACGAAGTATAAAAATGAAAAACAAAATGTTAGTAATTATGATATCATTCGAAGATTTGTAGCATAAATTTTTAGCAAGGTTGTAAATTTCAACTCTTTGTTAAAAATAAATAATATTTCTAAGAAAAAAAGCTTACTAAATTCACACGCGGGTCCGGTCCATCCAGGCGCACATTTACAGGTACCATTCTTAGGATCACAAGTACCATTGTGCATGCAAAGGCAATGATTATTACAATTGGGTCCATAGCGATCGAATGGGCATTCTGTTAACAAAACGAATCTTCTTAATCTTTAAATAATAATAATTATGAAAAGAAGTATTTTAATTTGCGTGAACTTCAAACATACGCTCTATGCAAAATAAATAATTTACCTTCTTCGCAGTGCGGTCCCATAAATCCTGCTGGACAATCACAATTCCCTGTAAATCGATCACAAATTCCATCGTTCGTGCACCGACATTCCTCTTTACAACCAATACCCCATCTGAAAAGTACATCATTTCAATCAATTTTATGGTTGCCAGATAAAAGCGATGAACACTAGATTATGACAAAAACATTCGAACTTTCTTGTAGCCTGAAATTTCTGCACAGTTCCACAGTTCTCTTACAACAACAGAAGAAATGTGAAGGCTTAAATTGAATGATTAATTAAAATTCTGTAAATCAAATTTTGCTTAAAGAAATAAAACAAATTTTTTCGGCATAAAATATTTGTGAATATCATAAAATTAAACAATTCCAAATTAGTTATAATGTTATTCCCAGTTTTTCAGAATAAATTACCTGTTTGAAGGACACGGCGTTTGACAATTAGCTCCAACCCAACCTTCAGTACAAAGACATTCTCCAGTCACAGCATGGCACTTCATGACAAATGGTGCCATTTTGATGCCATCTAAGAATATCAAATTATCGGATAAAGTTTCTCTTTGTATTAAGAAACAAGAAAAAGTGAAAAACATGACATGCCATAAAATTAACTGAAGGCACTAACCAAATGAAGAGCAATTGCAGACCTTTTTACAACCGTCACCGTATCGTCCATCAGGACAAGGTCGATCACAGTGTTGACCGCGCCAGCCGGGCTTACAGCTACAAGCACCATTGATCGGATTGCAAGTAGCATTATTTCGACAAACACAGATACCTTTACAGCGGTTACCAAAATAACCTTCATCGCACACTAAAAGATCAGTATGTGATAGTTGAACAATCGAAAATACTGAAGATAAAGAAAAGAAAAGCAGAAGTGGATATTCAATTGTTTCACAATAGATTCAGAAGTCATTTCCGGAACATGATGCACCATCAGTTGCAGAGATTACACTTACAAAATTGAAGACAATAAAACCATACATAGGAGAGAGCTATATAGAGATGCCGTTGGCTAATTTTGACAATTTGTCATTCTATGTCCCATCCCAACTTTTTACAAAAAAGTTCGCAAAAGAGAACTGCAGTCAAAATCGCCTCTTCCTTTCCTCAAAATGAAAATAGAGGTAAGAACCTACATAGATCACAATTTTTCCCGTGATATCCCGGTGGACATGTACATTCTCCGTCAGCTGGATCACATTGCACTCCCTGGTCGCAGCTACATCGCTCACTGCAATTGATACCGAAATATCCTTCTGGACATGGTATGTCGCATTTTTGACCACTCCAACCGGTTAAACATTTGCATGAACCATTTGAAGGATTACAATCAGCACCATTATAACATTCACAAAGCTGCATGCAGTTCAGACCAAAATGATTGCTTGGACAAACTGCAATTTCAACTTGCAAAGCAAAATTGGAATTAAGTTTAATTCTTAAACATGTGATATTGATGACCTTCAGGCAAATAGTAAAATTGTTTCACTACTAACCAACAGATATTCATATTCATAAAATTTTATAGATTCCTTTTTTCATACATACATTTTATTCATGCACAACATATCAGGCAAACACTAAGTCTCATTTTCAAATTTCTATTTCTATCTAATTTTAATATCGCTGACCTCAGAGTAAGAATATCAAAGTTCGATATTCAGGACTGCTTACACTAATCAAATCATAATTGACAGTTAGCGTCATTAATTTTATTCCCGATCAGTGGCCTATGATATGTAATATTTTCTCGAAAATAACTAGTTGAAATTCATTATTTGCTTTCTTTGGAAATTTGAATTTACTTCGTCCTTGTTTTGCTACTGATATAAGATATTTTGGTATTAATGCAATCGTGCTTGAAATACTCATGAAATTTTATAGATTCCTTTTTCTAACAAGCGAATGGACACCTAACGATAATGACGAATAGAATACCTTCACTACAAGCAGCACCATAATACCCAGCTGGACAAATACATGAACCATCTTTACTGTTACAGGTACCATTATTTTTACAGGAACATTCGTGTTGACAATTAGGACCATATAAACCAGTAGGACATACTGAAATAATTTAATGACTATTATGACACGTTTTTACGCCTTTTATTATTCAGAAATAGTTTAATCTTGTATAACTGGAAATAATTTGTAAGTAATTGTTATGAAGTGATTACTTATACAACTAGGCCAGTGATGAAATCACCACAAATCACAACGATCTAAACCCTCTATTTGCTAGGCTTATAAAATATACAACCAATTATGTTCGTAGTAATTTGAGAAAGATAAATATTAGTTCCATAAATCATATCATAAAAGTAATTTATGCAAAAGAAACACTATTAATTAGTCGTTCACTTATTTGACTTTTCACCAATGATCAAGTTCGCCTAATCAAAATAGTGACATGCAATCGATGGATTTATGCTCTTCCTTATGATTGATTTATGCAAACATTACTTAACTTATTCTGTAATTTCTTGCATGCAGTCAAACTTTATCATGCAATTTCTATGTGCATTTTATTACATGCTTTAAAAATTATAAGAAAAAGTAAATGAAAGTGAAAAATTGATCAGCTCACTTTTTTCACATAATACACCATAATAACCAGGTCGGCATGTGCATGTTCCGGTGACATGATGGCATACTTGAGATGCACCTGATTCGCATGCACATTTTTGGGTACAATTATATCCGTACATACCGATAGGGCAGGCTGAAATTAATAAAAGGAAAAATTAAGTGTATTCATCAAATCCGTTTTGCATGCATGTAACACGTTGCTCATGCCAGTTATACGTTCGAAAGCATATAGTTGGTATAAAATTCTGTCATTCATTTATTTTATCGAAAAAGACCATGAAGGTTTAAAAAATAAAATTTTAAAAGAATTCACGGAATAAATTAATATGCAAAATTAATCAATATACCAAAACAGAAAGTGATAAATGAGTAGCAGCTGCAGAATTTATAAACTTACGGGTTTGGCACTGATCACCGGTATATCCCGGACGACATTTCTTGATACAATTGCCATTAGTAGAATCACATTCTTGATTTTCAGCACAGCTACATTTTTTGGTGCAGTGCTGTCCGTAAAAACCAACCGGACAACGTCGTTTGCAGAATGGATCATAGAAACCACTTTTACAAATGCATTTTCCAGTCTGTAAATCAAGTTTCTATTATTTCGATCAATTTCCAAATTGTTACCGTACCTATCCGTCATCCATACATTTTCTCAATCCTTCTTAGTTAGTATATTAGCATTTTATCGTTTGTGCTATCAGCATAAGTTAAAATGAGAATGATTTATATTAAATTCGAAGTTTAATAGCATATTCATACCTTTGGTTCGCATCCTTCTGAGTATTCCTTTTCGCAGTTGCATATATGACGACAATTACGACCATAACTAAACCGCGGGCAAATTTGATCGCATTTTTCACCATAATAACCAGCTGGACAAGAGCAATACCCATATTTCCTGTCGCATCGTCCACCATTACAGGTCATTTGGCATGGCAAATTGCACGAAGGTCCATAAAAGCCTGTGCTGTTGTTAATTAACGAAATGTTCAAGTAAGTGATAATGCGGAAAATGAATGAATAATGTGTAATTAAATAAATCTTCTAAAACTACCTGAAGTCATCGCCGGAAGTAAAAAAGGATGATGTGTGCTGCATTATTTCCTCAATTCTCAAGGTTTGAAGCTAATTTTAAGCTTCTAAAGAGATATTTATATCAGAGAAGAAAGAACTATAAAAACAAACCAGCCGGACAACTATCATCACATTCCACACCATCCGGACAATCGCATTCACCGGTAATATGATTGCAAATTTGTCCATTACATTCACACGCCTTTTTGCAACCCAATCCCCAAGTACCTTCAGGACATTGATCCTCGCAAACTGTACCTCTATAACCGGAAGCACACTCACAACCGCTTTTATCACGACGACATTTTCCTACAATATGCATAAGTAATGAATATTATAGAGAAGTAAGTTTTATAAAATGCATTAAAAGAATACGAAAATAAATGAGCGGATAAAAAATAAAAATCTCAACGTAAAATAACTTTCAGGAGATTTTAACTGTTATGAAAAAGGTAACTGAACCAACCTCCATTTTTACAATCAACACATCTATAACGACATTCTGCTCCAAAGCGACCATATTCGCAAGCTGCAAATGAAGAAACAATATTTAAATTGAAGTTAGCAGTCTTTTTGATTATACAGAAATGAACTAATGGCTTTTTTGAAATAATATAATAAAACGGTATAACGGCGATAAGATAAGAGCCGATGACTGAAGGTTACAACCATAAAAACACCACCAATGGTGTGTAGCTATAAAAAAGTGGACATTTGCGCTTCATTCTATTCAACTCAATCTATATCTATCTTCAGGATATTATCCTTGCAAATTATATACCCATGTATTAACCAGTCTACAAGTCATCTAATATGACAAATTTCACGAAGACTCATAAAATTTAATGATCTTCTAAACTGTATCACACGACGCATCCACAAATAAGTAAACAAAAATATAATATGCTTCTGCTTAGAATGTATTAACAGTACTACCATTGGATCTGTTTTTTAACAATCGAATAGATTCATATTTTCAAATAAATAAAATTCATTGGAATAAGAAAACGAAAGAGTTATTGACCAATAGGAAGACTGTGTAGCATACGGATGGTACCAAAATGTGATAGTTTGGAAAGATCTTGTGACATGCTTCCGTCATCTTCTTGGTGTAGTTCATGCTCTATTATATCATTGTATTTTGAGTGATCAGTTAATAATGCTATCCTTCCTGAATGCTCTGAAATGAAAAATCACAAGACGAATATGCAGTAAATTTCATTGCTAATAATTTTACACAATAAGAGAACTTTCACATTTTGCACAATCAATAAAATGAAAATTATCAGCTTACTCAGGATTTAGTCTTTTTTTAATCTAAAATGATGATTTCTTAATTAGTAATTAATATATTTTATATAACGTATGAGATGTGTATGCATTAAATAATGCCAGTTTGATTAGAATTTATGCTTGATAATTAGAAGAATAAGGTTGGTAGTTATGCATGCAAAACACAATCACTAAACAAATAATACAATTTACAGCCAGTACAAATACTGTAAAGTTATACGCCTGATACTTTGAGGAGTTGAATCAGTTGTGACGTAAACAAATAGCGAATCTGACAGAAGTGAAGCTGAAATGAGTTGGTTAGTTGTAAATCAGCGAAATGAATACAAAAACTGATTGTTCAAAGAGAAAATTTTACCAATGCATGTCTTGCCATCTTCTGCAAGACTGAAACCACGAAAGCAGTTGCAATGATAACTGCCCTCCTTATTCTTGCATAATTGGCTGCATTCACCGTTGTTTATTAAGCATTCGTTAATATCTGAATAAAAATTGCAAATTTATTTTGTCATTAAATTTCATATAAATTTCAATAGCTTACTACAATGAAAAAATATGCAAATTCATACTGCATGCGGAAAATTAGATAAGGCTTTCTTAGCTGGTACTTGTCAATGAGTGATAAGGGATATTAAAAGTTTTATATAATTAGCTTTTACTTATCTTTTATTTGTCATCCGCGAAACTTTATGGTGTCTTCTTCGTTTTTTATAAAATGCAAAAAATGATACCAGTAATGAATATACTACTACTACATTCTATCCACTGTACAGCTTTCACATGATCGTTGTATTATCATTACTATTCAATGTCTGCATTAAAATATTTTTATGTCATTCAAGTTTGAAACGAAAAGAAATGAACCGTGACAGGAATGGTTATCAGATGCCAAGTTATAGCCAATTTCGCATTTACACGTATATCCACCCTCCTCATTGATACAATGATGCTCACAACCAGCATTATTTGCAATACATTCATTAATATCTGCAAACGTATGAAAGTCGTAAAGTATTAATTGAATGATATGATCAGTTAAAAATTGGATCAGCGGATACGATGCGATACATTTATCAAAGTACTGTACGGTAGGAATAACCTTCACAAGTTTTGCCATCGTAAATAAGTAGAAAGCCAGTTTTACAGGAGCAATGATAACTTCCAAGTAGATTAATGCAAAGTTGCTTGCAGCCACCGTTGTCATCAATGCATTCGTCAATGTCTAAAAAGATTTAAATATTTACGATTGTAATTTTTAGCATTATAAGTTTACTTGAGAAACTACTCCATTGTAATGCTGTCGCCAGTTAAAATGATTATTATTATGAGAAATTATCATCGATATGGATAAAGATTAGAAAAGTTTACCAGAGCAAGATCTACCATCGGTGTTAAGTTGATAACCAGTTCTGCAAGAGCATTTCAGACTATTATTTTCATAACTTTGGCATATATGCTCACAGCCTCCGTTTCCTTCCTGCAATTCTCGGTTTACCTTAACATTCATACCAAAGCAACTCTCATTTATTCATATCGAAGAAATACCTCTGCCGCATTGATAAATTTGATAAAATTTTATCTAAAGTTTTAGTTAATTCCTTATATGAATCATTTTTTTACATATACTATCGATGGTAAAAGCTAACCTGACATGGATCATTTATTGGCTTACATTGACGTCCATTGGGTAGTAGTCGATATCCGATTCGACAACGGCATCTTCAACAAATTTGTATTAATTTTATTGATTTAGTTTAACATAACTATTGACTAACTGTTTATAACTACTACAAAACAGATCACATACACCAAAAGTTTTCATCAAAGTTTGGCATTATCATATTTCAAATTCTAACTCTCAATATCTAACAGTTACTATCTAACAGATAAATGAAAAGGTAACAAAGAAGAGGAGAATGATGATTTCGTTCTAGATGAGATTCTAAATTATCGGTTTGCGGTTTGCGTCATATATCAGAATGATTAAGAAGTTGGCAAAGAAATTACTCGCTTTGCTTAATTATTATGATTATTATATCTTTGATTCTCTTTAATTGCAACCTTTGATATTCTTCTTAAATTCCGTATTTTGACGTTTTATCAGGCACACAGCAGCAATTTCCGGAGAAATAAGAATTCAGTTATTTTTCTCCCTATACTACAATATAAGCAGATAATTCGTATTTATTCATTTAACATTTTTGGAGAAGAAAATTAAGATTGAAATACCTATACGTTCCATAAACATTAACACATTCATGCTCGCATATTGAAGCTTTCGTTGTTGCACATTCATCGATATCTGCAAAATTTCATTTTCATATTTATTTCAAAATTTTAAACTTTTTCTTAATAGTGATGATGACAGCAGTGAATTATTAGAAAGAATCAAATTCCAAAAAGATTTAACAAATTAATCGTTTGAAATCATTGGAGACATGATATGCTTTTTGTCATCTGAAATCATGAATTTGTCATTTGAAATCATTGGAACATGATATGCTATTATAATATTAACGCTTCAGCTTATAACTTTCGGCTTACAAGTTTACAAGTTTTAGCTTACAAGTTTTTATTTATTTTCAAATGTTTAACGGACCAACGCATGATTTCTGATCTGATCCAATTCTTAGACCATGATAGCATTGACATACGGCTCTTCCGTTATCATTAACGCAATGCTGCTCACAACCACCACGATTTACCATACATGGATCAATGGCTGAAAAAGTGAGCAGTAGAAATAACATTTTCGGAGTATGTCCGAAACCTTTTATCGATTAGTGGATTGATCCGAATTTTCGAAATAATTTAAGAGATAAAATTATTGCTTCTTCTTTTCCTTTGCTGTTTTTACCATTTTGTTTTTGTTTTTTTAATTCGTTCAATTATTTTTGTTAAAATTTATTTGTTGGAAAAAAATACGATTTATATTTGAAGGTTTATTTTCCCTTCGTAATGTTGTTTGTCATCGACTGAAAGATTTAGAGAGAGTGGACAATGGTGATGAATGGGACAATTGTCCTTAGGTCAAACAATAGATAGTAGAAAGCTTAGGTTTAGTCATATTAAATTATTCAAAAGAATTCTTTGTCCATTATTTTCTCTTTCACCTTTCTCCTACTCAATCATTCAAAAAAATCTTTAACCTATATAAATTACACTAAAACAAACAGCTAGTTATACCTGTAAACTTTGAACTTTTGCATGACTCATTTAATAACTTGCTTGAGCGATATTTTTGATAGTTTTCTAAATGAGTTGTAAACCTATATAAATTACAATAAAACAAATAGCTAATTATACCTGTAAACTTTAAACTTTTGAATGGCTCATTTAAAAACTTATGTGAGCGGTATTTTTGATAGTTTTCAAAATGAGTCGTAAACCTATATAAATTACAATAAAACAAATAGACAGTTATATCTGTAAACTTTTGGATAACTCATTTTAAAACTTATGCGAGCGATATTTTTGATAGTTTTCTAAATGAGTTGTAAAATTTCAGTCGGTTTTTTGTTTAAAAAATTTGTGCAACATATTAATAGTAATTTCAAGAAAAATTTTTTTCCAATTAACCGAAATTCTTCTCATCGTCTTCCATAAAATAATTCACAATGAATCTTTCACATTTAATGGTATCTAAAAATGTGTTTGCTTCCGAGAAGCCCTATCATATATTCTAACAATAATGCATTTTGTATTTAATTTTACGAAAAAATTTCGCAACTTTTTCCTGATATTAACTTACGATGACATCGCCGCTTATCGGCAGCTAGTTTGAATCCTTGCCGACATTTGCATCGATGAAATCGTCCATGTCTTTCTTCACAGATTTGTTCACAACCACCATTATCTGTTGCACAAATATTTCGACCTGAAGAACAGTTAAAGGCATATAGTAACTTTTCAAATTTATTCAACTTCAATAGCTTCATAAATAATATTATTGTTTCATTAGTCAGACGATTTTCTATAAGCATCCATTTGAGCCAAATTTCTAATTTATGCTAAAGTAGAAATTCATAAACATGAATGAGAAGAAATAATTGTTAGTGAAAGAGAAAAGAGACGATCAATGAAACAGAAAGCAATGTTATCAGTTGCTTTGAAATGATAGACAGAATAATGACAGATATCATATAAGGTCAGTAGTAGTTTTGTATCAAATTCTCATATCCGTAATATTAAATCAGTGATCGGTTTATTTTAGATCAGTGATCGGTTAATTTTTATTTAAGACGAATCATTAGAATTGATTTCAATATCTTCTAATGATCAGATTATTTTCTTTTGCTTTCATTCATGCATTTCAATAAATGCTAACGAAAATTGATATTAGTTTATTGAATCTCAATCATTTCATTCCTATTGTTTCTTTATTTCAGTACTTCTCTCCAGATGTTTCCCATCAATAACCATTGTTTATCGTTACTTCTCTTCATCATCCACTGGTCATTTTGAATGATTTACAACAACGACAAGCTACTTCCATGTTTTTCATTTCTCTCTCTTTTACTCTTTCGTTTCTTTCTTTTTCCTTCTCCCTCTCTCTCTCTCTCTTACACACACACACTTCTTCATTTTCCATCTTTAATTTATGTAATAAACAATTTTTTAGTTACCAAAAAAGTTCCCACATAAATAACAACGAAAGACAAATGCTTGAAAGTTTCCCGAAAATTAGAAATGGGAACATCTTATTAATGGTACTTAAAAATTAGCATTTACATTTACACTGTTCGTTTCGAGAAGAGAAGCGCAAAGAGTTAATTAATACTGAGTTATCAATTTGGAACTATTAAAAATATTTATTTTAAATTCAACTGTCAACATGAAATTCTTACGAATGCATCGACGACCATTTGAATGCAGCTGCATCTTTGGTGGACACTCACAGCGATATCCACCTTCCGTATTTTGGCATCGATACTCGCAACCACCATTTTCAAATTGGCATTCATCAACATCTGAAGTATTGAATTTCAATGGACATTTGAATCAACAAGTAATAATGAAAATCAGGACAAAAGAAGCATAACTGAAATTGTCATAAATTTCGAGAATCTTCGATGAGTTTGATTTTTAGGTGATCGATTTATTTTTCTTTGCCTTATCTTTTGATATTTAAGAAATGAAAAGCACAGATGAAAGTACCAATGCATTTCTGGTGATCGCTGTCTAGCTGATATCCAGCAAAACAACGGCAATAGAATGTACCGATCGTATTGACACACTCATGTGGACATCCACCATTATTCACCAAGCATTCGTTTATATCTAAAATAATACCGTTAAATGTCACCATTAATAATTTCAGGTGTAATCTGAAAACATCAAAAAAAACTAGGAATTGGATATAGTACTTCTAGGCCATAACATTGCCATTAATCATGATTTTAACAATCTGTATTGTAACTAGCTGTTGAATTAATGGATGTTTTATACTACAGTATCATATGGCCAAATGATTCCATATATATATTTTATACTACGGTATCACGTGGTCAAATGACTCCAGATATCAGATGAGAAATTCAAATCAATACTCCAAGTTCAACTTTGTAGATATTTGAAAATGCAGAAAAATGTAAAAAGCCAATGCAAACTTATTTTTCCCAAAAAAAGCAGACTAACATGCGATAATAATATATACAATACATATATAAATAAACTGTAACCCTACCGTATTGACATCGAGCGCCTTGAAATCCAGGTAGGCAGCGACAAATTTCTTCACTTTTATTCAATGCTGATAATTGACAGGTTCCACCGTTATGACATATCTCAGGTGTACAATTTGCTGCATAGGAAAATTAAGTTTTAATGCACTTCCAAGTTTCTTTTCAATCCACTTGAAACAATTGCAAATGCGGCATTTTTAATGCGGTATATTTAATGTCATTGTTTGTGTGGTTTAATGGAGATGTCTAATGAGTGACCTTTATTTACCAATTAATATGCCTTTAAATTTAATATGAGAGCCGAAATAATTTACAGCAAAAACATAGTTTTGTAATAAAATTTCAGTTTTTTTGAATAAATTCCACGAAATGGTCGAGATTTCGACACTGATATATCTTCGTGCGAAAGACAGCTTTTAATAAATAATGCACTATTTTAATTACGGCAAATACTTCTGAAGATTTCCACTTGAAAAATATTATCCGATAGTAAATTTAACAGAATGAATAAAAGAGATGCTAACCTCTTTGACATCCTTCTTTACCAGGTACCTGAATCCAACCAGCGCAACACTGTGCCGTTGTATGTCTTCTTGTACGTGTAATATTTTTATATGTACGATAATATACTCTCCTGAAGTGTTTTCATTTTTTTCCCTCTCTCAATTATAATTGAAATCATTTAGCTTGATTTACAACGAAAAGCGAATAAATGATAGTTCTGATTTTTTGTAAATTATCTTAAATATTATTTGTTGAAAATGTTTGAGGAATCTGATCCATCCCTCAACAATATCTATTTTTAATTTATTTGAAGTTAAGATTGACTGGTTGATTGTTAACCAGCCAATCTAATTGATTTGCTCATTTTGATGGCTATTGAAATGTAGGTCATAAAGAGAGGCCAATAAATGACAGCTTTGATTTGCTGATCTGAACAAATCTATTTCACCAACTTCAAAAATGTCACTGTAATAATAAGATATTGTAATAAAATCAAAATCTTCAATCTATCTATCTTGAAGAGTAAAAAAATTCAAATTTCAAATGTTTTACCTTAATTATTAATACTTCCTTTAAATACCTACAAAATCCGCTAAATAATCAATTTTTCAAAATCTATCAATCATAATAATTTCTTTTCAAGAAGTCAAATCTCTCAAAAGCTTTATTCTTCTACTTCATCATTCATAAAGCTATCGATCAATTCACTAAGGCAATATAATTAATTACTCTAATTATAGGTTAGCAAAAAGGTCATTCTCTATCTAGGCACCTGTACTTCTTTTCATTGCAGATTATCAAAATGATTAATCAAAGAAGCACCTTCTGGAAGACATCGTGATGTTATTCATTTACTTCTATCTAACACTGTCAAGCAGACAAATGTTAACAAATTATGATTATCAATGATAACAGTTATGATTATTTCTCATTGGTTTACATTCTCTTTTCTTGTAAGCATGTTGACGCAAAAATGAAATCTCCCAATCAATAAAATTAAACTCCACTCGATCATTTCACACCTCGAAAATAAATTTAAGGTGGTAGTGGATAAAAATTCACTTTAGTTGATTCATCTAATGATGTGAAATTTTTGGCAATCATTAAATTATTCATCAATTAAATTAATTCTTCGTCATTTAGCTTTTTTGTTTTACACAATTTTACACCTTTTACACATACAAAAATTTTACACCTTTCTATTTTATGAATTTTGATTTTTCTTTTTTGCAAATTATCTTTTCCGATCAAAACAGAATAAATTTTTAATAATTAGATTGATATTGAATGATGAAATTAGTCTCTTAGAAGGGGTTGAAATTCTTCAGACAATACGTATTTGATGAAGAAAAATGAAGGAATAATTGGTAGAGTGAATAGATGCAATCACAGTGAGAGAGAGAGAGAGAGAGAGAAAGAGAAAGAAAGAAAAGAGAAATTATGGAAAGGAAAAAGGAAGTTAATGAATGTTGCGAGCGGAAATGATTTATGGATTCGACATTTTTACTACAACTGTCTAATTTTTGTGAGCAAAATATCAAAAATATACTAATACAAACATAATTAGTTCTATTCATAAAATGCATGCCATTAATTAAATTAATTTTTTTTAATTGAAAATATTCAAATTTAAAGAAATTAGCAAAGTGCTATCATTTCTTTTATCTTTTATGTGTATGTAAAAGGTATAAAATTGTGTTAAAAAATGGCAATATTTTGATATAAATGAAAAGAACAATAAAAACTTAAAATTAATTTATTAATCTCAAATTAATATATTAATTGGAAGCGTACATTTATATTGAAAATATAAATGGGAGGAATTATTTTAAAAAAAAGTGAAATTGGAATTATAACAAACTTTGGTTCACGAACTGAACATGATTGAAACTGTCCATTACAACCGGGTTTTCGACTTCTAATATATTTCGTATAAGTTTGAACGCATGGCTCACGTACCGTTATTGTTTCAATTTCTTCATGTGGGCAAACATTTAATCTGAAAGAATTTTTAATGAAAGATATGATTGAATTGCATATATGCTATTTATTATTTTATAACTATTATCATATTAGCATGATATGATAATAATATATGATATAATAATTATAAAAGAATCATGTGTGATATGATAATATATCAGTATGATACGATAGTAATTATAAAAGAAATGATATATCATTCATGGACGATAGTGATTTATATTGATATTAACGCATATGGAAAATGAAATTCGATTTGCTTAAAAACTTTACTCATTCATTTCATTATTTCAACAATGAAAATTTAATATTCTTTAACTTGAATTTAAATTTTGTAAAGCGAAATTTTTACTAAAATAAAGATATAGATAGCTTGAACATTTGTACATTCTTATATTATTGCAATAAATTTACAGCTACATTGCGACATCTGAAATAGTTGAATTGACAAGGTCATCATCTCTTTCTTCCATTTCATCTTCTCATTAAATAGCAATAAAAGCAATAACATGCAAACATCACTTAACAGTAAACAAAGTTATCGCTAACAGTAAACAAATTTATTTTAACAAACAATTAATTCATTACCATAATTAGTAACTTAATTATTTCATAACACTAATTACTGAAAAGAAAATGGTTAAAACGAATAATACCATTTAACATATAACTAACTAGCTGTACCTATTCTAAATCATTTAATCACTTTACCATTTAATTATTTAATCATTTTATCATTTAATCATTTAATATCGATAAGATATCTTTTTTTGCATTTCCTTACAAAGTTTTTCTTGCAATAGCATTTCCAATGCTTCTCCTTTGTTTGTTTGCAACTAATTTCAGGTTGATTAAAATTCATCGTAACTTATAATCCATTCAGTTAAAAAAATATGGAGGATACAATTAATGATCAGAGGTGATGCTCTTTATCATTCCAAATTTAATTCAATATTCAAACTAAAATGTCTTCTGAGTTTGTTTGCTATCTGATACGGTGCGAAATTTGAAACGTAATTTGAGATAAAATTTGAAACAATTATTCGGTTAATTTCTAAGCACTTGGCAATGCACACTTATCTAAAATATTTCATGATAAATTTGAAATCAGTTTATGGCATTTTATTTTATGAATGATTATCGTCGAAATTTTACGGATCAGCCACTAATCATTTGTTGCACAATGCTTTCCAATAAATATTCATCTCATTTAATGGATGTTTTTGTTGTTCGCCATCTTCATTTCTCGATCCGATCTTCCATTCTGTCATTCATTGCTTCATTATGCTACAGACGGAAAAATCACCATAATATTTGGTTTTATTTTTCGGTGATTGATTACCCCAATCTCAGAAATTTTTTTGCTTACTGCGAAAAAACATCAATCAAAATCAATCAAAAGTCTATTTTTGTTGATCAATCAATTTGTTGTTTATTTTAGAAGATATTATTCAACGACAAGATACTGTAACTGTTTAAAATACATTGTGAATAGTATAATCATGATGCAACTATGATTTAAATATGATCAATATCGTAATTCTGGGAAAGACTAAATTAAGATTATAAACTTGCAATATCATTTTAATTGCAAATTCTTTTCCATTATGTTTATGTTGATTGTTAGATTTTTACGGTTTATTTTTACTTCATTTTTACTATTTCTATCTAAATGAAACGTGTTTTTGAGAGTGAACAAAATAGTGCCAACTAATTTATAACTCATTTTGCTGCTTTTGATAATTAATCTATCAAAATTAGAATTATTATCTTATCACTCATTTTGTTTCCAAACATTAATCAGAGCACGATAGTTTCTACGATTATTATTTGCTTGCTCAGGGAAAGTATTGAAATTATCTGGTGAATTTTTAGCAATAAAAATAAGCAAGAAGAAAGAGAGAGGTACTTGATAATAACACAAATTAAAAGGATTGTTAAACGAATTATTATCTCTTTTTAATTGATGTCTTTATTATACCAAAAAAGCCGCTATAAAACTGCTAATTTTCATTAAATCTTTATATTTGTATGCAATCAATTGCCATCTATTTGTTGAAGGATTGAGAAAATTTATAAATGCACAAATCAGAATCGTATATATTTGTAACTTTCCAATGGGTATTATGGAGCTTTACGTATGCCATTTTTGGAATCTGACGTACGTGAGCGCGTTGCTTGGTTATCTTATGAATCGGATGTTTTTACGTGTTACAGTGGAATGAAGAATATGGTCAGATAGGAAATAATTTCAAAAATGCAATACTTTCTTACTTTCTTATTTAATATTAATTAATTAATTATATGTATCATCATCGTTACATATGGAATCTTTTTGTAATAAATGAAGGTGATAATTGAAATAAAAATGTAAACATCATCCTCATAAGTATAAATCTTCATTGATTTCATTGACGAAAAGATATCGTCAAATGAAGATTTTTACTTTCTGATAACTGATTGTTATTACTTCTACTATCAAATGAATTAAAATTCTTTACAAGTTTTCACTTTAAATTTTAATAAAATTTTTTGATCGCTATTTCAAAAGTTATTCTTAAAATATATTTTTTATGCTTGCTGAAATAGATTTCCTCGTTTTCTGAGGAATCTACTTGTAAATCGTTTTCGAAAGAAACTGAGAATATCGAATATCGCCAGCAAATTGGCAATAGGTTTATATAATTTATTTCCATATGATGGAAACATTTGTGTTCAAGAATGAAAGAAATGAGATTGCGGAAAATGATTGGATAAAAGTAAACACTTCAGATATGTTGCGAATAAGTTTGAGCGATATTAAAAAATATCATTATTAAACAAAAAAGTTCGCATTTCGAAGAACAGATGACCCAATGGTAGACAGAATATTTCTCTTACTCTGCTTATATTTATTTATTTATGGCATAGAAGTTATGAAATAATGACTTATGAAAACTTTATTTTTTGAACTCTATTCTTCTTATTAATCCTTTTCTGTTCTTCCTCTATGTTTTTGCAATAAGATGGCTATATTACCGACATAAAAGGAAGCAAGACAGATGGATGAATCGATCATACACTTCCCTCCATCTCGAAAAAAGTAGAAATTTGTGATACGGTGGTTGTGGTGGTGGTAGTGGTGGTAGTTCAACGTTTAACATCAATAACCCTAGGAGGGGGGTGACAAGATTAGGCATTTTCTTTACTACGTATAATTGCGCACTGAAGCACATAAAATCGCTATCCACTTCACTTTATCCTTTCATTTTTAACATTTGCATAATTTTGGAAGAAAATCAAAAAACCAAACAAAATGTATCAAAAATTGGGTTTCTCTATAGGATCAGTATGTAAACATATTAATAATAATTTAATAACAAATTCTTTCTTTTTATTAGAAATAATTCGGACAAAATCGGAAGAAGAGAAAATGTCTCATTGGAAAATACCGAATGGAAGAAGCATTTGTATTCCCTTCATTATCAAATTATTATAAAGTATCGAATGAATTTCTATTACTTCGAAAATCGAGTATCTCATTAAATTAAATGAAACATCAAATGAATTTTCAGTATTTCAAAATATCCAGTATCTTATTAAATTAAATGAAATAATGCTCGCTGGAAAATACCGAATGGAAGAAGCATTTGCATTCTCTTCATTATCTAACTATTATAAAGTATCGAGTGAATTTCCATTATTTCGAAAGATCCAATATCTCATTAAGTGAACGTTTTACCGATATTTTTTGATGATTCCACTTCTCTTGTAACACCAATTCACTTTAGTATGAATTCTCTATTGTCGATCATAAAGGTTGTAGGAGAAAATGGATAATATATTTTTAGAAAATGAATTTTGATGTGATGGTACTTCATGCTACTTTTTAATATCTAATAGCATTCTCCAAGAGATGAGTAGTGTGTAATACTGTCATTTACATTAAAATACGATAGCTAAATGATTCGCAACTTAATTCTTGATCATGTAAGTTTTGATGCAAGTTATGATGTATTCATTTTTAATTCAAATCTAATTTTTATCTTTTCTTTTACCGCGACCTTTGCACTTTCTCCTATTTTCTTATAATTCTTAAAACTTGAAAAAATTGTTGAAACTAATCAATTCAAATAAAAGTAATATAGCAATTGAAGCAGAAGATGAAATTCAATAATAATGACGACCTATTTTGCCATTTAAAGCTTACGCGAAGTAATATGCAAGTGAATTGCTTGCAAACTAAATATAGCTGAAGAAAGAAAAAGCAAATTTTCAACTTTGTGAAATTATTTCATTCTCATGTATATAAGAGAATGCTGTCTGAGGAGCTGGAAGTAATGAAATATTTCTATTTTATTAAATTGAACGATAATAAAAATTGAAAACAAAAATCCAAAAATTGCATACATTTTTTTATTTGCATTTATGAAGAGAAAAAGTTCAGAAGTAATTTTGTAATATATCAGACAAATTGATGCTAAGCAGGTGGATGATATTTGTCACAAAAGTGCTAAAAGACAGAGGTCAGATTCTATCTGAGATAAGGATTTCGGTATCTGAGTAGGGCACAAAAAAAGGATAAGAAAAAAGGTGATAAAACTCAATTTTCTTTGTTTCGGAGTATTTTGGATAATGATGACGATAATAGAGATGAGGACAACCTTTGACCTTAAATCAATGAATGGATTACGTTACCAGCAGTGCGGATGATCAAAAGATTATGAATATCGACGAATAAAGCAACCTGAATGAATTTAATACTTCTGAGCCACTGCATTCATTAACTATCCCTCTAATCATTTGAAATTACACTTTAAAATAAATGCATATTGAAATGCTTCGGTGTGAATCAAAACTTCTGGGTCAAAATTACATGAAAATTTCAATTATCATAGCAAATTGAAAAGGAAGCAATCCTTCATTTTCTGACCTTCAACTTTTTAAAATCAATCATCTGATGGATGTTTCCGTGAGATAGCTCTGTCTGACCGCAATTCAATTCTTTTTTTTTTTCAACAAAATCAATTACTAATTTTGTGGGACGAAAAGATGAATTCTTATTCTTGCATATTTACAAGATATTAAATAATAATTAATCATTATAACTGAGAGAAATAGGAAATAATCAATTCTGACAAATGCTTAAATTAAGATTAAATTAAACGATATTCAATTCTTAAGAATTCAATCCGAATACGAATTTTCTACGGGAACTACAAGAAGTTATGATGATTCATTGAAAGATTATATTGTTATTTATAGCAAAAAGAAATCATCAAATCGGAACTTATCACATAACTGACAGCGTAGTAAGTTAATTGAAGTTGGTCTAATATTTATTATCAGTTTTCTTCACTTATCTCTCATGCCAATCTGGATTTAATCTCCGGAATAGAAACTTTATATTGGAAATGGATGTATTTCTCATAACTCTATAAATATTATATTAATCAACTGTCAACTCTCACTTTTTAATACATATAATATTTTATGGAAATATTTACATATTAAATAAAACCTATCAGATTTTCAAATTTTCACGATAATAAAATTTCTACTTCTTTTTGTTTGATATTTAATTTCTCTATTTAGATGGTATTCAAGAAATATTTCCTGGTCGTTGTAAAGCTTTGATCATTTTCTGCAATCGAAATAATACATATAAACAAATGTATTATTTGATTTCCTCCGAATTTCTTTTTTTAAAAATCTTTCAAATAAAATAAATCGTTTAATGTGTGTGTGTGTGTATGTGTGTGTGTATGTGTGTGCATGTGTGTTGTGTGTGTGTGTGTGTGTGTGTGGTAATACGTCAAAATAAAACTTTTGTACGCTGCAAAAATTTTTTTTTTAAATTTAATTTTATATTGTAGTTAAAAAATAATAATTATATCTGTTCATCTTTTTCAATTTTCTTTTTCTCTATTTCAAAGAAAGTTATTATATCGTTTTATCTTTTTCAATTTTCTTTTTTTCTTTTTCAACGAAAGTTATTTTATTATCTTCAAATATATTCAATCAAAATATTTTTATTGTCAAATGAAAAAGAAATTTTTGTTTTTGAATGGGTTCATTGATGTATTTGCCATTTGAAAAAAATATAGTATTAACTTGTGAAAATTTACATTTTGATGACTTTGTAACGAACATCAAACAAAATATGAAAATTACATTGGGAAGAAAGAGATAGCATAAAAGAAAAGTTATACGAATTGTAGTGGTAGGAATGAGATGTGATTTAAAAAGGAAGAAATCCGCAGTATACAGGTGAAGGAAAATACTGATGAAGAGTTATTATAAAGGTTATCATCTGAAAGTTTCATTTCTTTTCAACAAATAAGCATTATATAAATATTAGATATTACATGATATACTATATATTAATAGATAGCTATTTAACTTATCTTTAAGCAGTAATAATAATTTTAAACAGTCATAATCTATAAAAAAAAATCTCGTAGAAATTTTCTAAATTATAATTAATTAAAATTTCAATAATAAAAATTGAAAGATACAAAAAGGTTAGTTATATTGTTGTAATAAAGTAATTTAATATTGAAAAAAAATATACATGTACGATCAAAAATAATTTACAAAAAATTTTTTTAAGAAATGTAAATTAACTCACTGTCCAAGTCGTAGTTCTTGCAGTTGAAGATGAACGTTGTTGTCATTATCGCTATCGATCGCTGTTCCTTGTACAATAAATAGAAATAGTAGAACAGCTGTGAATAAATCAATGATCATGCTTGCTTGATTTCCACATTAAATTTTGAACAATTGATTTGCTTTTTAAATTTATCACCAAATAATTATTTTATGTGAAGACAAAATTATGTCAACTGATCGTATATTTTATAGAACACCATTAATCATAGTTTGTGATACAATTTTTTCTTTCCTTTTTTTTTAAAAATATCTTCGTTTAATGAAATTTCGAAATTCGATTGATAGAAATACGTAACAAAAGAAGGCGTCAAGCTGTGAAAAGTAGTAGTAATAGAAATGTTGTAATGGTATAGAGAGATGATAGTAGTGTCGGTAATAGTATTAGTTGTAGTAGTAGTAGTAGTAGTAGTAGTGATTGTAGTCTTTTCTTCGTCCAATATCGTATCAGCCGGCGACAAAGTAACACAGAAGCTTGTGGTAGACAAGAACAATGACAATCTATAATGAATTGTTTTCCTTTTTGAAAACTAAAATCAAGAAAAAAAGAGAACAAAAATTTTCGTGGATCATTGCAACAAGAAAACTAACTGATCGGATCAGGTTAGTTGTATCAAAAAATAGATGGAAATTTCATTGTTGCATATCTAACAATTTAAATGAATAAAAGATAGAGAAAAAAAGAAAACATATCAAAAGCATTTTAACATGATACATTATAATTAACAATATCACTTGCAAAATTCGAAATTCGAAACGAAATTATCGTGACGATGTAAAACGTGAAATTATAAAATGTCTAGACACGACGTAAAAAGACACTAATAATTTAACAGAAACGACGCCATTTATACAACAATAATTTGGTTCTTCCTGTTTTCCTGTTTAGTTTTCCTGTAACGTTTTCCTTGATCTCTTGATATTCAAGCTTAGTGTAAAAAAACTAGACGTAAGAATATCCTTGGTTTTTCTATGGCTTTCCTTATCCGTTTCATTCTTGCACTCTATTATTAGAAATGTGGAAATGATGTTGAAAACTGATCAAATTGAACTCTTCAATCAAAATTGACATCAAAAATTATTCTGATCATAAAATTTGAATTTCTTTCTCTCTTCTTTCCACATTCTCATGTATGTCAGTCGTTGCATCATTGTTAATTAACAATAAAAGTTGAAAAAATTATTAGGAATCAATTCAGTTTTTATATCTGATAAATAAGCATTACTTTCAATAAATCGATATAATAAGCCTAAATTGCATGCAAATTTTAATTGGTAATTAATCGAACCAAATAATTCAACCAAAGATAAAACCAATAATTCAACCAAAGATAAAACCATAGCTGCTAGCTATCAAAAAATGGCGAAGAAAAAGGAAGTGCAGCTTGTCGGTGCAGTTAATACCTTGCTACTGAGGGGTGTCTTTCTTACCTGTCGTGAGAGTAAAAGATTGAACGAGGGAAGGAAACAAGGAGCTATTCATCATAAAGCAATCAAGCATATGCATATTTTTATATATCAGATATAAAATGAAGAAAACAGAATTGCATCTGATCAGGGTAGAAAATAAAAAGAACTGAGTGTGATCAGGATAAAAGAAACAGAACTGGATGTAATCAGGATAATAGCGCTTAGATAAGCAACATTTGGATAAAACTAAATCCATTACTCATCTCTAGACATGATGTTGACCAAACTAGAACAATTGAATAAGCAGATTAATGTGACATTATGGTGACAAAGAATGGTAATATAGTCATATCGAATCATATAAGGATTCATATATATTATAGTTAACATTTTTAGAGTCAATGAGTTCACGAGAATAAATAAAGTGAATGGAAAATATTGAAACATATGAAAATGAAGATTGTTAAATAGTAGCCTTTTGAGTGGCGGTTATCACTTTAGAATTATTCCGCCGTCAAGTAATGATTATTGCTCCGCCTATCCGTCATCAAGAGACGGGTCACGCCTTCGAAACTGATAGGTAGTTTCGAAGATGAGGAAACGGTTATTCTTCGTTTCTATATATAAGAGCTATGCAATAATGGTAAGGATGCTTCCGAATAATCTCCATCACACGTACCACCTAACATGTAGCCGTCAATTATCGAAATATTGTTCCGGTAAGCTTTCTTAATTTGATAATGGTAGAAACGCCAACTGATCACACTTAAAATCTTTCACTATGAATCCTTCGCTGCACAGAATATGAAAGAGCAATGTAAGATATGGACAAGTTTACCCTTATTCATACTGTATCAATTTCAGTTAAAATAATTCTAACGATTTTAGGTAACTCTTTTCCTGACCCCACAAACTATCCCCTCTATTATATCCTCTATCCTGCTCTCCTTACTGCAGCAGTTTTTCTAAAATAGGGAATACTAATTAGTTGAAACTGGTTGAAGTGCTAAAGTTTTAATGAGAATAGTAGATGAAATAGGCCGGTCTTTAATGTTCCGTCGTACGATGGCCTTGTCACATTGCGTTTAGGAATAATGTTCGCTACTGCAAACATGCATATCTATTTTCATCAACGAATATTTTACAGTTACAAGAGATTGAGGATTGGAACTGAGTAAAAATGTGGCTTCAGAAACTTTGAAATCTTAATTACTTGCGAAGTTGAAAATTCAAATTCAGAAATGAACACTGTTTTCTGCTACATGAAACATTCAATAAAATACATTACATGAATGAAAAATGCAATGTCCATAGCTTTGAGCTAGAAAAATTGAAATTGACAGAATTAGCTAGAAAATTTAACTTTTGACATATTCAATATTTTTTCTCCCGCGATCGATGAGTAAATAAATTTCATGTGAACTTGCACTAGCTTAAAATTATTTATATTAGATTTGCAACTAAAATCCAACCGCATAATTGAAATCATTTTACTTGAAAAAATTTTTTTCATTTCAAATCAAATCTTTCTGTTCTACATAAATCGTATGTTTTGATACACGTAAGATACACGTGATACACGCGATATATAATTTTGATACATTTATATGATGTAACAACGGTGAAGGAATAAATAATACTGATGGAAGCACAATATTTTTTTTGTTGCTTTGCATGTTGTCTAATAATTCATAGTTTCAGAAGATTGGGAATTCGTTAATGAAAAGTTGAAAATTGTTGAAAATAGAATTTACTATTTGTCAAATTCAAACAAAAAAAAAAAATGTCATTTGTGCTCCTGTTTTTGCTACTCCTCCTGTTGTTCCTGCTCGTGATCTCCTGGTTCAGAACCCTCTCTGGTAGTATTAGAGTATGCAATAGCATTTTGTCGAAGTTGCTGTGATGCGAGATGTAGTGAATCCAAAAAATCGTCATCAAAGTTTTGGCTAACCCTTATCCTGTTCACTACAACATTCAAAACCCTAAACATTTTCGAGCATGAGAGAAATTAATACGTAATAAATGTCGTATAGAATCAATTGATTGCCTTATATTTCTTAAAATCTACCTTTAGTCAAACTTACTGGACATGGAAGAAATGCAAAAAAAGCTATACCTTGCTAAAGCTATCGTTGATTGTATCATGTAATCAGGGCCTATGTTTTCACGTGGTGTTACCCCTAGACGTAGAAGCGTGTGATAGTCCTGGACCCAACTGCAATATTATCATAAACATGATAAATTTTATATTAAGGCCATAAGATCATGAGATTTAGTTTACTTGTAAATTAGTCTGTATGCATCGATTATTATTGGCTGATGACAAAAGGTTAATTTTATTGAATAGAAAATGATCTTTAATATTTTATTAACCAAGTGCTTTACAATTAGAAATTAATTTCCTAAAATGATTATTGATCTTTGCTTAGGAAGGATTAATTTATTATTGAATTGTACCTATTGTCAGGCCGAGATAAATCTGCTATAATATTGATGTATCGATACAAGGGATGGTCCCCAGCATTCAATGGTCTCGGACCACGTGGAAAATAACCGAACGGTAGAAATGACACCTGAGGTAATGGAGCTGGCTCGTTATCACCTTGATTCACCGAACTATCATCCGAAGATGCAACTTTAGCCGGGCTAGCACGAGTTGCTCTCAAAGTTTGAGAAGCAGGACGTATTGAAGGTGAAGGATTTCGTGGCGTGCACAATCGTGATGAAAAAGCACTTCTCGGTGACGTTCCCAATACTTTTCTCCCTCTGATAGTTGCAGTGGCAAGAGTTGCTGACTGGAGCATATAGCTTGGCTGTGGACGAGCTAGATTCGGTAAAGATGAGGGTTCACCACTTATCAGAGGCGGTGATTCTGGTTCGTCTTGGGACGAGGTATGAGAACGATCGGTATAAGTTTCTGTTGGCGAATCATCAGTGATGTTTCTCCGCGGGATAGGAATTGAACGGAGTGCATAACGACCGGTATGAATTTCTGTTGGCGAATCTTCAGTGACATCTCCCTGCTGAACTGAATCAGTGTGCACCACCGAACTGGATTGTTCGGAACGTGAAGTGCTACGAGATAACTTTTCATCAGATGAAATCTTTTTCGACATTCAAAAATCTAAAATAAATTAATCCCTCACTAGCTAAGGCATATCAAAATAATTTTACGCTCATATATAATAGAAATAATTTCAAAGAAGATTTCCAATAGGATAATAGATATACCTTTCTAATCGAACTAAGCTGAATTGTTTTAAATTTTTAAACTAACCTCAGAAAAGATATGCATATATGTAATAGAAACTTAAACGGTAAGAATGAATGGGAAAAATGATGAATAAAATAATTCCAGTCTATGGTTATTAATGTAGCAACAATACCGTTAACATTGAGAGACTGATATTATCAACTAATGATAGTTTCCAAAAATTAATCACACTGAATTGGAACGGAAAAATAATTCACCCACAAAACAAAAAAAGGTATATTAGAATAGTAATTCAAAGCGGTAAAGAAATGAAACACTAAGGTGCAAAGATCTCCAATGTGACGCACTTCCCATACATTCTTTTTAAACAAAATTAATGAGAAACAAGCCAAGCAGGAAATAATTAATCCCTCGTTGTGCCATTCAGATTTCTGGTTGAGGTAGTTATCCATACTTCTATCTCACGCTATTTGTTCATAGATTAGTTAGGAACTCGTTTAAATTCATTTCGAACTTAGATACCTAACTAAAGCAAAGGACACGATTCAAAGCTCAATTTCGAATCCCAAATGATCAAAAGATCTTTTTTCTATGCACTTCAAGTCATTATTGTGAAACTAACAATCAACCGGCTAGCAATAATTCAATCAAGATTCTGGCAAGATTTTCGTTAGTGAGATGGACCTCTCGTTGCAATCCCGCTACTTTAGTATGGTCAGTGAAGTTTCTCGAAATCCCCTAATTAGCGCATAAAATTGGCAATCTCTTTGGCGTCCAGCGAGCATCTATCTTTGTTTTTTTAATAAGATTGCAACACTGATCACAGAAGTCAATTTTTATTGAAAGGAATCTCACAAAAACGACGCACTAAGGCAAACACGCCTTACAATCTTAAAATTAAAGCTTAAGTAATGATGTTTTAAATGTTTTGCTTCAAGTAATGCAAATTTTAAAAGCGAGATACTATTCCACTTTATATACCTTGCAATCACTGTAGAAAGTAGAATATTACGAGATAAAAACCTAAGTTCCCAAAACTTAAAGGACCAAATATTGATCTGTAGGATCAATATTTGAAATAATCCAACGATGTTTCACTGTTTTAGCTTTTTCAATAATTTAGATGAATTTATGACTTGTAGCTTTTCATCAATAATCACTGGAAGATATGGAATTCTGGTCGTCGTTATCAGTACTTGTTGATTCGTTGCCTTCAATGCTAGCTGTCGTATCTTCATGTAAATCAGATAGTGCGTCTGGTGTTCTGCAGAGATATGGGAATCAGTTCAAATTTCATGAGATTTTCAGAGAATTTGCCTAATTTACTTCACAACTAACTATGATGTTTCGAACGTCTCAATCCTTGCTGGAAATAGGAGGATGTTTTCATGAAGCATTTGACTTTTGCAACTTATATGGCCTTCGCTCTTTTCTTGGTCAGTCATAAGTTGACAATTCTAGTCGCTACTACAAAATAATTTTCCTAATGGTGTATAAAATAAGATTAGAGCGATCCTGAAATAGTACCCGGTACTTTAAATTTCACTTTCCACGAAAAAATAATTGAAAACAACAATGAAAACTTGCTCAAAACATTCCAAAAAATGGGAACATACTTCGAAATTATGTAAACTACGTAGCCGTTATTTCCGAAACTATTACTGCCGTTATTTCCTTGGTAGCTGCTCTAGCTATCTAAATATAACTTTTTCTATAATGGTAATGGCCGTAAATTAATTACCGTATGACATGGAATGAAATATGAACTTTATTATCTCAAAAGAAACTGAAAATTATACATACTGGAGAAGTGCTGTGTCAATTCCTTGACTCGCCATCTTTTGCTTTACCGCGCATTCGGGTACTCCCTGAAATTGTGAGGCAACAATACATAAAAAAGAATACGCTTAAGTTAATAAATTAGCTTTCAGATATCGCAAACAGTTACAGTAAAGTGGAAATTCGTCAGCGCAAGGGGAATATAATTGATAATCCAACTTTCCTTACTGTCGTTGTGCACGAGGGGTATTATAAATTACGAAAAAGAGGTGAATGCTATGATGCGATTATAATAAAGTTATGTAGGAAAGGCATCGGAAACGAACCATTTTAAGCATTTTAAAATAAATAGCATAGCGAGGGTCATCTCGAATGTGAAGGCAATGATTTTGTTTCATAGAAGACGCTTTCGAAACCATCAATTCATGTGGTCTTTCAAGGGTAGCGGTAGAACTCGAAGCAGATAATGGTTCTGAATTAACTACTTCCGCATTCTGAACTACTCTGTCCTGAAAAACCAAATCTTCAGGAAATGAGCTCCAATGAGAGTAATCATTATTAAAGTTAACTATATTTTCAAAAAATGAACGACCCATAAAGAATACGATCATTCCACCTAAATCTGCTAATTTGATTCCAAAAAACAAAGTGAGGGAAGGATTTCGTGAGGTGATTGAAGCAAATAAAATCGGTTAACAGCAACAGTTAATCCCATTTTATCAACATTAACTTTCAATTCTAAAATGAAAGGTGCACCTTCTTCATAGTATCTTCCATCGTAATTCCACTAAAAAGTGGACCATCATTTTGTTGTTTCTCAGATAACTCAGTGGCTTTCGAAACTATGATCTGCAGACCTGGCACACTATCTAACTAAAAACAAATCTCAAGCAAATTCGTTTATTTTTAAATCATAGAGAATAGAGATAGAAGACTTCATGATTTTTAAAAATTTTCAACAACTCGTTTTTAAGGGGCAAAGAAGCTCAATTTTTCTGTCGCCATTTCAAACATGACCGGTAAGGAGTAGTTAATTGACTACTTTAAGTTCCAAAAGTTTCAACTCCACTTCCACTCGATTCAAACGCCTTTCCATGTCGACAATTCTTCGCTCAACATTAGATACAAAATTTTGCAGCATCTCAACATTTCTCATCAAGAAATAATTAACAAATGCAACAATCTGTTTCGTCCCGAGCGGTTTCATCTGAAATTTCATTTCTTTCTCTCTCTCATCTTTCTGAGAGTCATACATTCTGCCACTTCTATCAAGTGACTAAACTTCCAGCTCATTTCTGAATAAAAGATCATCCAACCAGATCAGTGATATCAGATGAATTGTAGAGAACTCACCTGGGACATATTAATGCCTGCGTCAACGAAGCTCATATTAGTCCGATTATCTAGCATTGAATTCTCATTAATTTGTCATTCGTTATTTACCGACTTCTGTATCTGTGAAACGTTCCGCTCATGAAAAAGCTGAAGAACTTTCACAATTTTAAATCAAATAAGAAATGATCATTTTCAAGATAAATAAATATGCATCATACTTCTTATCTCTCAGCCCTTATTAGAATAAACTATGTTTACGATACCTTCACTCTTCGCAGAATATGGAGTAAACATGAAAGATAAGGTCATCCTGGTTTAATACATTACAAAGACAACAACATCACAATGAATTCTATTATATTTTACATTTCGACAAAAATGATTCAAAATTTTCGACAAAAATGATTAGAGATAATCCAATGTTGATAAATTACCCATTTTCATTTTCAAAATAATGTGATGTCCTTCAGACTTAAGAAAAATGTAAAAATGTTGAAATTATTAGATAACTAAATCAAGGACACAGCAGTAATAAGGATGAGAAACAGCAAAATAAGTGAACAGTCACAAGCAAGTGTACTGAATAGCAATATTGGCTCACAGTAAAAACCATGTCATATTGAGAAAATAAGAATTCAATTGTTAAAATATAGAATATACATGTACATGAAAGAATGACTTCATCAAAAAATGGTTTTGAATAAACGACAAAAACTTGACTAACGAAAACACAAACCGCTACTAAATATCGTAGTAAAGAGGCTCTAAGTTCCTAACAAACAATAATAAACATGATTGGATAAACTGGACATCCATAGAAAATCTCTTCAAGGCCTTACACTTTTCTATTTTACTAGAACTCTTTTAAGTCTCAGGACTTCGTTCTGATAAAATCTTGCAACAACTTAACAGTACAGATGACTATTTGCTTCTTTGGAAAGGAAAATAACGAGAGTGACATGGTTCCAATTATCGAGTCAAGATTTATTTTTGTCAACTACGGCCACCTCTTCAACAGGCTTGATATGCAAATCATCTTGATTGTTGTCTGCTGAGTAGGTATTACTTTCAGTTTCTGGAATATATTTTCCATTTAATGCACTTTTTGGAACATTTACAAGACGATCAATATCCAGTAATGGCAGTCGTCTTTGTTCTGGTAGGATTTCATTCAGGGTTTCAACCGCTGACATTAGATCTTGGAAAAGAAACTGAAAATAAAATGACATTGGATTAGTAATTCTAAAACAAAAAGTTATTTTATAAATGATGCGTAGCATCTGAAAGCTCATAGAATTAATAGAATAACTCTTATGAGCAATATATTGAGACACAAACGCTTCGGTGCACTCTCAAACTGTAGCATTCAGTAGAAACACCCAGACAATAAGACTGCTGCAGATTGAAAATCTGGTTGGGAGAGAATTTCTAATTATCTTATAAAATCTTTTACGCTAGCGTTTTGAAATAAAGTATATCTTTAAAATTATAACAGAAAAAAATACTCTTACCCGAAAATTTGAAATATGCATTTGCAAATCGCTAATTTTTTCCAAATAATTCTGAAAACGATCCATTGATCTCTTTCGATCATTAAACTGTACTAACAAAAGTGCAATATCGCGATCCACCTAAAATAAGGATGATTTTTTCGTGCAATGCGGAATCTCCTAAAATTACTTTAAGTAATCTTCCACTAGCAACAAAATATACTTCCTAGTTATTATAAGTGCCTTTTTTGTCGTAGATAAGAAAAACTACTAAAATGTGAATTAAGACTTTTTCCTCCCATCAGTTATTGAACAACTGTGAATTATTGGTAAAGCATGATATTTGATTTCATTATGTACAAAAATTCTTGACTTTCAAAGTAAGTAATGCAGTTAAGATAAGCTAACATCTTTCATCGAATTTCCCAGCGATTCCTGTCTCATAACCACAGCATTAGCACACCGTGACAAATGCTCTTGTAAACGATAGGCAAATTTCAACAATGGGCGAGCATTAATTTTGAATATTGTCTCCGGCTGATCACGTAAACCTGGCTGATTTAAAGAACTTTTCAAAATCGGATAAAATTTCGGGATTTCCTGAAAAACAAATTAATTTCTGCAACATTAGATCGTAGATTGTACATTGAATGGAAGCTCGCATGTTTATTAAACACGCATATGATATGAGGCACATTTTGCACTAAGTATGTTCATAATATACAAAAGGAACGGGATGTTTAGGAATAATTGCTTACTAGAAAGCGTTTCATTATGTCATCATTTCTGGAACATGATGGGCCCATCGAATTCGTTCTCTGCTTTACAACAATTACTTTGCCTTTCGTTTTCGCATTTGATCTTTTATTCGACAAAAATGAATGTGATGGGGAAGTATTACTACCATTGCTGCTCAGTCCATTACCCATGCTTCAAGTGTATGCAGAATTTCGAAATCAATTTTTAAATACGTGGTGGCCTTGGACGGTTTAAATGTATGCGATCAATTCCTGTATCAGTCCAACGCTTCTCCAGCTCAGCCGTTGATTCCTGGAATGAACGAGTATTCAAAAGATTGCTGAAGAGATTTATAAGATCGTCGAAGAAAAAGAAACGGATAAAAATAAAAGAGATGACACAGAAAAGAGAACGGTACTACATAATGATATAAGAGATGAACTGATAAAAACATACTTGGCGAAAACTGACACTCGATGGAAGATTTTCAGTCTCTGGATCAGGAAGATGTTCACGGGGTATTTCAATGCTCTCCTTAAATAGCAGAACATTTAAATTAATACGTCATGTTTCCCTAAAAGAAAGCATAAGCCTCTAGAAATCCGATTAAATTGAAGCAGTTGGTTTTGACTCATTTAAATTGAACAGAGAACAACTTTATCGAATTTCATTTTATTCATACAAGAAGCATTTTACAATTAAATACGCTATGAATTATTGGCGTGATTAATTAGGAAATTTATTCCTTCAATGATCTTACAATCCCTTCAGCACTCCTTGAAAGCTCGTAACATGTACCTATATAGCAACTGTCATTATACTCATAATGATAATGATCTTTTCCGTATGAAATCCACACATGTAATATTCTTAGTATGATTAGCCAATTTTATAGCTTATTATACAAAACCAAAACAAAAATCGATCATATTTCGTAAAACAAATCGAAATACATAAAACCAGTTGATCAGTGCTCCCATTCAACTTTATGAATAGCTTTTGTTAGAAATGAATTCCTAGATAAACTAACCACTAACAAATTTCTGGATAAGTCACTTATCGGCAGCGAGTTTTTGGAAGATTTATATATAGCCAACGTGGTACTCCTAATTAATGAATTCTTAGTCCGGCCTATTATCTACGTATTTTACAAAGTTAGCTTTCAGCAACTCCATAATAAGGGCTACCTTTGGCAGCTGATGAGAAATCCAATCCTTGTCACGTTTATTTAAGTTGTAATCAAGGGAGGCGAGAAATGGCACACGCGACATTTCATGGGTTGACCACTTTCAATCTGCAATAATGCAGAGCCAAAAATATCGTCCATACAATCTATCATCCTGCTTAATCGATTGCAGCAACGAATTCATCGGAGACACTAATTAACTCAGAAAGGGTTAACTCTATATGAATTCTAAGTTGTAATTTCAGTTACAGTTATAAAGTCTGTATTTGAAAGAATTCGGTAATCGATCATTCACTTTTTCTAATATATAATCTTTTAGAGATACCAAATTTGGCTCCCCGAATCATCAGTAGTGCAAGACTTGATTAATGCGCCATTCGCGAACTATATCGTAAAGGGAATTATTAACTTGTTATGCCGCACTATAAAAAACGGTTCCAAGGTCCATAAGCTAAAGAAAATAACACGATAACCGAGAAATATCACCTCTCGTCGACTCCCTATTTTATCTGAAAAATATAATCGCAAGAACCGATCAAAAAGCATGTCTTATCTATTTTATTATCAACAAATTTTCCTGTAGAAATTGCCATCAGATAGGTTTTCGACCCATAAGTGTGATAATGCAACGTGATAGTGATAAAAAAATTTATTACAAATGAAGGAACAAACAAAAGATTTAAAAAGTTTAAACATTCAATCATGATAAAATTTTATTGTAAAAAACAACATTTTACAAACACTCATAACAAATTTTCCCAACTCTCAGAAATCATCCCTGCGTGACTGAAATTATAATTTAGTAAAGTAGAAAGAAAGACCAAGAAAAGCAATTTAAAAATTATTAAGAATACACAAAACAAATGGGATAAACAAATTAAACAAATTATTAGGTCATAAATGTAACGGATATGTAGTATTCATTAAAATAGAGCAAATTAAATTGCGCTCCTATGTTGAAAAATAAAAGACCTTCCTGAAAGAAAATATAATATCACATAAAAGCACACGTAGAGAGTAAACTTCAATATAAAATTTTGAGAAAATAAGAAACGAAGAGATGAAAGAGGGTACTTCTTACCATAAACATTATAAATTTTGCAACAATTATTTCCGGCTATTTCTCTTTCCTTTTTCGTTTGTCGCATATCTCTTCTCGACATCTTCTCCAATTTAATTAAATAATCTTGCACATTATAGGAAAAAAGAAAGATAACAAGATAAAAGAAATAACAAGACAAATGAAAAACCAGAAATTTAAAACAAACCAAACTTGAATTTAAATCTAACTTTCATTCATAATTATTTCAACCAATTCATGTTGAATTCAAAATCTTTGTACCAAAAAATTATTTCCCTCATCTTTTTTGAATCCAAGCTGTTCATAGAAGGATATCAATCCATCCTTGCATTCCAATGATAACTTATAAACACCGATATGTCGTGCTAATGCTACCAAATGTTGATTAAGTAATATTCCGAAATTTTGTCCGCGAAAGCTTTTATCCACAACAACATCTTCAATGCGACCCCGACACCCAGCATCATGAATAAATTTCCATTCCAAAACAAGTGTTGCTGATGCTACTACACGTCTTATCCTACGAAGATTTCAAATTTATTAACCCAACATCATCCGGAGAAAGAAAGAAAAATCCCTTATCTCATTTATTTTCCTTTTTTAAATCAGTCGGTGGGTTAGCTAAGCTGCGTGTAATCGTTTTAGCAGCAGGAATATGTGCATGTTAACAGAAAAAAGTAATATCTTTTATATTCATTCCTCTTCTCTCCTTCAGCTCTTACAAGAGATGCATGATCTTTAATTCTGGAGATTTAGATCATCGAACTTCTTTAAAGGACGCATGACTGTATTACAAGTCTGTTTGAAGCTTATAATGGATGCTTTTTTTTATCACTTTCCAATCTGTATTACTACATAGTGAGATATATATGTTTTCTGGAAAGCATAAAAGAAATTTGCAAAATCTATTTCAATAAGAATGAAACTCTCCTGCATCCTCTTGACTAGAGAGATTTTACTATAAATCACTTGTCTTCAAAAACTTACTCTTCATGTTCAATGACAATAATATAGTACGCAGGAGGTGACGTATTGCGCATCAAACTGAACCTGCAATTTACTCTAATCCCGCTTAAATAATACAAATTGAAGTCATAAGACAACTATCATAGAACATATGAATAGCTAAAATGGTCTACGAACAAAACCTGAAATACTTATCGTAAGGCCTGGATCTACTGAGAAATTCTCCGAAAAAACTTGTTGAGGACAACATAAAATCAAGGAACATTTGTGAAATTAACATTATTCATCACTCACCGATGAAGGAACATTTCCTCGGTAACATCACCGACAACGGTAAGTTGAGCTAATAATTCCAAATAACCGCGATGATAGTCAGTTGACATCAACGGTCGCAAACGATAACCTTCCGGTATCTCTGGCAATCCTTTTAAATGAACGAAATACAAAAAGCTTTCAGCAAATATTGTTTTGCAATCTGTAAAAAAATTCTGCAAGAGTTCAATGAGCCTGGACTGGATTCTGTTTGGCCTTAACCGTTGCATCGATTTCTCAGAAGTGGCCACTTCAAGCCCACTGCTACAGAATTCTTAGCTTGAGCAAAGAATCTCATTTACCGTTTTAAACGGCAACAAAACATTCTTAAATACATGACTCATTAACAAATATGACGATAGATATAACTTATGGAGATATTTACAAAACTCTTCCAATTACATCTAAAACATTATTCATATTTTCATATTAAAGAAAGAAAACAAAATGGGTAACCTGTTGTGCTTGATAAATGCCTGCTGTGATGAGCTTCTTTCCTACTATTATATATTGAATTTTTTAGATCCATCATACTATAGAATGAACAAAATTTTCAATCTGTAATGAACAAAATAATAATAATAATGAAATAATAATAATAGTACAAAAATAATAACATTATCAAATAACAACCTGTATTATTATATTGTGTATATTATTAAACGGCATTATTCCTATAATAATATAACCTTTCAGAGTTAACTTTAACCGGTCTGCAACTCACACTACTGACTAAATACATCCAACAATTATCAACTACGTTTCCTAATAAATCTTTTTTACTCTCAACTACATCCTTCACTACGACACAGGATTATTTTCTTACTCTTCTCAACCTCTCTCTACAAAATCTCCATTATTACCTTTCACGCTCAACACATCGATCTTACCATTTTCATTAATTCCCTCCATCACAAATTTTTTATGAATTAGAAGAGCATGTTGCATGCAACTCTTCGTTTCGCACTTCATGCAAGCATATTGCACACATCCGTGCTTTATGCGACAAAATAGTATTTGGAAGATTAAATGGAACTTAGTACTTAGTGTTTCCTTCGGATAGTAATTCGGTTCCGGGGCAAAACGAATTATATTGTCGTAATGAAATTCGGATCAACAAAACAACAGCTTTCACTGCTTAGAAATTGATCCGATTTTCGTCGGAAGTAACGACAGTGATTTTCAATTTTTTCCTTGCTGAACAATCTCTGTTTGTATTGTTTATCGTATCATACTTTTTCCCTTTAAACGCTTGCTGAATAATTCCTTATTGTTGTTGTTGTTGTGTTGCAGAAGATGTGGCCATCAACAAGTACGGAAAAATTACCGGAATATGTCGTTGTGGCATATCCGGGAGTGGTGAGAAATGCGGAGAAGGCGATTGAAACTTTGGGTGGTGCTCAAACTCTTAGCATGGTAAGTGAAAAAAAAAATTAGTTGAAAATTTCAAATAATTTCTTGCCTGGCAATATTGTTTTTGAGATTATATCGCTTCGCATTCGAAAATGTGGCGCTTAATATCTCTTGTTATTCATTGGTCTTTTTGCAGAACCATTTTGCTGGTCGTCCAATCGAACTGCGACATCATCCGAAAAATCTCTATGCAAATGCTTTGGTATCAGAGCGAGGATCCGCCGAAAAATCTTTCGGTGGCACCGGAACAGTATTGTGTGTTGCGACTGTACGTGTCAAAAAGTCTGATCCAAACTGTGTGCAAGCAAAAATAATTGGAATGGTACTTTTAGATTTCTATTTATGGATTTACTTTTTCTGTACAAACGACAGAAGCTTAGAGTCATATGTTTCTTGGGGTGAGGGATTCAGGTAATATATAAAAATTAAAAAAAAATTATAGGTTTCAACAGTGTATACGTTCAAATCCATGTGTGATTTCCATTACTTACCAATTCGTCGAAGTGAAACATTTAAGGAATGTTTTGAAAATTTAGTAAGTTTATATTTATAACTTTTGCAAATAAATGTCACTCTTTTTTCCGCAATAAATGACGGGTCAAAATTAATATTACATTGGGTGATTCCTCTTTTACAAAAACTAAAAGCTATAGTGTCGTTTGATAATAAATAAAGTGGAGCAGCTTAACAAAAAGTCGAGCTTCACCTAGCTTTTTTATTATATGTAAATGAGTTGTTAGTAATAAATTTGTTCGAATTTAGATTTTTAGGCAAGTTTTTTTCAGGTACCGAGATTGGTACCATTAGATCTTCCGAGCGCTCTGTCATGGTGGAACCAACCTGAAAGTGAACCTCGTACACCGTTACATCTTCCTCCTTATCAGTTCTCAAGGCAGTTCTTTTTTTCTGAATTGAATTTCAGCCACGTAAAAATATAGTTTCAGTACTTCCATCACCGGAACATTTCATATATATATATATTGATTTTACATGCACAAATATGGAGTTTTACCGGCTTCCTATTGCACTCATGTCCCTTTCCATTCATTGCTGAAGGTGTGTAGCAAATATGTGCAGCAATAGATATGAAGCATGTTTGCGTTTCCATAAGTATATTAGCAGTGTCAAATTACGGTCAACACTCGGTTTTCAAGCATTATAAAAGCTTACATTTCAAGTTTTGAGCTCGTTATTTGCAGGTACTCAGTACCATCGTCCAAGCTATTATGCAAGGAAACTGATTTCTCACCGGAAAAAGTGAAACGAAAAAGCGCTGGGCACGGACAAAGTTCTTTTTTTTTCTTGTTGATAAATTTTGTCAGAGTTTGCTAGTGCTTTACTGAAGTTGCGTTTTTGAAGGGAAAGCAGTGATGGCAAAAAGGGAGATCCAGAAATGGGGCATTGTAATGCAGCTTAACCTTTTAATTTCAGGATATGCATATAATTGATGACAGGTATAGTGGAAATGATGAGATCATTTGATGTTTTACAAAGCTATATTATAGATTGCATAAAAAAGAGTCTGCCATAAATAAATGATTCACTGGTTGAATCATTCGAATTGTAAATTTTCCAGGTTTACGATCAGAAAGGAAAGCATTATCTGTAACAGTGCATTCAACCGCTGAATTTCCGAAACAGCCTACTGAAGAGGCAGTCAATGATGCAAACATTAGGTTTAGTATTTAATAAAAATAATTTAAAGGAAAAGAACACCAAGCTAATTCAATAGTCATCAACTTTAACACTTCTCAAATAATAGGAACAATTGAATCACTGCACTGAATTTAAGATTTGGACCGCTGAGTAGATCATGGAAAAATTTTAGATAATATTTTGCTGAGATATTTATAGATGTAAAAACGACGAGCCTCATCGTTTGCTACAGGAATTGTTCGAAGAGCGACCAATGTGGACCAGAGTGGGCATTCTTAAGAAAACAGGGCTGGATGATGGTTTAATAAAGTAAGGGTCGAACATAGCTGTTGTGAAATTACGAATAAAATGTACAGATAACGAAGAGGTCTTTTCTGTGAATAGTGTGTTAATAGCCACAAGACCACTATTCTGCAGAAATGTTTTGTGCAGAGATAGCTGAAGAGTGATACATTAATTTGTTGCTGAATAACTTATTGTAATTTTTGATTTTAATTTTCAGAACACTGCTACAAAAATTTGCATTTTACATTTTAAATGGACCATGGGGACGTTTGTGGTGTCGTTTCGGTTATGATCCAAGAACTGACCCAAATGTATGTCTTTATATTAATATTATATTCTATTCTTTATATTAATATTATAATTATTTAATATTATTTATATTAATATTATTCTTTATATTAATATTATATTCTATTCTCTTACCGTTGCAGGCAAAACAGTACCAGTCAGTTATGGTGACGTTTCGACAACACGCCAAAATACCTGAAAGGCAGCGTTTGAAGATTGTAACTGTAAGCATGAACTTTGCTGACTTTATTCTTCCATGTTGTAGAGGATATAGTTTACACAGCCTTATATGTTTTTCACTAATCCACTATATATTTTGCTTAGGTTTGGTAAATAAATTTTAATGTTAGTCTTCATATAAGAACCGGCTGCATTAGCTGAATTCATTTCACTTAAATTCCGAAATTTATAGAAAAATAGTGAACGATCAGGTCACGTTTCGGTTACAAGTGCTTCATCGTTAGCACCAGCGATCCCGTCTATATACGGTTCTCTTGCAGATGAGCATATCGATTTTACATATACACCTGGTAATTTATGACGAATTCTCGAAGACATAAATGATTTCGATCCTCTTATCACTTCAATAATTCTCCTTCTTTAACTCATTGTTGGGTCGTATGTCCTGTTGCCCTCTAGCTGGCCGTTAGATGTGTTAAATTTTCGATGTATTTCCCTCTTTATAGGAGAACTTCCTCGTGTGCGACAAATGTGGTATTGCATATGTGATGTAAAGCTTCCAGTTGCTGAAGAAATTGTACGAAAGGAATTTTTTGCACACAGTGAAAAAGCTGATCCGCAGAACGGATGGCTGCCGCCGGTAGATAATTCTTTTTGGTTCTCCTGAACTGCAGAAGTCTCAAGGGGCCAATTTAAATTTTTAGCTGACTGTTCTCTTAGTATCTTTGATATCTTTATAAAAATCTACAGAGGCCAATTGGATTTATGATTATTTACTATAATAAAAATGCGGAAGAAAAAAAGACCGAAGTAAGCCAGATTTTGTTTTCACATTGATTGAAGGAACGCAATGACCTTAAAAATAATCTACTTTTGTTTATAAAAACAATTTAGCTGGTTGTGTAACATTTCTTTTCGTGAACAGACAAATATTATTGTAGCTGATTTCTAATTTCAACGTATGTTTTCCAGAAAGCCGTTGACCGGATTCGTGACGCTATCAAAGAAGATGTTAGAAAACTGAGCAATCAAATCGAAGAAGAGGAGGGGATCCCAGATGAAATCGAAGAGGACTGGTGAATGAAACACTGATCAGTAAAATCGCCTATAATTGAAGTGTTAACATTGTAAAACAGTTTCTAATATTTTTGAGCTGTACAAAATTGGGCTAAATGGTTTATGAAAATGTTTTTCGCAGCACTATAAAAATCGTGCTGGGGCTAATTTAAATTTTTAACTGACTACTACTCACTTAGTGTCTTTGGTATCTTTATAAAAATCTCACAGAGACCGATTTAGATTTATGATTATTTGCTTTAATAAAAGTGCAGAAGATCATAAAGTCGAAGAAGTGCTAAAATGTCGACTGAAAAAAGACGAATGCCAACTTTGGATTCAATTTTCAAAAGTTTAAGACTAGGTACTACAAGAACCCTCTCGATCACATTCAAAAAGTCTAAAAATCAGATATCAATAGAGTGATACCTCATCGAGTCTAGGCTATTATATCAACATATCAGATGAATTTCCTATATATCAGTGAAATTTCTATCCATCTGAAAAATCTTCTGAAAAATCACGATAGTTTGACGGAACAATTAGCTCTTTTGCATCATATTAGAAGGGTGAAATTAAGAAACATCTTCACTCTGTTGCAAGACCACTATAATTATGAGAGAGGACTAAGATTTCAGAAGACAATCACAGCGATAGTCCGTTAATTGATGAAGATCTTACATAATTCGAAACTGGTCCGCACCCGAATTAAGTAAAAGTTAGGGGATGAGATCCAAAACAACACTTTTGGCGTTCATCGAGGAATCCTTTGATAAAGCTACTTTTGTGAGAACTGGTTCCAATCAGCCGTTAGACCCTTAAGGTGCTCACATGAACGGTAAGAAATCAGTTTATTATGCACGGTAAAAATTAATGTCTTTCGCTCTCATAACGGGCCAAATTTCCCATTCGATTAACTCCAAACCTTCTTCCGTAATGGTCATCTTTATGTTTCATAGGTAACTCGATGGATAATCTTGATAATTGGAATGATTTTGGTAACGATTTATTCAACGTTTTCATAGTTTTTGTGAAATGGTAGCTGGTTGAACTGTAGATATGTTTCATCCTCCACTTTGGTACTTGTATCTATTTGAAAAACTGTACATGGTCATGTCTCTCCTCCGATCATGTGAATGTGAAACATCATTGAAACAACCGTTGTTTTATCCGAATTCAGAATTATCCAAAAGATGAGGATAAAATTTCTCGAAATCATCACATCAATAAAAAAATCACTTACAGAAATGGCATCTTATCTGCAATGTACACATATTAGATAAAAATATAGTTTGATAAAGAAAGAGAGAAAGGTTAGAACCCATTTCCTGATTATTGCAGTAAATGATTATCCTAGACCGATTAGCAGAACGGTCACTTCCTTGAGAAAATTATTACATAAGTCATCAGTTTGCCAAATCTTCATTCTTTTAACTTTACCATGGAAATCTGACCAAAATTCAATTCAAATGATTTCAAATGATTGGCGTGTTTACATTACGAATTAGATGATTTAGCTATCAGTATCTGTTAAATCCATAAAATTTGTTTCTCAAGACTTGTTATTGTACATAAAAATGAAGAATTTCAATATGCTTTCTCCAAATTTTATATCCTTTAAATCTCAAAAGCTTTGTTTGACCTATATCGTTTTGACCGATCCTTTAAATCAAAAACTTCGTTTGATCTTTTTCCTTTAAATCTCAAAAACTTCGTTTAAAACAAGGAAACATATGGCTGTTCATAATTCCCACCTGGAAATGAGAAGTATATCATCAAATAAAGTTCAGGCCTAGTCTACCGTAATCGGAAATCTCCTATTTTTAAAATTAAAATGTATGATGTAAACACAGTACAAGGTACAATCGATATCAGACTGAAATGGATGCCGTCGTACCAACTTAACTCCACTCGTTCATCATAAATCCTAGGTTGGTTAGGATGATTTTCAGTACTCACAGCACGGTGAACCAGTGCTTAGTGAGAAGCCATTGACATTGTGACAAGAAGAGAGCACGTCGAAACAATAGACACTACAGAGTGAAAGTAACGACGCATCCGTGCGTAATGTTAGCGGCTTGTGGTGCGGGCAAATGAGATTTGTTGTAAAATGTTTTTCTCACCTGGTGGTACCAGAGTTCTGAGTTTGGATACATTTGTTCTTCGGTACATTAAGAAGACAAACTTTTTACCTTCATCATAACGGTTAAACAGTATAGGCCAATTCCATCTTCAGCCGAATTTGGAAAATTTCAGTGGCTTTCACTGGCGTTTGGATTTTAATGGGAATATGCTCTCCGTAATCTCAACAGTCATCTCTTTAATAAGAATTTAGAGTCTCAGGCCATTATCCCCGATGCGTATAGATGAAATGTGCATATAGATCCAACTCTGCATATAGGTTTCAAATACTGTCCACGTGATTATTAGGTATCGTAATGCCCGTGCCTCTATTTTATGACCGAAATGTTCTTTCTACTTCTTGGATCACACATATCTACATGTATTTGTTTTCCAAACTCATGATTTCGTATCCATTCGGTTTTCTGTGTTTAATGACTTGCGTTTGCAATGCAGCGATCTGTGAAGAAGTGTATTCTTAACATATTTTAATCCTTAAATATGTCACTAGTGATAAGTGACAAAGTGGTAAGTCGATAAGTCAAGGCTGGCTTTGGCTATTAATGTTTGTTATATAGGATATTTTCTTCAGAGATTTTGTCATCCAAATATATGTGCATCGGAAGTTCCCTCTACCAACCTATTCTTTACTTTTACATAGTCAACGAATAGATAGTCTCATTGATTATGGTCTGACGTTGTTCGTATAGGCTTATTATTGTGTTATTTTGTAAGTTATTCCAGGCATAACACTCATTTTCAGACATTTAAAAATGGTTGAACAGACAACTGCTTCAACAACTGAAGATGAGAAATCGCGTGCACTGGGAGCATACCGCCGTAAACTTGTCGAATATCGTGAAGTGGAAGAACGTTTGAAACAGCTAAGAAAAAGAGTAGGTTCTCAGGTGTTACAAGAGAGGAATGTGGGATGCCAGTTAGTTAAGAGTTGCAGTTTTCCCAAATAAACTCAAATTGCTTCGAGTCTTTGTTGAACAGAAAGTTCTTCATTCTTTCTTGAATTAATTCCTTTTGTTTCAGGAAGTAGAAGTTCAGAAAGAACATGACAAATCGGAAAACGACATAAAATCATTGCAATCGGTTGGACAAATAGTTGGCGAAGTACTGAAGCAGTTAACGGAAGAGAAATTTATTGTGAAAGCTACAAATGGTCCCCGATATGTAGTTGGTTGCCGACGATCAGTTAACAAGGAAGCCCTGAAACAGGTTCTTTTTACTTACAACTATGATGATTGGTAATTAGTTGGCTATTGATCGGAAAGCTTACTATCATTATTGACATTTTATTGGTTTTCATTTTTTTTAATTTTTTGCACCATTTCTTTATCAGAACTATAACTCAAGCTTTAATAACCGAAATTCCAAATCCTTTATTTTAATGAGATTATTTGTCAAACACTTTTTTCTGTTTTTTATCATAATCAAACTCTTTTAGTTGTCGATGGTTTCATATTTCTGGTTTTGTTTGTCTTGCAACTTTTGTTAGTCTGAAATTTTGCTAAAAAATAAATGCAGAGGAGTATTACTACTTATTCTTGTATACCTGTCAATTCAAAATTTCCATGAGAAAAATGTTTAAGGGTACTCGAGTTGCTCTAGATATGACAACACTCACAATAATGCGACAGTTACCTCGAGAAGTAGATCCACTAGTCTATAAGATGAGCCATGAAGATCCAGGAAATATATCGTATTCCGAAGTTGGCGGATTGAGCGAGCAAATACGTGAACTGCGTGAGGTGGGTAAACTTCCAACAGTCGTCTTTTTCTGGAAATCTTCCTCGTTGAAAATGTTGATTAATATGGACAGATCTATAATTATAGTTAAAAGTTCGGTTGGTCCTCGTATTTATTTTTATTTTATACATCGATTTCAGGTCGTTGAGTTGCCCTTAATTAACCCTGATTTGTTCCGGCGTGTCGGTATCACTCCACCTAAGGGGTGTCTTTTGTACGGTCCTCCAGGGACTGGAAAAACTCTGCTGGCAAGGTAATTATTTCATTCTTTGATTTTTGTACCCCATTATTATAAGTATCATGCTTGAAAGTATTGTTTTCATGTAAGTGGTCATAGGTTTATAATTTCGAAGATTAAGGTGCAGTTTGAAAGGGCATATTCAAGTTTTTGCTGTTCATTAATGTTTTCTTTATTTCAGAGCAGTGGCTTCCCAGTTGGATTGTAATTTCCTTAAGGTTGTGTCTTCTGCCATAGTTGATAAATACATTGGTGAGTCGGCGAGAATGATTCGTGAGATGTTCAACTATGCTCGTGATCATCAGCCATGTATCGTGTTTATGGATGAAATCGATGCTATTGGTAAATTATATAAAATTCAACTTTGGCAATATTTGGGAGGGGGATAATTGCTGCTCTCTCATCGCATGGATCACTTGTTTATTTGGCATGTCATTTACTAAAGGTTAAGTCCATGAATTGAGACTTTCATTTCTTGCGCAATGGATATTAAGCCTTGTTTTATCCCGTAGGTGGCCGTCGATTTTCGGAAGGGACGTCAGCTGACCGTGAAATACAGCGCACTCTGATGGAACTGTTGAATCAAATGGATGGGTTTGATTCACTCGGAAGAGTAAAGATAATCATGGCAACAAATCGACCTGATACATTGGATCCAGCGTTGCTTAGACCTGGTCGTTTGGATAGGAAAATTGAAATTGGTTTACCGAACGAGCAAAGTAGACTTGAAGTAGGCTTTTTTCTTTCATTTTTTGATACCTGGTTCAAATGTGCGGAGGAGAAAGCTCCTTAGTATCGTAAGCTTACTACACTGTTCAACGTTTTCACTTTTTATTTTCTAGGTGCTGAAAATTCATGCCAGCAAAATAACGAAACACGGAGATATCGATTATGAAGCTGTCGTTAAATTGTCAGATGGTTTTTCCGGTGCGGACCTCCGAAATGTTTGCACAGAAGCAGGTATATCCTTGATCTTTGAGACTTACAGTATCTTGAAAAGTCTAAATCTGTATGAAGAATTTGCACTATTGATGTCCGATTTAAGTCATAGAAATTAGTTGAGCTTTTAACTCTCGACTCGTCAGATGCTTATGGACAGTCATTATATATCAGCTTCTAAAAGAGGCTGCCTGCTTCAGCTGTAGAATCTTATCCATCCATTCATTGAACCGTTGATATGTTTGAGCGTCTACCCTACTACTTCACTTGTTTAACTTTAAATCTTTTTCCAAACTTTTTTCCCAATCAGTTGTTATTGTTTTCTGAGAATTGTCGTTAATACTCGTTAACAGTAGCATTTGAATATCAGAATTTCCTAAATATATAACTTTATGTATTTTTGTTGATAGCAGTTGCTCCATTTTCATTGATACAACCTTGAGGCTATTGGTCGCGAATGACATTAGTTTTGCAAAAAGGAAAATGAATAAGCTAAACTCGTGTTAATACTGATATTTTTTATTGAATTAATGATAAGAAAAATTTATAGTCTAGCTGCCTTGAAAATAAAGTCACAATACTGCAGGTTTATTTGCAATTCGTGCTGAACGTGAATATGTTATTGACGAAGATTTCATGAAAGCAGTTCGTAAGGTAGGTGACGCGAAGAAGTTGGAAACGAAACTTGATTACAAACCTGTGTAATAGTAATTGATATTGTTCATTTATGGTGTGATGCCAACTGTTATGTAATGTGGACAAAAACTGAATATTGCAAAGAGGAATATTCCAATTACAGCTGAAGACGTGAACACTTATTAGTGAAGTTATTTTATATTTTCGTAGAAAGAAATTAATCTATTTTCATTTCTAGTTTAGACAGAAGATGTATGATGCAAATAGTCGATTTATGCTATTACTTAAATACAAAGTTGGGTCTCAACCGACTATGAACTTTATTTTATTGACCAGAATAAAAAGATATACGTTTGAGCAGAGGCTATATTATGAGCATATGATAATGTTAATGATTATTCGTAAACACTTTCATCCTCTCACAGCCTTTCTCTCGTCTTCCTTCCTTGATCTGTGCAATATGATCATGAATCGAGGCAAAATTTTGTTATCATTTTGTTACCAATTTTTGGTTAGAATGACATGTAATTCCTCAATGCTTATTTGCTTTTTGCATTCTTAATAACCTATTAAATTTATCGTGAAAGTCGTTCTTTGATGATCGTAGCTGTGACAAATTCATTTGATACATATCGAGGTAAATTATTGTACGGTTTAGGTTAAGAAAAAATATGTGGAGAGGTGCAACGGTATCCACAAGAGATAGGTTAGGTTTTCCTTGTTGTTAATTTTCTTTTTGAACTTTAGTTTCGGTCTTTTGTTTGTATAGCTAAATAATTTTTATGGTTAAAATGGTCCTATGAGTATTTAGACTCCAGACCAGCAAGATTCTTGTTTAAGTATTCTATCAAGCTGAAAGATATTAGAAACTAGTTATGATAAGATGATAAACCAAGTAAGCATCATGACAACATGATTGAACTTTTGAGAGTTTTGTTAATTTTAGGCGTTCTATTCAGTGTTTCAGCGATGTTGTTATCTCTATACAATACGTAGCGCGTCATCATTCGAATCTTTTTCTAATATCATATGTTCAGTTTGCATATGTCATCGACTGTAAAGCTCGGAAAATCAATTCCGGACTTGCAAACCGAATATGTGGACAGTGATGGAAATAGCGTAGACTTATCTGAAGCGATATGGATGGTTAAAGTAACTTTGCCATATATTGACATCCAAGAAATCTATCGGAAGATTCAGGATGAGGTTATGTTTCATCTCTACTTTTTCTGCGATATTCGTATTTTAGCTACATCTTTATAAAAAAATGAATAAAATATTTCAGGTTGTTCTAAATATTTTGCCACATGGTACCAAAAGCTTATTACGAGTGAACTGCACTAATAATGCCTTATAAGAAAAAGATTTCACGTGAAATATTATATTGTCAGGTTTTGTCCAGATGAATGCGATTCGTACTTTGTCATATACCGATAATTCTGAAGAGATAGCTTTACTCTCTGCTGTAGTATGAGTTTCCATTTTGTAAAAATACAAAGAATTGGGCAAAAGAAAATAAGTGTGGATTATAGTTTTATCTAAATTAAGCAATTTGTTTTACTGTATGCGTTGTAATCTGCCTTCAGTTACATGGATCCTTACGGACTATCTCTTATAAGAATGGTGTAGGAATAATCTTAATTTTTTTGAGTTTTCACAAAATTTTTGTATAATAAATGTTATAAGTTTCATCACTTAAGCGTTATGAAGTTAATGTTGCTATTGTATTGAATTGAAGGGTATAGCTGGTAATGAGGCGATGCACATTTCTTTTATACTTTCCTTCCCGATGTGAATGATTCGGTTAAGATTTTATATTGGCTGCGGGCAGTATATTGTGATTATAAAATTAGGATCCGTACGTTCTGAGTTCAGGGTTTCTAGTGACATGTGAAGTGGCGTGATGATGAGGCATGATTATGTCGATTGATCTATACTTTTGCAAAAGTGCCAACCTTCGATTATTATTGAATTTGCTGGCATTTTTTCAAAAGTATGACAATATTGCATTCCTGCGTCTGGATGAAAATTTACTTAGAAGATGCTGATAATCTGCCTTAAGTTGCTACTACCCGAAATACTTCACATTTTGTAAATTCTGATCTCAGCGTTTCATTGCTGCCCTGAGATTGAAAAGCTAAATTGATTCTGAAGCACAATGATACTCTTGTCCGGCATCAAAAAATGAAGGAAGTGCTGTGAGAAACTGATAAACTACTCGAAATATGTATGGTTTTGGTTCAACTTATTCATCGGACTGTTGAGGCACGCATTGCATCGAACGCCAAAAAAATAATTTTACATATAGAGTAATTGCTAATCAGTGTCCACTTGACCGAGACAGTTTGAAAGAGAGAATTCAAACGTAATTGAAAATCGGTCGTTAGGAGGACGCCATGATATTCACTAGGATTTGTCCAACAGTTTTGAAGTATTCAGAGTTTTTGGAGACCCTTCTGATATATAGACATATTGTTCGGATTCCAGTGCATTTGCTGTTCCTTTCGAAATAGAGGAATCGCTGCTCGTGCAATCTCTTTCCATTGATTTCTCACATCTAGTAGTTACGCACTTCTCGCCCATCATGTTTTTTGTCCATAATTTCATCATTGCAGAGTGAGAATGCATCCTTTCAATACCGCAATAGAAAACGCTGAAGTCTATTCCTTAGTAATTTAAATCTTTGGTTGAAATCCAACATCGATACTTGCGTACTTAATAGCGTGCATTCAAAATTGGTCGTTTTATCAACACAATAATCGTCGGTACGAAAGAGTGAAATGAGGAACCCATATGAAGCATTATCGCATTATTTACCTCTTTGTGAAGGGATAGATAAGATGCATGCGTTCCTGTCGACAAAAGCAACGGAAAAACAAAACGGATTTCGCAGTCTGGTACAAAATATAGGGCCTTGAATTTGTTAAATAAATTATTAGAGAAAGAAGAGTCTAGCAATTACAAAAGGGTCACTAAACTACAGGGAAGATTGAAATCTATCCAAAAGTTATGAGTTGCAGCATTTTCTCCAAGACAAAAATCTCAAAGGTTAAAAAGACATCACTGAAACTAAAACTTTCACGAAGTGAAGTAAGAAGACTTAAACCCTTCGTAAATATCAATTTGTTTGTCTACTTTCCCAAAACTAAGTTATGCACTCAATGTAGCGTTAAGACAGAGTTTTTGAAGCGGTCATGTTTGGTGGTGCCAGACATAAATACAAACTTTCCAGTTTTTTATTGTCTACAATGGAAAAGAAAAGCATCCAGTGCATTGATACAGATAAGATGAGTATTCCACAGTTCGTTCGTAGGAATAGGTAATCAACAAGCGTGAATATTACCCTACTTATTCAAATGGACAAACTAAATACACAGATGGCTTGAAACGCGCATTATTGGCTACGCTTTTTTATAAATTTTTTTGGCTCCGACAAATTACGTTTTATTAAGTAAGAATAACAATGAGGTAATTTATGAATGACGAGAATAAACAACATAAAGTGGATGAATCATAACATATCAGCAGATCAATTTTGAAAGTTTGAGATTGATCATTTCCTAAGAATGCTTTCAATAACGCAGTCTTCTTTAAATATTACTCAAATGAGATTTTGCACTTCGTAATGTTGACCTGAGTTTGTTCAAAGTGGCTAACCGAACCAGATGTATACATACAAAAACAAATCTAATGCAAAGTTACAAAACAACAAGGAAGTACAAATTCCTTCAAATCTGAAAACTTTTCACAGCTGACACCGGGTGCTTGCATGGTTCTTTATTTTGAATATTTCTTGGACAAATACGAGAATTTCATAAAAAATTCAACAGTGAAACCACCATCAGCGTAGAAAATTACCATGAAGCATCACAGGCAAGCTCGCCATAGTAAGCTGTTATTGCCTTCACTTTTCGATTCAGTTCTGCCTGTTCAATCTCAACCATTCCTCCAGTATCCTTCGATAATCGGATCAACTTAAAAAAGAATTATTCTTCTCTCCGAGCATTTCCAACTTGAAAAATGCGCAACAGAGAAGCAGTTCAACTACATCTCAATGAAGATAAATGGTCCTCGTCTAAGGACCAAATATTGTCGAACAATGTTGACGTCTTTCTCTGAGACTAAAGCTATAAAATATACAACAAACCTCCTTCACATCCGTTTGTCTTGGCAAATAATAAGCGATATTATGAGTTAGCTTACGCGTAATTCGGAAAATTTTGTCTCCTTTCGGTTCCATGTTCTTCAAGCTGAACAACTGCAAAATAATTGGCATTTTGTTCTGAGAACTTGGAAAAGAATTTCACAAAGATCATTTATTATACATTAATAACTGCACATCAATTTAAAAAAAATATATGGAACCATAATAATTTTGAAATTGAATTTGATTTTTTTACACTCGAAGAAGGTCTTGGAGTGTAAAACTTTTCTGAAGTACATAATACAAAATTCCTGATGCAGATTCTAAATATCACATTCTTTTTTGATGCCTTTTCCTAAGCCCATGAAGCTTAAACCTGGTCTTAAATTTTATAAGGCACCATTAACTAACTGCGAAACTAAGAGATTGCAGTTGAAAAAATTCTAAATTTAACCTTTGACTTCAGGTAAGAAGGTCCACCCCACGGCGGACTAAGCATAACAGCGTCAAAAACGGGCATGTAATGACAGTTATCGACAGCAATCCCGAAATCATCCTCATCATCCGTATCTGTTTCAGCGAGCATAGTTCTCTGAATCTTCCCAGCTTCTGTCTTTCTCACCACTTCAAATCCATCTCTGTCTACAGCTTTCTGAACTTGCTCAAAATCACCCGCAATTTTCTTCTTGCTCATTTGCTTTTTCCACAACTTTGAAGTACCATATCCATGAGATCGGAATGTATCATTATGTTTCTCTTTTACTTCCATTTTCAATTGCTTCACTTTGTCACAGTGAAATTTACAAAAGTTGAAGAAATCTATGCAAACAAAATTAATACGATCTGCTACGCCGTAAATTTCAGCATTTCGTTTTGCACAACGTAATCGAACAGGATCCATATCTAGTGCGATCACTGTAAATGGCACCACATCATTTCTTTTCTTGAAATCAAGCCACTAATAAAACAGCCCCAACAGTCCATTTTTAAACCTTATCCTTTTTATTTTATATAGGCCTTGAAAACATAACTGTGCTTAATGATATAGAAGTTTAAAATTTTGTAAAATATGCGGAAATTTTTTTAATAAATGAAAAGACAAAATTTAAATGAAATTGACTACCTCCCAAAGGCAATCCCTGTCATTCTAATGACTGCTTCCACATACACATAAAATTTACAAGCCTAAACTGAAGAAGTTCAAATGTCCCAAATACTCAGAATGCTTCTCAATACTGAGAGGAGGATAAAAAGTTCAATTATTACCGCACTCCTGCCAAAAAAAGGATTGACAAACAGTTGATAAAGATGGCTCAAGAGGAAAAAGCATTAAATCCAAAACCACTAATTAAAATAAGTATAACAAAAAAAAAATTGTTAAAACACCATGTATAGTTAGTTAAAACTGTGTTATAAACCTGACTGCTTCCAAAAAACAAGTGGTGCGAAACACAGAGATGTGAAACATGTGATTTAACACAAAGAGAAAAAATCCGCTTCGATGTTGCGCGGAGTCTCACTTCAAATTCAGCTACAGTGAAATGAACTTTTATAAGTATTTGGATGAATGCAATTTAAAAAGACATACCATAAGCTCCTTTAAGGGCAAATTGTATACAGTTACCACCAACCCCCGCGAAACCATCTAATACTATAGCGTCTTTCATAATTACAACTCGATCAGCAATATGAGCGGCGATTCTTTCTGGCGTCACCGAATACCATCCTTCTACAATTCTTTGCAGTAATTTCAAACAATAAAATGCGTTATAAATCTTTTTCATTATTATTTCACCCCATAATTTCTTTAATTATATCTGAAACTCAAATGTGCTTGAATTAAAGTGTGTCTCATTTTGCTATCAAATTCTTAACACCGGATATTTTGCTATCAAATTCTTACACACCGGAAATTCTCACACACAGGATGCCAATAATTTGAACCTCTCTATTGGTTAAATAATAGAAACGCTATATTTTGGGTTTTTAGAAATATATGCCAATCATGATATATATATTATTTCATACGATTTCAAAATACAATTCAAGAAATTCTATCAAACTGGAACAGCAACTCACCACGGTCCATCAAAATACCTTCGTTCAATTTTGAGAAAAGGCGAAAGCGTTGGTTATAATATTTAGGCATGTCCTGTAAAGGAAATATTTTCAATCACTAAGCTGATTGCATTTGGGATTTCAAAACTGCAAGACTTTTCAAAAAGTTATGTAAAAGCATTCTTGAATAACTTATACTTTATCATTCACGAATGTTTCCAATGCATTCGTTGCCAGCAACCATCTATCGCGCTTGTCATTATAGCCAAAATCAAAGTTTTTATGCACGAAGTACGATGATTCTAAAAGATTTTCTGCATCTACGACGGCAACATCCTGGAAAAAAAAACACATATTTCACATTATGCTATTTTTATATTGAATCTTGTAACGGCCGATAGACTTGTGGCGTACCAGTGGCTTTCGAGAGAATGACTGCGAATGCTTCATATGTACGTATTTTATATTTTAGGCTTACGAATATGATGAATTAAATGTCTATATGAATTGTACAACGATAAGTTGCGAAATACAAATTAAATCGTAACATCTGTTTTCGTAACATTTCTTAAGATTATAAAAATATTTCGTTATTCGATCGAAGTTATACTAATGCTGTCTTCTTTGACTTTATTATCGATCCAAATTGAAAAACATACATTACTATTATCCCTAGCCTCACTTGTATGTGAATGGGTTTTTCGGTTTTTCTGCATAAATCGGTATGGTATTTGAAAATCATAATGAATATCGGCAATATGAAAACCACGCTTTCTGCAAAATGCAAAATGTACTAGAGAATAAAATCATCGTTGTATCTTGATTTCACTTTGATTGGTCATTTTTATGTTCTCTCTACCAAGCAGATATGTACAGCAAATTTGGGAAAGCAAACTGCATAGTACAGATGTTAAGTGACATTTTACACTTTCACATATTCTCAATAATATTCTTATTAATCGCCAAACGACAGTCAGCATTAATGAGGATTAAATTTCGAAGAGAACAGAAAGAATGAAGCACGCTGACCTTTGTAATCCTGAAATACCTGTCACCAAATGATCATTATCGTCCTCATCGCTAGATGAATCATTCCTTTTACAGATTAAACCAACTGAGGCCAACTGAAGTTTGAAAAAATGGTTGAAAAAAAATGGTTGGTTAGAAAAAGTGCAATTGAAATCTGTCAAATCCATTTTGCTTGATGAGAACCAATAAAAGTTCAAAAATCACAAACCTTATCCGAAAATTCTAAGCATCGCCGTTTATCTGATCCCTTTGTGTACTTCTCATAATCTTCTGCAATACGACTTTCTACCGCCTCCTTATGTTTTAAATAAAGTGAGTTCCAGTCATGATTGGTTTTAAATAAGTCATCTGCAGCACATTGCCTCTCTTCACCACCAGCTGGATATCGTTTTCCATCACCTTTAGCTGAGCCTTTCGCCTCTTCATCCATATAGTTTTCTTTTATATGGTTCTTAATTGAACCGCCCTTCACATGAAACCAGCACCCTGAGCAGTCTTCTTCCTTATGATCCAATTTTGAAGTACCGAAAAACGCCTAAAATAAACTGTAAATAGCATAACTAACAAATTTGATGCTTCACAATATCATTGGAAGAACACGTGCCAATTAATGAATAGCAGTACTTTAGTTATGCTAGATAAAGGTTCCTATATTTTCACTTACTCTTGTTAACCAATTCCTTTTTTGTTTGCATAAATTTAATTAGTACATCGAAGTAAGGAAGGGAAAAAATTCATAAATTTAATTAGTACATCGAAGTAAGGAAGGGAAAGTCACTGTTCTGTACTGGTCTGTCCAAAATCGAATGCCATCCAAACTACCAATCACTTAACTGTTAGTCATCATTGGATTGAAAGATTGGTCTTTCTGATAGCACCTTATCAAGTATTTAACTACACTGTGAATAGAACAGTTAAACATAAAAATTTTATAACAATACTTAAAGCAATAATTCAATCGTAGGAGGCTTTACTAATATTGAATACATGCGAATATAATTAATAACTACCAGTAATTAATAGGAAATGTGTGCCAACCAAAGAACCATCCCTACGCACGTAAACCGTAGATATGAGTATGGTTTATAGTTATATGGAAATTGAAAAAGATACTAACGCTGGCTTGTTCGTGTTCTTTCAATAAAGCATATGGTGCACAGTTCCGATCGGTAAATTGGTCAAAATTTTCAGCTTCACGAGTTGTGGAGAAAGATTCTGCTGAAATAAATCAATTTTGTCAGAAACGAATTCCAATAGAATCATTTGCAAAACTTAAGATCGATCAAAACAAGAGTATTTGTTAACTGCTTCATACGTATCGCGAAATGCAGAGTATTTAAAAATATCTATATATATTTACACACCAAGCCTTCTTTGGACGACATGGATTAAACACTCATTCCTTGTTCTGCAACACCATTCAACAGCTTACAATAATTTGAATTTTGATATCTACAAGAGTACATCATTGTTTCTATTTTCAGCAGAAAAAAGAACTGAAAACTAATGAGGATGAATTTTGACTAAAAAAAGACAATCGAGTCAAAAGCGTGGCAATCATTCCAGTTGCAATCAATTTTGCTCGGTACTAGAGGATCTTTGCTAAACAATATCATTTCTTCCAATAGTAGAAAACAATGGGGCGATTATTCATCTTTTATTACTTTTCACTTATTTTAGTGAATGATGAACAAATCAATGCGAATAATTTTATGTTTATTTATGTGAATGTTAAGATCGTACAAAAGGAGTACAGTCTGAACCAGAAAAATGTATCAACTACTGAAAGCCCATATTATAACAAGAATAAAAATACAGATCTACAGCAGAATAACGCATAGCTACCAGTATTTTTCAAATAGAGTTTAGGTGTACGGTAGCAAAAAGGATGGCTTACGATAGTCATGGAACCACGACTTTCGCTCCAGATACGTGCCATTATAAAATAGATAGTCTGATAAGCACTCGTGGTGCGGTGATTTTTCACGAATATGATAATTTTTGTATTTTCGTTCAGAGCGACAACTTCGTTCTTTACGACTTGCCCCGCCGAAAGATGTCGGTAGATCTAATGCTGCCATTTCTAGAATGCAAAATTGAAATGTAAAACAGAATCCTCTAGAATAGTGGGACATGAACATTTTGTCGCTCTCGATTAAAAAAAGCGGTAATGATTGAATCAAGAACATTTCATAAAGCTTTAAAAAGCTAGCCAAGAAGGTACTGCTATATATTATCACGAAAAAAAGATTCATATCGCAATAATCAGTAGACTTTATTAAAGAGACTAGCAGTAATTAAATTAAACGAAATTGCAAGTTCCGTTTATGAATTTATGAAAAGCTATGTTCATCCATGGCGGACAGGACATCAAAGTTTTATACACTCGCATCCTACATTAGTTAAAGTACTAAAATAATGAAGCACACACCTCGAGCAATATCTTCATCGGTATCGTATTCATCTTCGTCATCTTTCACCTCGGATTCGGAAACATCCAAAACTGGATCTGTACATGAACTCGATGCAGTCGGTGGTTCATTAACGAGCGACAGTAAATCAGTATCTCTGATATAAAATGAAAAAAGCTAAAGGACAAAAATCAACTTATCATGGTGCTATAAAGCAAGATGGAAAAAAAAGAAGGAAATGGAGTGCTAGATGGAGGAGAGGGAAGAGAGGTAAATTTATTATTTTAACTTCTTGCCATATTATATTTAAAAAAAACTACATCAGTAATACCAGTAGCAACTGACTGAACTTTCAGATTATAAAGGACAGTAATATAATTAATCTCGCAAAGCTCAAAGAGCAGTAAATAGTAATAATGGTAGAATACAGCAGACTATACCATGAAAGCACAGTAGCGTAAGACTTCTAACAGATTCAGTTCCAAGATTCTGCCATCACTAACTTTTACGTTTTAAACCAATTTTAGTATCATTAGGTATAATACAAATTTACGCAATCAGGAATGATAAAGAAAACAAAGAAGGGTGGGAGGAACAGATTTAGTGATGGAACATTCACTGATCATTTGAAATCGGATACTAAATTAAATCTACCTCAATAGCGCACGAGAGAAACACGAGAAGGTGACGGGTTGGATGGACATATCCACCGATGTGTAGAAAATAGCTTCACCGAACAATTCCCACTCAAACCTGTATTCCGGAAAACCATCTTCGCCACCATATCCCTGCAGGATATAACGATGCCACGGTTTACGAGCTACCCGTTTACACTTCTCACACAATCTCTCTGACATAACCTCGTCTTTTCGTTCTTCACTAAAACCTTCAAATCTTTTTTACTTCTCATTGTTTTCCATCTAAATCAAATTTTGTGCAGTATACATTTAACTCGTAATAACATGAGGCACGCATACAACACACACGAAGACGTACAATTCTACCATCGTTCTCTATTAGCAGGGATTTTAACCTGAAATGCAGCGTTTAATTTAAGCTTGCAATGAAAATCACCGTCTCATTCATGATTTGGATAGTTTGTCGACGTTGTACAACAGCTCATATTATGCATAAATTCTTAATCTAATTTCGGATTTATACGGTAATATGTTCTTTTTTAAAGCATTTTTTGAGCACTAACATTACTGACAGGTAGGTATGTACCATAGTAAAAGTAACACACTCCATTGTACTCTAATAGGTTTCTTCCCTATTACTCAGATTCCTACTACTCAGACAGTTTGTTTCCTATTAAGGACGTCCGAGGTTTCATTTAATGTTAAAGTGGTAAGTTGAAGCTTATTTTTTAAAAAGCGACTAAGTCAAAAGTGAAAAGGCGGTAGGAAAATCCATAATGCATTTCTGTTTAGGAGAAATTGAAATGTTCAATTTTTTAGTTTGCATAAAAGCATCAACATTACAGTTATCACGTTGAGGAGTGATATTTCAATTCCAAAAGAGAAAACAAGCCAGATGACAACCAAAGTAAAGGCCGCTGCTTATCGTTTGATTGGTGGTTCGAAAACGGTATACAGTGCGGATTACGAGGAGAAAATTTCGCTTTTTAACAATTTCAAGAAACAAATTGAGAAATTGATCGGTCTCACAGTTACGTTGGTCACCGTAAGTTATATTGTTCTGATATCTATCTCTCTTCCTTATTTCACTAACGTTATATTGTTGCTCGTTGGCTTCTCTTATCAAATGGTATTCCCTAGTAATACGAACTTTATCAACTCATTAATTTTTATTTTCATAGGACAATTTGGCAACTGAAATGAAACAAAAGATCTCAAAGGACATAGACGATAGTGGCATAAATAAGTTTGAAAAAGTTGGCCAAGCGCTTTATAAATACAGTAGCGAGATCGAAGACGATTCGTCTGCGGTAGTTTTAAAAAGAGCCAAGGAAACATTCGATAGCGCCGGTCAGAAACATCGCACATTTCGAACAAATATGTTAGAGAAAGTGCAAAAACCCATGAAAGAATGGATTGAGGTAACTTTAATGGGAAATGACTCGGTCCGTTCCAATCATTTGCATTATCACTTTCATAATATAGAGAGTGAACACTGAGTATTTCTAAAAAATGCAAGCTTTTCACAGACAAACGCTAAACATTTGAACAAGGAGTTGAAATCTGTAAACAATAGGCGAGACGAACTGGATTGTGCCATCAATAAATTACGAAAAAAACCGGATGATCCTGAACTTCAAGTAGGTTTCCATTTCATAGAAGCCTTACAGAGACTTTCAGTATCAAACACACATACTAAATTACAGTCCTAATTCGATATGTCGATCTTTCTGTTCTGTAGTTTTCACTGCAGGCCATAAAGGAAAGCGCCGAAAACACATTTCAAGAAGAGCTTGAAAAAACTGATAAATTATTAGATGATGAAATCAAGGAATCTGTAAGGCAAATTTCTAATTTTATTACAACTGTAAGCGTTTCTAGAAAAGACATCTAAATTCAGAATTCATGAACACAAAAGAATTACTGAAATTTTTCAAAAATTTTTCTATTTGATGATGGACCTTCAAAATTGTTGCAGTTACTTCACTAAAAGAATATCCAAGCAATATTTCAGAAGTCAGTGATTTCATCTGCAATGGTAACATTGATGGAAGTAATAAAAAATTATAGTAAAGGCATGAAAGAAACTTTTGAGGTACTTTTCCTAACATCTTTTTTCGATAAGAGGGGAGATATAACACCGTTTTAGGAGCGGCAATTTCTTATGGGTCGTATGTCACTTTCTTTGGTCCGGTCTGAGAAATAATCTTATCTATTAATATCTCTTGATAGTTAAGATTAAGAGCGGAACTAAGCTTTGGTCTTCATGTCATTTATAAACTCATAATTCGTGAAGAATTCTACAGGATTTCAAGAATTTTGAAGGTTTTGTGAAAATTATATAAAATTTCTTATTTTATTAATTTCAAATTTTTAAAAGTCGAAAATTTTCAAACGAAAATGATTTTCTAAGAAAACTAAACCTAACTCTTGTATTAACTTTTTCAGCAGAGCGCTTGAGTATGGTAAGAAATAAGAGAAATTTAATGAAAAATAGATCGGAAAAAACTGGTTCCTTTCATTCTCATCAAATCAGGATCTTGGATGAAACAACTCGAAATAATGTATGAAATTCTTGAATGAAATCACTGATATCATAATAAGACAACGAAGAGTAAAGGATTTACCTAGGCAAAAATTCTTGCCATAGCTTCATCGTTTTGCTTGGCCGATTTATTCCCTCGTCAAAAGAAAACAGAAAATTGGAAATATTTAGCATGAAAGCAAATATCTCGCTGTTTGCACATTAGAAACAACACTGATCTGTCCATAGTTTCCTTACATTGCTTGGCTTATTTATTCCCAAATCAAAGAATATAATGGATTGGGGAGACAATTGAAAATAAGGAAGAACCAACTAATATCACTTTTGTTATGTATACATTATGTAAAACGAAACGGTCAAAAATGGCTTTCGACGGATGGTAGGAATAATTTGCATATTAGTTTAAAATAGGGATAATTCGATGAAGTCAAATTGATTGACTTCCATTTATCGAATTATCCCAGGCAAAGCAGGCTCAAGAAGATATATATTTTTACAGAAGGATCAGTAAATTAGGAAATACGAAAATGTCTTAACGATATTGAGAATCAATTTTCTTCGACTATGAAAATCAAATTTCATTGTTGGAAAAACTGGGAAGTTGGAAAAATTGAAGCATTTATTTCATCTGACATATAAATTTAAATCAGTATATAGATACATATTCATGTGGGATCCCATCGGTTAGAATATTTTTGTGTATAGAGGTGATGCTTTTTATAATAGAGGCGGAAACGAGTTAAATAATATAAGTTTGTCTGGATGCAAGCAATCTCCTCTTCCCTAATCCTATCCACCTGTTTCCTCTTAGCAACTGTCAGAAAAATTCTTATCATCGTAGCGTCTGTAGAAGCTTCATTTTGTCTTCCTCCTTTTTTCCAATGCTCGCTGTCGCATATTCCTATTTCCCTCATCTGAACCATTTTACATTTCTCTCATTGCTTCTTGCACTTCGAGCAAGCACCTCATATCGTATTATCGGTTGCCCTCCTTTTCGCTTTCCACTCTTTCATTCACTCAGTAGTGGAAGATGATATACTGCTATTTAAAATATCTTTTAATGATATGACAGCAAATGTGTATAGATTGTGAAATTGAATGTTTGTAGTTTGTTCCCAAAATATTTCAGTGATAAATTCTTTTTTCCCTCATTCCATAACTTTCATTCTCGATATGCTCATTTGGAGCTAATTAATCTTCAGTTTAATTGTTCTCGAATAAATGATATCTTTTGATGATATGATTTTGATGATATGCTCATCCATTCTCAATTTTGCTCACTTCTTCAAGTGATACTGTTACGAATATGTATGTATTCTTGATCATGATATCAGCAAACTTGTCTTCCTTTTGCGTTAATCTCCACTGAGGAAATTTGATTTATTTTCTTATTAAATCGTTGTCTTGAGAGACTGTCTATGCCAGTACTGAAGCCTATTTAACCTTCCGTTAGAAATGAGCTTTCTCTAGCTTTTGTCTCTTAGTAATAACTATTATTTCAAATATGAATGAAGCAAAAAAAAAGAACGTTGTTCAAGTTTGTCTTCTTGAAGGATGCAGTGTTTGCTAAGCTTTGCAAAATGGTTTGATGATTTGAATTACTGAGTAATTGTGCAGTTGAAAGTTATACTAGTTAGGGATGTTATAATTGAGAAGAATTGACAGTAATTAAATCAAATAGAGGCAGTGGTGTAATAGATTGGATTAATGTCAATGTTAAATGTAGTCTATCTGTTTAGCTGTGAATTTTCGCTACTTATTCGATCCAACTAAACCTGAACTTGAGAAAATGAAACAGTATTGTTTAGTAGGAATTATCTTTCCATCTTTACACCTTCAATAGGCTTTGCTGCCTGCTGTCTCCTACATCTTATTTATAACAAATTTATTTTTGCAATTCTCACGAAGCAGTATTATATCCGTGTTCGTAAATTCTCAATCAGTTTTATGATTACGTCGGTCATCAAATGTTATGCCAGAAATCTAGCTGCTTTTAACAAGTAACATACGAAGGAACGACGAATTCGATGATTTGTGACATAATTGTGAAAAAAGTAATTAGCTTGTGTACGATTCATACAATGATATCATAGTTGTGAGTAGCTGTTACATATCTACAAGGAATACATATATTCCCTGAAGTCTTCGAAGTCATTATCCTGTCACAATTCTCTCTTCGTCTACACAAAATTCGATTTTGGTCATTATTACGCTCATGAGAGGGAAGCGCATTACGAAGTTGATATTGTTAAAGTTAAATATTGTTCAAAGTTAGATATTATTCATACTAACGCAAAGATTAAATCATTTGTCCTGATGATTTAGAAGCCCTATCGAATTTATGCAGTTAAAGATATCAGCTCGAGAATACGTAGCAGAGCATCTGGTGTTATCAGTGATTAATAAATGAATTTTGTTGTTCTGTAAAACACATATATCCCAGAAGAGGATATATCTTACTGTATCGTGAGTGCTTTTCAACTTTAGTTCAGAACTGAATCGTCGACTGATACAATCAACGTACTGATGATGACTTCGGAGCCTTGTCGGATTTGGATTTGTACATAACAAGAGAAGAAAAGTGATGAGAAGAGAGATTTGTATATAACAATTTCGGATTTGTACATAACAAGAGAAGAAAAGTGATGAGAAGAGAGATTTGTATATAACAATTTCGGATTTGCACATAACAAGAGAAGAAAAGTGATGATAAGAGAGAAAGAGAGACTAATCGTCCTTCTGCCCAATTAACTTCACGTAGCTATAGCTCTTTTCACTGTTCTGTCGCGGACTTCGCTAGATAACTGTTGATTGGATTGACTGAAAACTGTTCTCCGTAATAGAGTAAATGAATTTAAGTAGTTTGAGCTATTATCTCTAAATATCTCTTTAATTAATGAAATTAAAGGAAGTAGAGTCTCAGCTGATTAGTTCCTGTAGATCGGAGATTTGTTAGTGTCGCATATCCAGTCATGAGAATACCATAAAACATCACTAGTATCATGCGTTCAATCAGTTTGTTTTCGTTTCGTTTCAGATTGTTTTGTGTTGGAAGGAAACGACGAGTTTTGATCCTTATATAGATTACTGAATCGACACTGAATTCAATACCCATGGATTATATCAAGCTGGATCAGGAAGTCCTTACAGGTGCCGGTAGCCGTGTACAGCGGCTCAAAATGTATCCATACTTTGATCTGGCACATTATATACTTGTTAGTGTTTTGTTTCTATTATGGATGCCTCTTTAACATCTCTTTTACAATCTTTGACAGAATACTTTTGAAAGAAGGAATGAGTCTTTCATCCCTTCACTTTTATTCATTTCATTACTTTTATTTTCATTGAAACTTTTATTTTCATTTGAATTATACGGTGCATGATGACGTATGACCCTACATCACAGAGAATTAAAGGAATCAGACAGTTATTTACGTTATCGGTCTAAAATATACTGGAAGCAGACTATATATTGGTAAAAGTACACATTAACTGTAACAAGCTAGGATGGACAGGAAGAAAGGAGGATACTGTGATGGGAATTTTTTCACTCTTTGTTATGGAGTATATCTTCAGTATCTCAACTTCTTAAGTGTCATTTATGTATATCACAGTAAATTTATACATTCTGTTTCAGATGACAGTATCAGTTCGAGATGATTTAGCGTCTGGAGCATCACTGTTTTCTCGGAAACATCCATTGAGCTGTTGGCTTTCATCGATGCTGATGTGCTTTGCAGGCAGCTTATCGGCTAATTTCCTCTTGGGTGAACCAGTCATTACACCCTTTAAACGACACGATAACATTTTGCTGGTTACTTCTTTTATGATTTATACTTAAGTTGTGAAGTAATCTCTTCACTTTTAAGCTGAAGCACTGTGTTTCATAAGATATTACGTTGATTTGTATTTTTAATTGCTAAATGTTAACTCTTAACATGACATTAAAATTTAGTAGATATCTTGACCGAAAAACTTTTTTAATTTATCACCTGCTGCATGTTTATCAATCATTAATCATCGCTTATAACTTGTATTTTTACATTAAATATTAATGATATTAGTAACTCAGGTAGTTGGCTGATGAGCAAAACTTCTGTTTTTTAGGCTACTATTGTTTGGTATTTCGTATTCTATTCTCCATTCGATATAGTCTATAAAGTATCAAAGCTTTTACCAGTCAAAGTTGTGCTGTCTGTACTAAAAGAAGTTCGAAGAGCATCCAAGGTCTTTTTTCTTTTGAAATTTAATTTAAATCCAAAATTTTTCAAAATTCTTATAAAAGAACGACATTGATTATTTTGTTTTTTCCTTAACTTGCAAGCCTTTAGCTTATAATCACATGTTTTTTGACAGGTGGCACACGGTGTGTCGCATGCGACGAAGTTGTATCCAAATTCGTATCTTGTACATATCCTTGTCGGAACAGCCAAAGGAGCCGGTTCAGGAATCGTGCGAACACTGGAACAGGTGAATTTTCGACTTTCCCATATTCAGTGACATATCCAATATATTATAACATAACTGTTTCTTTGGTGGTGAGCCTAGAAATACTGTCGCTGCTGTCAAGAAAAAGTGGTTTCAAGTTTCTATTACGTTAAGCAAACCTTATACCTTTAGGTATGCCGTAGGGTTTTTTACCCGGTAGTACGGCATTTCGTCTATTTTCTACGACGATTATGTTGCTATTCCAGGAGACGGACAAGAAAGTGATGTCCGTACAATTTCAGTTAGTGATAAAGTGATTTTCCTAGTTTTTCATTTTTTTTCTTCAAGCTTATATCGACGCTGACATCCTATAAGTGTTTATTTATGGGGTTTTAAAACTCGAGTACAAACAAAAGTTTTAGCTAGTGAGAGGCGTATGGATACCAGCACACAACGAAGTGCTTCGACCGTCCTTTTCAACCAAAGCTTGTTGCGTTGCATCGATGATTCTCATAATTGACAGACATTCCCGGTATATCTCTGCTCCTCATGATGTCATTTATTTGGTCCGTTGAACATATCCATTATTTCTTTGTGTATTTGTTATGAAACAGAATTTGACACAATATTAAATAAATACATGAAATATTTGACATAGAATGTGAGGTATTTTTTGCTACTTATTTGATATTGTCACTTTATTTTAAGCTTCGACTTCCAATACCCATTTAGTATATTAAGTCATGTTGTAGCATAGTCCTTTCCGTAGGTCCACGGGATAGTTTTGCTATTCAAGTTTTTTTTTTCAAGTGATTTTTTAAGAGCTACTTGTCATTTATAATCAAATGTTGTCTCATCTTGAAAGTGGATCGCTTGAAAACGTCGACACTTGGTGATTGAAATCTTCCCTGAAATACAAAAAATCTTAATCTCGCATATTCATCCATCTTTTAGTGTTTTGCGGACTAGCTAAACACGCTTTTTTTGCAGGGTATCGTTGGCTTCTTTGTTTATTTCAAGCTAAGCGCTGTGTTGTTAAATGTTCAGGATCCATTCGCACCATTCGAGAATCTTTTTTGTGCCGTATTTATGGGCGGTATTTGGGATGCAATGTCTCGGTTGGTCACTTCTCTTAATTTAATCAATTAATTAAGAATAAAACTGTGTTTTGAAAATGCAGATAAATTTTTCACTCGAATTCCTTATTTTTTTTCGATAATATTTTATTTTCGTGGCACCTGCACTTCTATTGTACTTGTGCTACTTATTCTTGCTTTTAAAGGGCAATTACGGCCAGTCGAGAAAGAAGATCGGTTGGTCAAAAAGCAGAAAATGGAGCTTTACCTGCAGAACCAAAGAAAGAACAATAATCGGAACTATAATCTGCAGAACTATAACCGATCGGCCGTTGATTTTATCGGATGTCTCTTTGTTTTGCTTCCCTCATCAGAAAGAAGGACTTAAATGATCTTGAGATTTGATATTTATTTAAGAGTTGTCCTTAAATTTCCATATTTTTTAACCAAAGTCACGAAGTAACTTTAGTTCACAAAATATATTGCTGTTGGAGTGAGTTATTCATGTTCAATGCAGAAGAAAATCTGCAAGAATCTAAAGTTATGAAATTTTAACCCTCCTAGTCGGTAGGGTTAAAAGTTTATAACTTAATTGTCCCGATCTGCTTTGATTCATTCTATTTGAATTTTTTTGTGCGTTCTTATTTTTAGTCAACAATAACAATATGATGAAAAAATTTCTAATAATGTTAGGTCAATAGGTTGATTCCATGCTCCATCAATTATACGTTTATATTGTCTAGAAAATGCATGAAAATCTTCATTTTCGTGCTTAGGTTATACAGAACCCGTCAATCAATGAAAGTAGTGGAGACAGTAAAAGTTATTCTTCAGAGAGGAATTTTATTACCTTCGATAAAGGCTTCTTATGTCTTCACTTTTGAATGCTAATTTTGTTGTAGATAAAGAAAAAAAATTCTGTACCCTTGAGTACCCTTGATTAGGAATTGTTGCAAATGTACTGGGAATTCTATATTTTTTATACATATGCCAGTTCGAAATACATCGCTTTGCCGATAACTGAAAAAATGCACAGACCTGTATTTCATTAACGGTTTATACGATCCTTTTTCTTGAAAGACTGCCGCTTACATCCAGCATTCAGTGGAGATAAGATCCTGAATGGACATCCGGAGAGTTTTAGTTGTAATATGTATTGTTAAGCTTATTTAACAAAAATGATGTATTGTGCTACATCATTTGCCATTTAACGTATTATATATAATAGCTTTAGCATGTTTTACCTGTCATCCTTTTCAATTTTAAATACTTATGGATAGTAATTTGCCAATTTTCTCTAATTTACATTAAAACTTAATGAAATTAATTATGAAGTGAATGCAAAAGCCACTGCACAAAGATTATACTTAGTTAAAAGCACTTCAAAACTATATGGATCTCCAATCACCGAGTAAATTTGGTTTCTTCTCTATGGACTGGTGTGAAATAGAAAGCTAGAAATGCGTGTCACCACGATGAATCGGTTCAAGTTAAGAGCGATTATTCTTAGCGATAGCACCAACCGGTTTACTCCCGTAATAAATGCTTTTAGGTGTTCGATGTTGGTGGATAAATTGAAAACTGTAGTCCTTCTTGCTTGATTGCTGCTTCAAACACATCGAAGTGTACTCACTTCATCGCAGAAAATTTGTTTCTTATTCATCATCCATCGGTATTGTAACCAGGAATTCACGCTCAAGTATCATCGATGTACTCTGTCATCCTATCATAATTTCACTCGCAATCTGAATCAACGGTATAATCCACTAATATCAACGTCATTTCATTATTCATTATAATTATCATGTAGCGGATTTTTAGATAATTACAATGCACAGGCCGATCTTGTTTTAAATTCAGTTTATTTACCAGTCAGTATCCATTTGACGTTTTCCTGGGAAATAGCATGGTTATGTTGCTCTCTGTGTCTTCTTCGTTATCGCATTTCCAGTAGAGGCTTTCTGTGTTTGGACATTTCACTTGGTGTAAAACGATGTGATGTATTCTTCAATACAGCATCGCCTATATCTCGGTTATTTCGCGCACCTTAGACAGAATAACTTTCCCTTGTGCTATCGGTAGTTACGAATGCTGAAAAGTATTTCGTGGAATATAAAAAAGATATGTGTTTTGCATTAACCATTAGCTTTTAACCACGTATGTCGTTATTGATAACAAATAAATAGTACAAAAACACATTTGAAACTTATACAGTAAATTGTGCCAGCAACAGAAAGCATATCTCATTATCACTCCTTTGGGACCTTGATTTTTGACGCACAGGGTATTTTCATCATTATCTTTCCATATATAAAGACTCAACACTCCTCTTGGGGTATCTATCTATTCTAGAAAATAAATATGTTGTTCATCAGATTATTTACCTTGTTAGTTTCATTCTTTTCAGAATAATGATTGACAAAGATTTGGCAAAAATGCGTAAGAATACACAATATTCTGCTGATAACGCGTGCTGTTTGACATCACATTCCAGAAGCAGTTTTCGAAATCGTAAAGGTTATTTGTCAAATATCGTTGTGATTGAAGTCAATAAGGAGAATTTGAGCATTACATGGCCATATCTTTTGCTTTCTATCCGGAATGCATCATTTATATCGCTTGATTTGGTACGTTATTCATATTATTTGATTGATTGAACACTTGTTACATCTATTCACTGATTTTCCCCAGATTTGCAAAAACACATTGAAAAATCAGGTTTTTGAAATAATTTAATTTTGTGGATTACTCTATCAATAAAATACTGATAATTGATGAAAATATATTAACAAAATAGCCTTTTTTGATTCTGAAATCATAGTCAGAGATTTAATGAAATGATAAAGTAAGACATTCATGGACCGTGTATGCGAAGATGGTAATAGTGAAGGAAAATGATGATAAAATTTTTGATCGAATTAATTAACTGATAAATTCCAAGTTATAGTATACGTTCATGTTTAGTCGGTCATCTCATCTCTGAATTTCAGATAGGTTAAAAGTAGATTCGGATGTGGCGATAATTTTTCTTAGTGAGAGATAATATTACTGAATATATTTCCAAATATCTTTTAAGGTATTTCGAGCTTTTTTGAGTTGTATTCAGAAAAAGAGTTCATGAATATATTTGCTTATTTTAAAATGCATAATCGTTATTATCAGCAGGTTATTTTTACCTTTAAAAAGTGTGAAGAAACGAAAGAATTTTTTTGACTCAATTTTTTGTTCAGGAACTTAGTGGTTTGGGAATGCAAAAGGGATGGTTAGCGAAATCATTGGAAGAGCGGTATGATGTTATCCGACAAAGCGCTCAGAGCCGTTCGGTGCTTTCCGTTGGTATTGCGACCTTTCAGTTAGTTGATAGGAAAGAAACAGATGCAAAGAAGAAGCTCAAATATAAATGTCAGGTCTGGATTTCAGTTTCTTTTTAGCAATGTTTAGATCAGACGAGAACCATTTTTGGTGCTACTAATAACTTCTTTTCACGACATCTTTTATCTCTTACTTAGTAGTTGACAATTTAATTTAATTGATTTGTTTTAGGTTTTTAATATACTGACATTATGCACCGTACCGTTCGTTGTTGAAGCAGATGGGTTTCAGTTTTTGTCGAAACACAAATTTGATTTTAATCGATGGGTCAGTTTGGGCATTCCGTATGACAATGATACTAAAAAGGTAAATAGATTTTTGAGCAGTTTCTCTTTGTTCAAACGTTTTCGTTGGAAACCATGATTTATTAAGTGCTGAAATAGGTCGTCATTCGTTTCGAAAAAATGAAACTTTTACTCGTTTAGCCAAGAAAGACATATAAATCTTCTAGGGAAACACAATGACGGTGTTGTGGCATGAAGTGTTATGTGCCGCTGTTCCTATAACAGTGCATAATGGACTTATCGATTTGGCATTTATTTATCAGCATTTTTACAGTGTTTTACCAGAAACATTCAGTGAATTTGTCGTTAATGTTTCTGACTGGTTTTTATTACCTGGAGACATTCCTGGTCTCTATGATTCGAAATACATCGCGGAATATATTGCTCGATTTAAAGCATCCTTCCTCGAATATGTTTTCAGGAAATGGTACTGGTTAAAGCTATTTATATGTTTTTCTGCCTGAAATGAAAACAAAACCTTTACGCCAAAACAAAGGCATGCCAGTGGTAAAAATATTCCTGTGGCAATAGTAAAATGTAGCTGTTTCGCTTCAAATATTCCAAAATTGCAGTCAACGTGAAAATGCAATTGAAAATGCACGTAATCGGTTGTATATAAGCATTGAATTCGATTTTACACCCGTAAAAGCGCACTTGAAGAATGCTATTGACATAGTTGATTGTAAATTGCCCCATAATTTCGATGCGAGTGCTTCGATGGAGCCTTGTCCCGTTAATGACGAACAAAAGGATTCACTTTGCAAGCGATATTCAGTGAGTTTTTTAATCCTCGCATTCGTCAACAATTTTTCACTGAATACGATGTTACTGGTATTATTCAACTTCCCCAGTTCATAATGTACCTTTCAGAATATTGGTCGGAAGAATAGGTATTTTAAAACAATGAGATATACAGGTGTTCTGAAATAATTAGGGGATATATATTTCTGGGTTCCAAAAAAGTTTTCAGATTTTCGGCCTGCTTAGATCAGCAAAGTTATACTTTACTAAAATGCCTATTATGCTCTTTTTTTATGAATAATGTGGCAATTTCAGTAGTTGTTTAAAATACACTCACTGTTATGAAAATGGGGTAGTTTGAAGAGTTTCCAGTTACATTTCATTCCAGTGCAATTTGTGCATTTCTTCCTGCATTTATAACAGCAAAGATAGATAGAGTATTTAGTTAGATAAAGTAGTATAAAGAAAAAATGGAACCGATATGAATTAAATCTATTATTCTTTTATTACAGAACTATGGCTTCTGTCGCGCCAGGAATTGTTCCTATGTACATGACGTTGACATTCTATTGAGCTTGGAGGATCAAAAGCAAGCAAAGGTAAAATATTGCTGACACGACCTTCCACTTAAGTTCTGAATCCTTAACGGAATTTGTTTTTTTAATTCTAGTGGTAATTTAGAATGGTAGTGTTTTAGTAGCAACATTTAAGCATTTGCTGTTGTATCGAAAAATTACTTTCAACACTATTTCGGGTTACTTAAAGAGAATCGTAAATTCTATTGGCAGGCTGAATTAGGATAAGCTTCATTACCTAATGTTGCTCCTAGGTACGTGAAAGGCGGAAAAGAAGATACGATTATGAGTTGAAACTTTCTGAGTTGAGATCGATAGATGATCGAAAGGATAAGATTTTGGTTTCACCAAGCAGTGAAAAAAGAACCGCTGTGAATGAATCGATTTCAATGGATATTTTAAAGCAGAGCGAAACAATGAAAACACCAGTCAATTTAACTCAGGCAACTAACTTATTGCAATCAGTAACAGGTCTGGACCATTCTTGATAGTTTTAATTATTGAGCGATATATTTTCTTCGCTCCGTCTAGTTATTTAAATTTCAAATTATTAAATAAACTAATAACCAATAATATTGGATAGATGTTCATTAACTTATTTAATGATATTTGTTCATTAACTTTATGTAGCCGGCCAATTATTTTCTGCTTTGAAGTTTTAGGAATTAATACATTATCATTATCCAGATTAGATTATATACTCTCGTCTTGTTGTCCATATTTCAGCTTCCCTCACTTCTTTTTACTTAATGACTTTTCACTCTTGAAATTCATACTCAATATAAAAAAACTAATTTGGTTTGCTTGTTTAAGATAGCCGAGAGGATAGTTTAATATTCTTAAACCATTAATCAAGATGTTCTAAAACCCCAAAGAATGTTCTGAAGTTGTTGCAAGACTTGAGGGACTTTCTAAATCTCAGCTGAAAGTTCTGATTTATTTTAGGTTGCCATCGTGCTGGTGTGGATTCATTCATGACTGGGTTTGCTGTGGTGTTTATGCAGCGTATGAATCTTTTGCGAAGTGGGAACTTCGACCCGAAATGTGGTAAGTGTTCGATGGAAAATTGAGTGATTTAACCATGTTTCTGGTTTTATTAGCAGTAGAAAATACTGTAAATTGTTTGGCAATGAAGTAATTCTTCAAGATGTTGTTTGGATCTACTAATTTCATTTTTTTTTTTCAAAGCTATCAGTGAGATTGTTTTGAAATGCTATTTTGATTCGTGTTTAATCTCTCCGACGAGTCCGGCGTTTTAAGCAGAGTACATTTCAGGCAATCGGCTGGCTTTACCAGGCAAGATGACACCATTGGTACTTCATAAAAGTAATTACATCAAAGCAGCAAATGATCATGTAGCAAAATGGATCGAAGTTGAACATGAACGAAACCGCAGAGTGCAACTGGAAATTCAGTGATGAAAGACTAATCCTGTTCCGTTCAATAGGATGAGAGTTAGTACAGACTTTTCGTGGTCTCGTTTCCGTCTGCATGTGTGTTTTAATGCTATAAGTACAACATGGGTGCACTTTATGCTCTACAATCATAAAATTCAATAATATTCATATTTACATTCCCCTACTTTTAGCATAGGAAACTGAGAATTAACTCTTAACATGCACGTGTCCGATGAATGAGATAGAAACGAAAAAAAAGTGTAGTCATAACGGCAATATCTCGCAATAGCGTAAGACCAATGGAAGTTCCGAAATGCACATAATGAAGGAACTTTCCTTTTCGTTGTACACAGATAAATGTGTCGACAGAAATAATCATTTATACGAAAACTCAAATTGGAAGAGGCTCAAATCCAAAATCAAAAAATGCTCTGTATTTATCTATACACCCACGAACCTTATTTTAAGTTTAAAGAAATTGAAAAAATGGATTTAGATTGCTACAATATGGATTTCGAACTTATCTCACGCATAGTGCCAACACTTATCGGTTGCTAGCGCTCTGAGATTTACTGTTAGAACAAGAAATAGTCTAACTGACATCATTCTATTCTTTGCCAATGATGTGCGGATAACGTATGTTGTCGATTATTGGGAGTACAACTAGTCGAATTTAAATATAAAATTACAAGTATTTTTCATTTTTGGAGAATCGAGACGAAAGTTGGCTGTTCATTTTCAATTAAGCTACAAAGGAAGATGAGAGGCAAAGGCATATATGAAGAGCTGCGACATTACTTTATGTAGCAAATTTTATTGTGCAATTTAATAATATACAAACATAGCAGACATACATTGCCAGCATTTGATATCAAAGAGGAATGCAAACAAAGGAATCGCAATTTATTCGAATTCAGAATATTTGAGACAGCTTAATAAGTTCTGCAAAGTTAGTACATCTGTTATCTTCAAAAAAATGTCCCAAATTCAAATTCGTTATACATCACAACATTGATTTCTCAATGATCTCTCAATCTGATCACAAATTGTAGAGCGGAACTCTTTTAAAAAAGCTTGATCATTGAAAATTATACGCAACTTCAAAGACAGTAAGAAAAATAAGAAAGATTATTTTAGCCGTAAATAAATGGACCGCTGTGCAAGTCGTCAAACTCTTGTCCAATTTGTCATACATATAATACAAAATCCCATAGCGGAATTTTTGGGAATTTATCTTTTGTTATTTGCTCTGGTCGCATCATCAAAATGCTACAGTGTACGATCGAAATGAGGGGCTTTCAAATATTTTCTACAGGCATTGAAGAAATTGCGAAGCAAGGCGCTTAAGTAGAAGATAGACTCAACCTTTCATGTTTCTGTTTAGACTAACTGCTTTACATCCCAAATCATCAAAATCCGGTCAGAACCAGCCGTAACAAGACGACCTGTCGATTCTTGCAAATGCATGCACATAATACCTTGGCGTAGCTCCGAAATGACTGCCAGCGAAGTAAGGCTAAAATTAAAGAAAAAGCCCTCTAAAATATGTAAAGGAGTACAGAAGATGATTTCAAAAAAGTTTGCGGCAGCCAAACCAGCAAAGAAATGGGAAATAAGTAAAGAGCTAGCATAGTTAGAGAACTTCCGTGCAATGTGTCCAGTATATACCACCAAGAAGTGGAGACTGCAGTCTTTTTTAAGATTACAATTCCAATGTAAATTGCAATCAGTCTTGGGAAGTTCTCTAACTAGTAATCAGATAGTGGTAAGTTTAAGAATTAAGAGATCAAACGAATATTTCCAAATAACTGAGTAATTAACTCTAAAATCGGACCTTTGACTTACCACTCGAAGATCTGAACAGGAATTATCAAACAGCTTTTTAGTAATTTTGTTCAATGAAACTTACTCGAACTGGTCGGGGAATTGTTGCATTCGAGACTGGCAAGCGCTGCATATCCTAACCGGTAATTCATAACCCATCGGTGGGTATCTCGTCGTACTAGTACAGCAATTCGCGCATACAGCGTTACCACAAGTACGGCAATGATGTTGACGTAAACCAACTACCTAAAACAAAACATATCTCAACATTTAGATACCCATATTTGAATGATTTTAAAAAATTCTGTGGAATCCAACGATGAATATGAAAGAAATGCATATGAAAGAAGTAATTTTTCTTATTCCACCTTTTTATCCCACATTTCTCGGAAGTTCCAGAAAAACGGCGAGTCGCAGAGCTGACAGCTATCACTCGTTTTCCATCCTGGTGTCTCCACGCGTTTAGCCGTCATATCCCAACAAACTAAACTTCCGTCCTCATCTGCCGAAAAAAGCCTTTTCTTATGCTGTGCATATCGTAGACATGTTAGTCTGTTGTTGTGAGCGCTGAAATTCTGATCTAACGTCTAAGAGATAGTAAAACTTCACCAAATTTAATTGTTTCTAGTTTTCCTTAAAATCTTGTTATTTCACTCAACAATCGTAAATATCATTTAGCATAATAGGCACTATAAGAATTCAAAGAAACAATAAATGATTTGGTTATGAAAATAATTACGAATAAAGTGAGATGCTTGGATAAAGAAATTCAGCTGCTAATGCTAAGCAGGCCAAAAGCAGAAATACTGTTCCCACCAAAAAAAAAGTACTCGGCCGAAAAAACTTCTGTTTCAAGCCAAGCAAAGCGCGTAAACGTCAGCTTGAGTTATTTGTCCAAAATCTGCATAATTATTAGATAACAGATGCTGACCTCTTAACCAATATGGATAGGTGGAAAGCTTACTTAAGTTCAAACGCTTGTCCTTTCTTTCCACCAATGTCCCACATGATAACAAGGTGATCGGCTCCTGCTGAAAACAGTAATTGACGTTCTGAATCCCAGGCCAGCGACATTATGGTACCTAAAAGCAAAATAAGATTGAAAATATTAGTCCTAAGAAAAATTTTCCAAAGGAAATCTAAAAGTTAAAACAAAGAACGATTACATAGAAACACCGGTTTCCATGTATCTGCAACGGTATCCGGTCATTCAGTACAGCGCATTTTCCAATGGTACCATATAGCCGCTGACATATCGCAAAAAAGTTTGCGACAACTATGACCCATTCCAAAGAATATGCCAAAGTAGAACTGCCTTAAATGTCATCTTCAACACAAAAACGAATCCCTTCCTTATCACTTTAAACTTTGCCACAAAAATGAGGTATAGGAAAATATGTGGAACGTTGTAACTCTTCCTTATCTTCCCGGTTACAATGATGTTTTACAGACATTGTTAAACATGCGTACATGCGTATGATTAGTGCAGATTCTAACTTATGCAACTAACTTGTATGTGCAGAAAGGGTGGTGACGATGTTTGCTTCCGAACCATTCAAACGTAGCAGAATAATACTACCACCAGAATCGCCCAGAAAAACAAATTTCGATGCCACATCGAATTCCAATGCCGTGAAGCCTGATTCGCCTGCATAGGATCCTGTAACAAATAGTCATTATTGCTAACAAATGATTCATCCAGTGTTAATTCAAGAGGTCAACACTATTCTGAATCAAAATTTAAAGCACTACCAGGAAAATAACTTGAATATTTAGCTATACTGTCACAAAACAAATTTAGATGGAGAAGATGTTGGCCAATTTTGCCCAACAAATGGCTGAATAACACTTTTTTAGATAAAGTCCCCCAAAGCTATAACCGATTTTCGTTTAGGGAAAAGTCACCACTGGCACCTCGCAATTATAGATTCCGTGAATTCTATTCTCTCGTCACTAGTATTGGTTAAGGACAGCCGTATTCTGGATTTTCATGTCTTCAAAGATCGTTACATGGACTTTTAAAGAATATTGTATCTTAAACCAGCCATAACATTTGTATTCATGGAGAGAAGGTCGCCATTTCTATTTTTTCAGTTAAGATTAATGACTTATAATGAAAATCTTCTAACAGGTTGTCTTTATAACATATAGACATTTAAAGTGCACAATTTCAATTAAAAGTTTGTGGTGATAATCATGACGCTAACCCATTTTTACAGAGGTTTCTGAACAATGCCAAACCGTCGTTTTATCTTTACTGCAACTGAAAATCAATTCAGCTTCCGGTGAATACAGTACAGCGGCAACCGTACTCAAATGTGCCATCCAATGACGTTGTTCCGATAAACTGTTCATATCTTGTGCTATTCTATACTCGTAAACACTACCGTTGATAAGACCAACAAAAAGCCTGTAAGAATGGTTATCATTCCATATCCAAAGGTAATATTTATTGGAAATAATTTTATATAAAGACATTGCAAACTTTTTAAATCTAAGTCTATCTCCTCAACTCCAGAATTCTTCCATTACACATTATGCTATTCCGTAAAAAGGTATAACTAGTTATACATTTCGCTTTTTTGTTCTTCGCTTATCCTAGTGAGATCTTACTGTAGGTTGGTAGCAAACAACAAAAGGGCACGCAATACCTTAATTTATCCTCATCAAAATACATCGAATTGGGGGAAAACGGTAGATAATGATAGATAGATGGCCAGAATTGTTCGTTATCACGTTTCAGGTAGACACGCAATGATCGATCATCACTGATTGTTAACACTCCTTCTTCACTATTTAATAAGTATACGCCATTTATACGTGATATCTGTCCTTCGATTTTATGCAACAGCACTAAATTGACAAAAGTTATCAAACAAGTGATCTCAAATAAACGAAGTTTGTTAAATGCCATTAACTTTCCAAACAACCCAGTTTTAGTGCAAATAGTAATACTACGAATCATCCATAATAAATACTTTCTCGCTTATAAGCAAAACTTCGAAATAGATTTTATTTTCGAAAATTCAAATAATAAAAAACAAGAAAACCTGGCTTTCCGGTACCCAAGCTACATCGAGTTAAGGAACTTGGTCTCGAATTTATTATTGCAGCCATGTGTTATTTTCAATAAAAGCGGATGAATATCTGCTCCTGGAACAAGAGGGCACGGCAATCTAAAAATGAAAGGATGGTTTCCAAGTATACAATTCCTAGACATCATTGATCGAAGATATCACAGTTTCAAGATAACACTAAGGAAAAAGGGTGCAAAGTGTTTTTGTCCGCTGCATATTAGTTCTTCACTTACATTCCTTCACATGAGATCTCTAACTATTTACCCCTTTTACCAGTACTTTGCCATTTCATTGTATAGTAACCTTTGAATAGGTGATATTGACTGAAAGGCCAGGATAAAATTTCAGCCTTCCCATATCATAGTAATAAGCTACTACTCTTAGCTTATATCATAACCGCTTTACAACGCAAATCAATTATATCGATCCCATATATGTCGTTACATCACTGCACATCATCTCTTAACCTGATAACATATATTATATATTGCCTTATCTCACCTAAAATATTATACTTGCTACATGAATGAAAAAAAAAACCAATTCATAAACTAACGTTCCACTAAAAAAATTCAAAATACAGCCATATAACGTATGCTAACGTCGTACCGAAGCACTCACGTTAACGTGACCATTGTTGTACCGCCGCTCCTTCCCTTTCTTCCTACTGAATAGCATTACAACATCTCCGTACCCTGTTGATGAAAAACAATACGAATTTTAGCGCTGTAATAAACAACTTCCACAGGAACTTTTAAAATTTTAATTTGACATTAGAGCATAGAACTTGAAGCATAATTGTACAGCATGTGATATAATGTGGTTAGCTAGTTCGATATTAACTAGGTTATATGATATAACTGCTTAATTAGCTGGATATTAATTAGGTCACATGACGTGGCTAATAGGATATTACACTTCTTAGAGGCCAGTTTTCGAGACGGCCAAAAAGTTATTATAATTAGACAGAAAAGGAATAGGAATTAGAATGATGATATCAAGAGTATGAGGAAGAAAAGAAATTGAAAAGACAATTGTTGCATGCCTTTTCCTTTCTTAACTCCTAAAACATTATAATCTGAACATTCCTGGATTGTTAAAGTGCTGAGGAGATACGGATTAAGAGAAATAGGAAAATAGTGAAGTCGCACGTGGAGTACGAAAAAAACGGTATCAAGGGGGGCAGAGATCACGAGAATTTATAGGGATTGTGGGAAATATTTTTTTTTGAGAGAGAGAGAGAGAATGTCAAAATGAGCACAGCACGTATTTGTAATAGGGATTGAGAGCACTTTTCTAACAATTATGGTTTAAGTTTTAAAATGGCTCGGACAAGATAAAATTGCAGACATAATGAAATTAGACCATAGAGAGAGTGATTTTTCAGATTTATTTGAGGCTTTGTAGATTTTTGGAGTGAACATATCATCCTACAAGTTGTCGATATACTTACTACAGTAAGTTGTCGATGCACTTACTAAAATCTACTTACTACAGCAAGTACGTCGACAACTTTTAGAATAATAGTATCAGACCGCAATACTCACTAGATTTTGGGATAGGAAACAAAAATGGCTGAGCGGCTTTTAGAGACTCTTTTGAAGAGTGATAACATATGAAGAAAAAAAACATATGTTTTCAGTGATTTCTTCAAAATCCTACATTTGTCGTAGAAATTGTCGTAGAAATTTTTTTGATTACTAATACAGATAAAAAGTTTTACTCATTGATATAGAATTTATTCTTTATATACTTCATAAGACAATTATCAGGGAATAATATCATGATGGAGTGAATCACTGGAATATTTTTGTCTTGTGCTGATCGTTGGTGGGAATTTGATTGAAGTTGTAGTTTAGTAGGAATTTGATGGAGCATAAATGATAGTACTCAATTGAACCAACCAAAGCACCCTATTTATAATCTTTTTGAAAACAAAGAGAATTAAATGAACAACAAAGGATCCGTTTAATATTTCACGACATTTTAAACCAATAAATATCAAATAGAAGATTTATGTTTCATTAAATGAAGCATCAAAACATTTATTTTACACATATTTTATTTGTTTGAGAAGTATTCTGGATGAAACAGCCTTTGTGGCACAAATTTCTATAATACAAAAACACTTCGATCATTTCAACATATTTATATTAAAAAAATTTTTTAACTATTCAAACTACTGTTTATCATATTGTGCAATGAGTAATGAATTATGTTGAAATATTTCAAAATGTATTTCAGGAACTTTCAAAAGAACATGATATCATATTTCAAATGTGATGCTCATGTTCAATTCAAATATATATAAATCGAAAGTGAACAGATTTTCTACAGACGGAACGGAACGACAGTACTAAATGATTCCGCCTACAAGTGAAATAAATGAATTAGAATGATACTAGCCTACATTAAGTAAGAATGCCAGATGTAATAAGAATGTCAGATGTATTACATCGCTATGAGAATTTTGGATATATTAGTTTTATCGTCATGAAAGGCATAAAAGATATTTCACGAAACTATCAGATTCAATTATACTATAATTGTAGGAATTCGAGAATTTTACCTGAAATAGGTAAGTATATTGTGCATATAGTTGCACAACATACCTATTAGATAAAACATGCCACACATCGTCTTTTCAAAGTAGACATTTAATTCCATTAAGGAAAGTGTTTAGTTCTCCTACGAGTTTTAAGTTTTTCGATCGTTTAACACCACCACTTACCAATCAAATTAATTTTCATATGGCCACACTTTCTGAGAATACTGAGCAGTCGTGTTATCGAGATTATATTTATTTATTGTGTTTAAGGATATATGGTAAAAATCATAGAAACAAATTCTTCTTAGAAGATCGATGGGTTCTTTTTTAAATCCATAATTCTGGATGACAACATGTACTGATAATATCGCATTACATAAGTGATGGTTCTGGTTCTTAATTCGAAGGTATCATTTCACATTGTTGATAACAAATTTTGGCATGTAATATTTATAGCTCGAATTTCTCAATTTTCTCTCCACGGTAATTTTACTGCTTATGACGTGAGATCTCATTTAAATGAAAAGTGTAAGCCAAAAATAATTTCAGCAAGGAAATGATTTACTGGTAGGTTAAATATTTCGAATTCGTGTATCCAGAAGTACTGAATAAGAATTCCTTCTGAATCACTTCTAAATTCTTTTAAACTATAATTCAATTCTTTTAAACTATAATTATAATTGTTATAAATGGTAATTTATCGTGCTGCTTTATCTAAAAAATTTATTTAAAAAAAAAGCTAAAACAATAAATAAAAACAGACAGGTTGAACAAAACGGCAAAATATATTAATATTTTATTATTATAGCGAGTTATCATTTTATTAAAAAATTATATTTATTAGAGTTGAGTTATAAAGTTAATTAATAAAATTATTTCATTGGTGATAAGATTTTTAAAATTATTTCATTGGTGATAAGATTTTTTGCAGTTATCCGGCAACTGCAAGAATTCCATTACCAACTAAGCAAGAATATTTCCACATGAGATCTCTAACTATTTTCGATACCAGAGCAATATTTCAATGCTTTTTGCTAGAAAGGTTTTTGTCTTTCTTTTTTTAACCACTTAACAACAACAAAAACAATAACAACAACAAAGTATTTAAATATTTCTCGATAATATACAAAAAAATGCACGCATGGAAATAAATCATTGGAACGTTTTCTTGCTATGCAAATCTTTCAAAACCTCGTCCAGCTCGTCATCCTCCATCTTATTTTCCAAGCTAAACAATAACTTTCTGATTGTTACGTCGATAGGAAAACAATAAAAGAAACTCAGGAAAGTGAAATTCTGGAAAGTTGATTTTCCACGCCAATTAGATCTCATAAACCATGCAGAAATGATCAGAAAACCTTGGCATTAGCAGTTTTTCGTGATCATTCAAATAATCTTAATAATAAAGAGAAGACGATAGAAAAAATCTAAAAACCTGGGAATTAAAGCTTTCGCTTCCTCAGAAGTTTCTGGACAAAGATTAGCAATCTGTGCAACCTCGAATTTATGTAGCGGCTTCGTTGCCAACAAGCTGCAACCAATATTTGCTTCAACGTCATAAAAACTATGTTTTCATTTCAACAATATAAATAGTTCAAACATTTACGTTCTAACAGCTCGGATCGTTTCCCTATTTTTAAATCGTGCCATTCGTCGCGTATAATTTAAAGTTTTTATGAATACATCACTCATTTCGTCGATTTCCTCCTGAAAACAAAATTTCCTCTGCTAATATCAATATCATATTCACCTAATACGCAAATCATAAATGTTGCAGAGTGATAAAGCCCGAAAAAAATGAATTTATTCAACTGATATACTTTACATGATGGAACGACATAGATTTCAAAAAAATCATAATTCTATTTGTAAAACTCAGACAGCTTTGAAAAGGAAATATGGCATGATTTGATCAAGGACTTTACCTTTTGTTCACTTTGCTGACGTCGATGCTCTAACAGTAAGTACACCTCTGATGTTAGCAAAGTATCAGCTTGTTCAAATTCTGAAAATAAAAATAAAACAATCTAAACAGAAAGAGCTATTGCTAAAAGATATAAAAGGATGCCAAATATATAAAAGTATGGTCTAAAAGCAAACCAAGCAGAAAAATAATTACACACTAAACTAAGGAGGAAATGAAGCAAACCTTTCGGAAATTTCAATTCGGTCGCATCTTCATCAGTTGCATCATCCGGCTGATTACCGGGCATTATCCCCTACCGTTGCTAGAAACAGAAATTCCTATAAAGCTCTACATCTATGTGTAATTTATTGAGATTTAAAAAAGTTGACCATAAATCATGCTTGGTATAAATGACCACAATCGAAGCATATTTAAAGTAAGCAATTGTTTTATTACTCAGAAAGACTATTTAATCATACAAATCGCACAAGTAATAATTTCGCAAGAGCAAAAAAAGCAGAGGCAAGTATATCATCATGGATCATCAAAAAATAAAAAAGCGAACAAATATTCACACTCAGTATTTTTTGTAACCAAAAATTAGTATTTTTGTAACCAATCATAACGATTACTGCAGTGACTGTTTGCAACAAATCATAAAAATAAAAATGGTGGCACAAGTTTAGAAATCAAATTGAAATAGTTTTCACAGGGCACAAAACTATTTTACAATTGTGTTTTTACATAGCTTCATTTTCACTAAAATTTCAATAAAATACTTCATGAACATGTTCCTGAAGAAAGTCGTAACCTTTGTAAAGCTTGAAGATACTACAGATATTCAGTATAAATGTTAATAAATCTTTTCTCATTTCTCATTGGTTCCACCATTTCGTACATATTTCGCTCAGTCTCTTGATTTAATCTTTCGCATCACTGTCACTACCGAAAAGACGGTAACAAATGTGCAGAACTGTAGAAAGATGCGAAATCTGAAATACGCAAATACTATTGTCAAAACTACTACTGAAAACTCTGCCTTACCATGCCCTATATAATTCTAGCCAAACATTGCTATTCATTAAGACATTCAAAACGCTTTTGTAAAAATTACTCCTATACAATAATCATGTTGCAGAAGGAATATTTGGGCAAATTCCATCCTCAAAAGATTCCTATTCTGACACGTCTCATGATGGTTTTCCCGTCACAACAATCTCTTTCAATCAAAAAGAAATGAATATGGGATAATGTTGCAATATAGCAATTCAACTAAGATGGTATAAAGAAAAAAAGAAAAAAAAGTATAAAGGTTGCAAATTATCTAACCTATGCTCAGCGAACGATACTCTTTCTGAATGAGGCTTCAAAAAGCCATTCAAGACAATCCATGGCAGTACAATTCCAGAAAGAACAAAAGGATTCTTTAATACATCACCTCGTTTTTTAAGCATTTTATAATCGTACTGAAAAGGAAAGGATGAGGCTTTAAAATTTCAATCTGCATGCCTCTTACAGTTGCTAACAATGATGATAAAATATATCCCCGAAACATCTAACAGATAGCAACCAACAACCATAGAAAACGCATGATGAAACAAATGTAATCGATAATGATAACCTAAATACCATTTCTCGACGAATATACCTGAGTAACTTACAATGGTATCAGCAGTACCAGGACTAGAACTACCAACCTGAAAAGTTCAATAATTCATTTTAAATTAGTTAGAATGGCATTAACTGGAATGCAACGTTTTTTTTCCATTTGCACTACACTCATAAATGAGGGGAATCCCAAATCTTCCGAAAGAACCCACAAGTCTTGAAGGACAATATTTGCTCACACCTCTTATATTCATCGCCAGATAAGCTGAAATGACAGTTTAAACATTTCTCAAATTCTTCTAGTTGAGCTGGAAATCCTTTTATTCCTGAACTTCATTCATTATTCTCAAAATTGCATAGTACGATTCGAAGTACAAATTTAAATTAGTTTCTGAGCCCCCACGTCAATATAACTCAATGAATAGCTGAAAAAACTCATCCCACTTTCTCAAAATGACTTTGGCAGCAAAGAGAGACACTTTCTGGTAATGGCGACAAGCAGTATCAGCTCTTTTGATTGATCATCGTGTAATATCACCAATTAAAAAAAATATGATGAAGGACAACGATGAAGAAAATATGACTAACCGATATGTTGGTCATATACACTTTGCGTAGAATTCTTATTACCATAGTTCTCTGTAAAGTAAGCATAAGTTTTCTGTAACATTATCTAAATCCCGTAATGCGATTAAGTTGTAGGTTGAAGAGAAAGAAAACTTTTGCAGTAATCTCGTACACTGCCATCTGAAGAGTATAGAAAAAAAAAATTATCCCAAACAAAATGATACCCCACAAAAAACCTTAACCACAGTTATACAGAAAGCAAATACGACCAAATACTGGAAATCCTTAGAAATTACGGCCGAGGCATTAGAAAGGGACGCGGGAGAAGGAGATAACTTTCGCTTAATTCGATGTCACAGCTATTTAAAGCATAGAATTATTTGCGGAAAATATTTTTGAATGCTATTGACTTCCGTTGAAATGAAATATTTTATAATGGGAAAAAAATAATTGATACAAATCACATATTACTATTACTACATTATAAAGACCTTTTTTTTACATATATCCTTAGATGCATGCATCTGCATGAACTTATGCACGTTTAATTATATTTCCATAGCTGCCACTGCGTGTAAATAGACGTTCATCACATATATGCATATTCTATCTATTGATATAAAACTAAAAAGCAATAAATTTCAAAAACGGTACTTAATTCCAAGCTAACACAAAATCTCTCATGAAAAAGGATTGAATGCAGTGATCGCTAGATATAAATACTACTTTAATTCCCAGAGTGGATCTCTTCGCTTATCGAATGTATACTTCTTTTTTTCCTACACTACTCGTTAATTCAAATTGAACTTATCAGAAAAGGGATAAGTCTTGAAAAAAATTAACCCTTTCATATACCGCATTGAAGTTGCAAAGAATTCCATAAAAATTTTTCGATAATAATTTTTTTTAATCTAATCAGTTATTTCGTTGCAATTATGATAGCTCTTCTCCTGAAGGATGTTAGTATGTGAAAAAGTATTCGATTTGATTCCGAAAGATCAATGGTTTTTCTTTTGTTGATAGTATCGAGCCATTGTGGCACATGTTAGTACGAAGACGAATGTGCATCCTTGCAGAAATATTCGAAATCTGAACGAAATAGATAATTAATTATCATATATAATTCTGCTTATTGTTTTAGTAATCATATGAACATGATAATTTTCAATTATTTTAATCTATTGTTTGAAAAAAATTAAAAATTTAAAGATAAAACAAATTGTATCAGAATATCTCGAACAAAGATTTTAGGTCATTTCGAGGGAGAAACAGAAAAAAAGGATGACATTTTTCCTTGTAGTTCCTAATATGGAATGCTATTCTCAGATTATTACGCTACCAATAAGCATGATAACATGATATTGCATGTGTTACAGATCTCATGTTACGATCAGGAACGTACTAGTCCAGTTTTAAAAACTATTGGTTAAATAATTATTAAATGTGAGAAGCGAATTCTACAATAATGAGCGGAGATTAAGGAGGAAAATGTATTCATAAAGTCTTTCTAGCAAATTATAACTCAATCAATTTTTCGAAAAATTTTTGGTGCCTTTTTTATCAAATATTCGACTGAAGTTGAAAATATTCTCAGATTATTACGCTACCAATAAAGAAAAAGGGAATAAGGACGAAAATATCCATGAACAACGCTACATATCGCTTGCTATATAGGTTGCTAGATGTATCAAGTTAGATTAGATAAATTCAGAATCCATAATTGTAAATCTAGAAGTTAGAAGTTGATTCACTTAATCATTCAGATTATTGTGAAGTAACATTTTAAACTAAAATGTTCTATATTACCTGTGTTCCGCGAATGAAATTCTTTCACTATGCGGTTTCAGATAACCCATTAAAGCTATCCAGGCTATCAAAGTACCCGATAGAAATACCGGATTTTTAAGCCAATCACGATGTCGTTTCATCTCTTGTTGTTGCAGCTGCAACACAATATAAATTGTTATCAGTACTGCACAATCCAACAATCACTGTAATACTACTACCACTACGTCATCTCTATCTTGATCTAGCAGAATGGAAAAAACTTCGATTCATGATAATGATTTGTTAAACTGATAATGCTATCAATATCCACCTACTACTATTACAATTAGCGCTATCACTAAACAATTCTTATCACTCATATTTATTTTACAAGCGTTGTAAATCCTATTATCAAAACAAAACAATACGTGAAGTTGTAATTGATAAATGAATTCCTTAATTAAAGTCATTTGATTTCAAATCGAACTTACATTTAAACCGACAATTCCTGGATCGTAATCCCTAGCCTGAAAAAGCACGACATTCATAAGCATGAAAGCAGTAAAATTCGCTTTACGGCAAAATTGGAATTTTTTAAATGCATATCAAATTTTAGAACTAATTATATGATCTGAATTGGATTCTTTTCTGATTAGTTTACATCAATTAATCTTCAACAAACTAACCTTTTGCATTGCTGCCGAAGTCATAAACGCCTTTCTAATCAGATTAATCATCTATGTAAAAATGTATGAATGTTGAATTTTTACGAAATATTGATAACTCTTTCTACCGACAATTAACCTAAAGTAGGAAAAATTTGTTAAAAATTCTACATGGATATACGAACAGTGCTATCAATGTTATTTTATCAATCATCATATCAATCATATTAAGCATAACCAATAATCTCCTGCTGTAGCTGACAAAGCGATTTTTAACATTTGCGATTATGGAATCCGATCTGTATCTCATTAAGATCTGATCAGCTATAGTCAACGAAAGTAGGAAATCGCAAACGGTATTAATGAATGAAAAAGATATAATCAAACTATCCTTTCTTCCACTTGAAAGTAATATTCGGAAAGTAGGATGGACTTATATATTAATTCAACACTACCTATCATAACTTTATCCTCCAAATCAGTATTGTTTTATCAACAACGTTGAAAAATAAGTTATCCCATAGAAGAAAAAAGCTTATTTCAGAATGACTTAACTCAATCTGAGCGTTACCCCTTAAATTTGGTTAAAGAATTTTTAAATAATTGCTATTGTTTTACAAAAGAGAATATGATATGGAAATGGACACTAATCATTTATCACTTCATTTTCTACCAAAATCGTAGTCTGAAAAATAAGTCAAAAAATGACAATGGTTTAGTTGATTAGTATACCTAAAGAATAACTTGTATAAAATGATAATGTTGATAAGAAATACAAGAATACATCAACAACACATTCTCTCCTACAAGTCTTCGAAGAAGACTTATGTTACATTGATTAAATATAACGCTGAGAGATGACACCACAAAGTTTGAAGTGTCAGAGAGGCATGGCAGCTCACTTATACTGCACACCCTATCCAACATTATCGATTTTCGTAAACACCGAAATTCGCCTTATTCAATTGACCTTGGCGGAGGTAGAACCGTAGTGTTTGAAATTTTTTAAATTTTGTTTACATTAATTACATTACTCTTAATTAAGATTTAGTAATAAGTTAAATTTCATATCTCAAATAGATCAAAAGGAAACTTAGGCCATATATTAAAACCATATGAAACTCTGATCAAAAATAATTTCTTCAAACTTTTTCTTTAACTCATTCTTTTTTCCCATACGATATGAAGCATTAGTCATAATGAGGACTTACGTGCTAACCTTAACATTGTCTTAACGTGAAATACGTGAAAGTAAGTGCATAGTAGTCCTCGGCATCTGTGTAAAACTATCTAAGAGTTAAATATAACATGTTCAGATATTTTTCAATAATAGGAATATTGAAATTATACGAGCGTTATTTTAGATAGGGATACACTGTGCTCATAGCATCAAAAGAAAAAGTCCTGTTGTAAATTATTTTATTCCCTGTAAATAATTAAAATTCCATCAAATAATGCTTTATATCACATGCAATCCATAAATTAATTTAAAATTAATACGAAATAAAAATAGGAAAAATTACAAAAATCATTGATGGCTTATACGACGTTGAAATATCCATTAACAGATTATCATATTTGTTGTCGTGTTCTGAAGATCATCTATAAAGATATCCCGGGAATTAGTCAAATTTATATTTTAGATTTCTTCAAGCATTCGATGGGTAAGTTGAAGAAGTACTTCCTTTCGCTACTCGACTACTTTTTCTATAAAATTTCAATTAAGTTTTTGCTAAAATTTTCATCTTTATTAAAACAGCAAATGAATTGTGCAGTAAGATTTCGCTTAATTTTCTAAGTAATGACAATATCACATTGACTGCTTATTCAAATCATTTTAACATCAATCGGAGATCATTTCAAATTATTTTACTTAAAGTTGAAATTTGGAAATTCAGAAAATTTACCTACTATTGTATGATAGTGCATAGCTCACAATATGAGCTCAACAAGAGATTTCTAATATACCGCTACCTGAAGCTATAAATTTAAATTATATTAAACTGAGTATATCGATCGATTTCAGTATTTCTGTGCGATTTCATCAAAATTATTCATTCCCATTGAGTTTCAGTTTTTTAGAAATTTCACTGAATGGATCTAAACATTTTGGAAGTGTAAAAAATATACATGCGAAAAATTTTTTTCGACAATTTTATAAAATGATACCTGTCATTAATTCTCCAGTAATTAATTTAGTAATTTTGTCTCTCCAGTAATTAATTTAGTAATTTAATTTAGTAAAATTTTGTTATTGTGTTTCTTTCGGTAAATAATTAGTAATATACTGGAGAGATAAGGCCTAAATTCAGTATGCTTCAATGAGACAATCAAAATAAATTCCATTATTTTCATTTCTTTAAAGCTTCAATGACAAGCAAAAATTATAAAACGTAGAAAAGAATTTATAGAAACGAATTTGAAAGAAGCAATTTTTGTGGCAATAAGTTAGCTATAAATTCTAAACGAAAAGAGCGAATTATCAAAAGGTTAATTTAAGATATTAATTATTATTTTTTCTACGAACAAAAAAACTTTCCGCATGTAACATTTGGTACCAGCTGGCACTTATGATTTTTAAAAAATCTCTGAATTTTTATGCTAAACTTTAATTTTGCTTACTAATCTAAGAATAAACTAAATGAATAAACTGAATGTTTTCCTTTGCAATTCATATTTTATATATTAGAAAGAATGAAATGTTTTGATAAAATCCATGAAATATTGTCATTAAGTAAAATAATGGCAAATTATAAAGCAAATTGAAAAAACATTTAGTTTTACAATTTGCTAATTTGATTAGATATATTTAAATTTAAGTAAAAATTTCTACCTTTTCTTAATTCATCCCGCAGATTACTTATACCAATTTTTTTGCCAATCTTATTTAAATGTCCCTGTTTCCATTGAGTCCGTTTCTGTAACAGATATATAACATGGTGATTTACGGCATAGTGATGTAAATTGTCTGTATATAAACTTAATCAACAAATAGTTGGATGATTTTAAAAAGTATTCAACTAAAATTATATGGTTATATTCAGCCAAAATTATATGAATGTATCAGTTTAGAAATTTGTTCATTTGAAATATATTTCATTAATTGAAATGACTAAATGAAATTTGAAAGTATTTATATTATCCGTAAGATAAACTGTGATTAATATTTCGAATGATTTAATATAATTTCAATTAGCTTGTGATAGTAATGTGATAATGACTTTAGAAGAAAAACTATGCAAGAAAGGATTGAAAATAACTTTTGACACTTTATTATATTAAAGTATAAATCTTAACTATAAATCATTCATTTGTGCCATGAATACATTTTATATGTCCAAATATGTTGACAGTCGACCTTTTACTATTGCTGTCAATTAGAAGTTTGCGCCTTTCTTATTAAATATTAGATAGTAAAGGTAATAAAGATCAAACAGATCAGAAAGTTCAATATCATCACACTGAGATTATAAAGATAGCCGTTACACTGTGAAGATGTCGCTTAGTTTTTGATGTTTGCTGAATGACTTAACTAAATGATACGTTTTTTTTTAAATATGGTGGAATGGAAAATTTTCGTAGCGCGCTGATGACTTATGCTATCTGACTCAGGCAGACAGCAATGAGTTGGTTGAAGCTGTTATTGTTTTTCTTTTCATCGTTTCTACTTATATAATATAACTAAATATGTATATTATATATACATTGCTTAGTTATATTTTACATTAATACGTAATTACTGATTGTGTCAGCTAATGTATGAATGATTAATTACATTAATCATTGATTATATAGCTTTGTATATATGTAATTAATTATACATACATAAAGCAATAACAGTAATGTATATACTAACGAAATAAATTAAAATATTTAGGAATTTGTGGGACGTATAATGCGATGATGAGAAGAAATTTAGTGTTGGCAAGTGATGTTTCATTGGAAGATGGTGAAATTGAAGATGATGATTTGGGCGACATTCCGAGGTTTATTTTTCTTGAAATTATGCCAATCGTTTATGTTGAATGTGTTCTATTTTGTTGAATTATTAGTAGCATGAACTTTGTGATGGTAGCATATAGACTGTTCTTATCGTATCCATCAGATTCATAGATATAGTTGAGAAAAAAGGTTTAAAACTAATAATTTTTATGCCTGTTACTTTGAAGATGGACCGTTAAATCGTTGATAGGTGTAAAATTTTTTGTTGATTGAGCGTGACATAATAGTGATGTGAGACTAGACACAAAGATGGGAAAAAATTAAGAAATGACCTGTAGATAATTGTAATAACAGTTTTATTGTATGAATTTCTACTTTAGCGTCATTTATAATTATTTAGTATATCGTCTGTTTCCATCCGAAAATTTTACCACTAACACTACTATATTAGTATTTGTAGTTACTGGATGTTCGATACGATTCATTTAATTACTGGACATTACCATCCATCTGATACTTTAATAGTGGGTAATTAGTTTGATATTTACTACTGTCTGATCGCTACTTTATTCGGTTGCTGTTAATGCATATTTGCAATATTTGTTTACTGAAAGCTTTTGTCGAGAGAAAAGTAGCGTTGCTAGAAAACATTTTAGCTTGATATTGGCTTATATGTTTCTAAGGGCATTACTGTATCTAGTGGCTTACTCCACAGCAATAGGAAGAAGCATTTTCACTTAGTAATTGGGGTGATAACTTGCTAAGGGTTTTTGATTTGTATGATATTTGCTTGCGCGAAGTCTTTAGCATCGCTGTCACATACAAAATTGTTACTATGTACTTCTGATGTATTACCAATCTTAAAAATTATGTGCAATAATTATAGAAATATACCAATGGAAATAAGATCAAAAAATGTGACCCATGTTTCATCGATCAGTCTGGACGAGGAACGAGAACGTGAAGTAGATCGTATTATTCGTGAAGTGCAGGTCTTAAAATCTATTCAGGCACTACTTATCTCTTCAAGTTCACTTATTGCTTCAAGTCTGTCAGATTCGGTGCTTATCATTTTAGTTCCAACACTGTTACGACTTATTATCGAGGTTTGAGAAGGGCAAGGCTCCATTTCTCACTAGTTTCATTCCATGGAAATAGATATCATGTAGGAATTTATTGCTTGATCTATAGTGCCTGCAAAGGTTTTTTTCTAATATCAGAGCTAGTTTTCAGGAAGCAACAGATAGGTCAGAATTCACGAGTTTAGCGTTTGCTGAACATTCAGTTGAAAATATGAATTCGGATGATGAAGATGCTTTACGTTTAGCGATGTTAAATACAAGCAAAGATGAAAGATTTGTACGACAACCTATATCACACGAAGCAGAAGAGGGAGAAATCAGTGAGAACATATATATATATATACATACATACGTACTACATACATACATACATATATATTTGGTGTAATGTAATCAAGGGAGATATAGCAATTTGAAATTATTGTTTTCTTCCTTTTAGGCTTTAAAATCTTTTCTAACTTTCCCTAACATTTCATCCCAACATTTTTGATTCGTATGTATTTTTTTTTTTAATTTTTGGCTCCATAAGACGTAAATTTTTTTTCAGTTTCAGTTAGATGACTAAAGATATATTGCTGTAGAAAGACGTGAGGAAGTTAATTAAAAATTCTGGATTTCACTTTTGAACTTTGACATTTATCTTTCTTTTTCTAGTTGATACTTCTTGCATGGTACCAAGTAATCAACAAATAAACGTGCATTCTTCGCGACAATCCTGGATGCAATTGGAACGAAAGCAAAGTAAGCTTGCTGAGTGTTTTGCCAGCATGAGTTAAAGAGAGTTAAAGAGTCCTTGTCGTAAAAAAGTAAAATAAAATGAAGCATATTGGCTGAACTCATCGAGATATGGTGCGTAGGTTAGGTATGCATACCACAATTTCAAAATTTATGGAAAAGACATGGTATAATTTTAAATAAAAAATGTAATATCCTAACAAATATTGCTGAATTCTTTCCCTGTCTTTTACAGATAACGGATTTCAAAGGTATAGTGATATGCAAATGCGCATAAAGAATCGTAAATTCGACGAAACAGCGGTACCACTCAAGGTGACGGTACGGAATGATAACGAAGGTGGTTACCCATGTTGCTTCTTAAATAATCAACAAAAAGTCGCTGCACCGATCAGTAGTGTGGCGATGTTGGAAACAGCTGTGAAACAATTTGCAAACCCGTAAAATTTTAATCATTGAGACCAAGCTTTTTTATTGTTTTTTTTTTTTTTTTTTTCAGTTGCAACAATAAAATATTACGCTGATCAAAATGGCGATTTCTTCCTAGTAGATCAAAGTTCAACTATCTTGGGGCCATTTATGAAATCTTGCTTTATTGTTCTAGTGCTTGCTCATGAGTAGTGACTTCTATGATTTTTGCAGAACGAAATGTTTCTACGATCTTTATTCTTTCTTGAAGATGTGATTGTGGTTGTAAAAAACAATCATTTATTTCTTTATGCCTTCAATTTTAAAATGAAGACAGTGCAGTTTATTTTTAATTAATGTTGTTGGAAAATTCATTTAGATTTGAGGAGCAGCTGCATCGACTTCGATTGAGGATTGAAGCAAGTAAATTTTCGAAGAAAGTGGAAAATTTGCGAGATAATTATGAGCAAGTTGGAATGGATATCGTAGACAGTGATCGAGGTACTCAGTGTCATTTTTTCTTAAATTATATTGTTTTTATACTGCGGTGGCGAAAGTTGTTTTTTTTTTTTTGGAGTCAAAGGAAGATTTAAAAAACAGATGAGGTAGAAATTTTTTTTTTTGCATTTTCTGCATGAAACAGAATTTTGTGTTTTTATTTTTGACTTATGGAAATCGTTGATGCAACCGCTTTTTAATATCAGACGTTGAGTTAAAACGAATGCATTCTGAACGAAAAAATACAGAAAAAATATTTGTAAAACTTGTATTTTTAATACACACCAAGTGGCTCTGCTGTTGCACGTTTGAAGTTTTTTGGAACATAATAGTTCGCAGAATTCAGATTCGCGTTCGCGATCATCGCCAACATCACCGTTATTGAATGTTATGGCTCTTTGTCCTCATGAAATTCAAACCCGAAGTGGAGTACCATCCGATGGTGCTGATAACGAGGAGGATGTCGATCAGCTGCGTGCTGAACTCTTAGAGCAGGTGAGGATTTCTACAAAACATTTTTCTATAAAAATATAGGTTCCTTGCTGCTTGCTGCTTTACACGTGTCGTTGTGATTAATTCATCATAGCAGATATTACCGGCATGATTAAATGTTGATATATGGCGAATTAATTTCTTCCTTCGCACAAAAAAATAGACGGTTTAACAAGTATTCGATCTTGTTTGCCTCTTTCTTTAATACATGTGCATACCTAATTTTTGGTTTTACGTTTCAGCGCATTATTCTGATATCGAAAAAATTAACGGTATTTGCAGATAATGCAAAAAAAGAACGACAAGAAATTAAGATCGGTGAAACCAACACTTGAAGAAGGTGAATTAAGCAGTACAAATTCAGAAGAACGAGCTGCTCATAGTAGTAATGAAGGACCAAGTTCCAGTTACAGGTATTTTATCGCGATGATTTTCAAAATGTGTGGACCACTTCAAGGTTCAAGAGATGTTATAAAGTTTCAATTACAATTCAAGAAGGAATGACAAAAAATCATGATGCTAATGAGCGAGGCTCATTGAATTTATGAGTTACATAACATTTGTTTTTAGGGCCGAAACACATTGTTCTAAAAGATTTACAAATGTCGTAGAACAAAATCGGAAGTCTGTGATGGATCGGAAGGTTTGTTAATTTTGTTTTGAATGAAACACATTCACATTAGATGTTGTTGCTATTTTGATTCTCAACTGATGGAGGAAAGTTTCAGCGTTCAAGGAAGGGTGATTCTATATCAAGTGGCAGTGATGATGGAGCAGGTCAAGACTACCGCACCAAGCTACCACGAAAAAGAAAAGAAAACTTTCGAGAAGCTGTTCCCAAAAGGTAAATGAGCTTAATAGTTATTTGTGAATTCTTTCCAGAATTATACGTCGCTTTTCCTTTGCTTTACTCGGAGATTTACTTGAATTTCTAACTACTGCTTGATTTCGCAAACTTAAACTTAGAGAGTCAAGGAGGATAGTTTGCTCATCAATTATTGATTGCTTAGTAGTTGCTTATTGACTTCAGTTTTAAACCCAGATAGTCACATATTTTATTATCTATGCATGTAATACAGGATACGCTGGAAATCAAAGGATGAATTTGGCGACATGTCAGGAACAGAAGAGAGAAAGACTGAAGAATGGGAACATATGATTGATGTTGAAAAGAAAATGTTGAAGGAAATTGAAAGGAAATTAAGGCATCGTGACGATCAAAAATGTGTCACGAGAAGGAAACGTGATAATTTTTTGGTTAGCAGCCGTTGTGATTCCTCAAACTCCTTGCTACTTTTTACCGTTAATTTTGAAAAATTCATGAAACTTGAACAATGTCATGATTGTATGGTTTGGATGAACTCACATTAATTATCATATGTTATATGTTAATTATCACCAAGCTTAGACTTCCGAGTCATTTATTATTTTACCAAACCATAAAATCGAGTGAATAAGGTTCAATAGCGAGATATATAAAAGGGTATGTAGGGATGATTGATAAATTTTGATAAACTGGTGATCTTAATTTATTGATTTTAAAGTCCTAATTTACAAATAACTTACAATTAATTCGTGCAATTTTTAGGAGAGAGCGAATCATTGTGCTCATCAACTTGGTGTTCTTGAAGCGGAGATGGAAGTACTTCGATGTGATCAAGAAAAGGTTAAAGGACGTTTATCATATTTGGAACGGCAGTTGAGTAAAGTACAATTTGAAGAGAACTGCAAGGAAACAGAGAGGAAGACATTTGGAAAAGAAAGTGAACGAACTGGAAGATTAGTAGAGGAAGCTGAACCGATAAAAAATATAAGCAAGGACGCTGGGCATATTTATGACCCTACTCAAATAATGATTAAGTCGAAAAATGATGCCGAAGAGTCGAAAACGGCAAAAACACGCGTTTTAGAACATTCTGAACTATCGAGTACGACTATCGCGATGGATTATTCTGATGATCGAGATGATATTTCAAGACCTACAAGTAGTAGTAGTGGATCGCATCATTCTTCTATAGATATCTTAGGGTTTACTATTTCATGTTGTTTTCTTTTGATTATTTTGCTTCATTCTGAAAGGTAATTTAAAATCCAGAAATATTATTAAATTTTGCAACAAACATAAATCATTCAGTTGCTGAATGTGTTGCGGTATAATTCAGAATGCAAAAATGTAGTTAGATTATTATGTTATATAGGTTAATCTGCATACTCGAATTGCATTAATCGATAGGCGGGTTACTTTCTCAGCATATCAGATATGAATGCTTCGAAGAAACTGAGTTGGATTGACAATGGAATGTAATATGGAGCACTAACAAGATTTTCAGGGATTCCGATATAATCGAGTTATCAGATTCGAGTGATTCAATGAATGGTCTTATCGCAGCTATGCGTGAGTTAGAGCAGGAAGAGCTGGATGCAAATTTCATTGCAGAAGCTGCAGCAGTGATTAACCCAAATGTTTGTCACGAAAGTCAACAGAAAGAAAGAAAGATCAGTCGTACTGTAACACTAAGCGAAAAAGATGTTAATGAACTTAAAAATAATCCATTGATTATGTTTAACGGGTATCGGTACGTCCATACAATTTGAAAGTAGTAATTGATTTTACACTTTCTGATTTCCTTATCGGTGCTTCCTTCAGTTACTTGCAAGAATTTTTTAATAGTGATTTCATATTTATTCCTTTATCTTCTTATTATTGTCCCTGGAACATTTCATAGTGCTTTTAATGGTGCAAATGAATAGTTATATTATAGAAATATGGTAAAAAGATTCTTTTAAAGTGTTTCAGCCAATTTAGGAGCATTGAATGTCTTGTTTAGGGTGGCAAATTTTGGTAAAAGCAGGTGGTTGCTGCTTTGTCCCACGAAATCGTGGAGAATAGTTATGCTTGTAGAATTACCATATGTTGATTCTTGAAAAATTTTGATAACTCTAATATTGCTAAACAAAGGCAATTATAGCAGTATTGTTTTCTGTCAATCAAGCCAATTTCAGCATATCTCCAACATTCCCTTACCGTCTGATAGCCCATAGAGCTTTGTCAAACAAGTTGGATCCGTTGAAACCGCTTTGTTATTATGAATTATTAGGAAGATGCGCTGATTCAACATGTTCAATGTTCGTTTGTTTGACTTTGATTATGGGTCAGTGAAATATATTTGAAGTAGCATGTAATTTTACTAACATTTACAGGCAACATGAAGAAGATTATTTGCTGTCCGATGAAGAACTGATATGTAGTGTATTGGCTTATTGTCCGAATCTTTGCCCACCTAAAAAAATGTTTTGTAAGTTTTTTTGTGATTTTCCTTTATAGTATTTTTAAATATGTTCGGGGTATATGTAGAGAAAGACATTGGAAGACGAAATATAGGTGTTTTAATGAAATTTCAGAGTTTACAGGAGGATTTGCACAGTTTTATGCGGAGATATATGTTACATATAAAATACATTTGCATTTAATGTTATACATGTTTAGAAAGAAAATGCTTTCGATATGTTGTATCCATTAAATGCTGTTTTTTTGCTCTATTTTCGTTAGTCATTTTGCTATTTTTATCCTTTCCAGCCGAATATGCTCGTGAAATATTGAAAGAGCATCAAGCGAAGTCAGTGGGAGAAATTATTGAGGATATGTTGAGAAACCTTCCTGATACTGAGCGTTGGATAAGAGTTTGTGAGATGGCTACCAAATCTGAGTCGCTATCGAAATGGTCTTCGAAAGGTATTTTGTTACTGTTTGCAGAAAATTATAGTTTGCCAGGATAGTTAGTTATTTGGTAATACGAAGAAAGAGCAATTGAAACGAGAGCTCTCAGAGTTAAGGCTTATTTTTGGACTATTTAGGGATAGGAATTGTTCGGTTGAATGTTTCGTTAGTTATATTGAACGAATTTTTGTTTTTAGAAAGCGAAAAAGATATTTTTCGAGCAAGAACTGCTTTGGGTATTTTGCCTGAATTCATGAGAAATTTATGTAATGATGACAACTAGAATTGTCGTAGGTATTTACTGTGATGCGTCTTCCGGTATGACGTATTTCTGCGTTATGCATGGCTATACAGTTTTACTTCCTTTAGTCAAATTCTTCCATTTAATGTTAAAGTCATACTTAAATAAGGGGAAAAAACAATGCTCTCAATTTCAATTTCTTCGAGTTATGGCTAAATAACTAATGTTTCCCGAGCAGTGCTAAAGTTTTTTAGATGAATCCATTGAATATGAAGTACCTCAACAATTCCGTCAGTTATCACTGTAAATGGCAAAATCTACGCGAGGTGAGTGATTACGGTTATGGTTATAGTCCTCTATAGATGTGGTTAATATGTACTTTCAATGCCATTCTTTTTCATCACTCGTATTATTTTAAACTTTATCATTGTACGCTCATTATCACTTTTTACTGTTGTTTCATTTTGTTATATTTATATTCGTTTAATCAAGCTGCTATCATGTTGCTTTTCTAGAATATCTTATTCTTTATTTATATATTTGGTGTTATTTAAACTCGGAAAAATATTTATTATGCGATGAGATGAGAGAACGAAGATCAGAAGAAAAATACATCGTCAGCAACGTCTGTGATTGTTTCATCTAGTGCTGTTTAAAATCTCCATTTGTGATTCATACTTTTTTACTGTGATTTATTCAGCAAATGCAAGCAAAATAAAAAATAATTAATCATTTTAATTATCTTCCTAATTTTTTTTGTTTTTGACTCAGATTTGGCATTGTACCAATTTTTGTAACGCATATCTTCCAATGGAAATAGCAAAAGTAGAAAAGTTGTTACTGAATAGCAGTTGGAGTATATGACAAGCTCTTCAATGCTGCTTGAGAAATAAGAGAAGAGCAGTAGAGATAAGTTTCAATTTGTTTTCGTTATGGTTAACATTTTTTAAATAAGTAAAGAGAAATGGATTTCACACTGTTTAACAAATAAGTCGGGGAAGTTTTGTTTATTGAAAATTCTAGGTTTTGCACAGGAGCGGGTGTTTAACTTTTCAATTTAATGTTGAGTTTTGCAATATGATTCTTGTAATTCTTAGAATTACTTGGTTAATTTAATTTCTGTAAGATTTATTTGACATAGAATGTAAGGTATTTTTTGCAGCATATTATATTTTTATTTTATTTACCATGCGTTGCATACAAAATTATTGTTCAAGGTGAAAGGAAAGCTTTCTGTTTGGAGAGGAGAAAAAGCATGCTCAAAATATGAAGGAAATTTTTTTTCAAAAGTAGAAATGAAATACCGGAGGAAAATATGGAGGAAATGATAGTTGTAAGTTAAAATGGTTCATAAGATAGAGATGCTGACGATGTGTTTAAGACTTCGTTGTTTTCGATAGTTTCATTATAAATTGTGCTACTGAAGGCTAGCAAGATATTAGTGTTGGCTTGTAGCTTATTTTAAGCATTTTCCGCTACATATGGAGCAACAGGATAACTGAAACTAGCATGATCTCATGCAAATAAAGGATTGAGGTGATTGATAGGTTTTTTGATCAGTTGCGCCCTGCGAATGAAAGATTAAATATGATTTCACTGTCACGGATTGAAATATAAACAGTTGAACATTGAAATTTAGAAGTATCAGTATGGCGACGTCACCGAATCGTTTATTGTTCATTGGTGTTTCGGTAATCTTATTACAAATTGTATCAGTTATCAGCGCTGGCAAAATATTAGTCTTGGTTGATAATTTAAATATTAGAGAAACACATTCAATTTTCTTAAAGTCCCTAAAAGGTAAGTAATGATTAATTTGTTCAATTTAGTTGCCTAATTTTTATTACTGGTAATTTAGTTATCTTTTCTTAAATAGATGATGTGATCCTCAGTGCTATAGTATAATTTGTTAAGTTTGCTTTAATGGCTTCTTTTTTGTTTCTAATTTTTTTCTATTATTAACAAATGAAAAATAGCTGTAAAATTCAAGGGTGTATAATTTAGTAAATGGAAATTTGATTAATTGCTAACAGTCGATAAATAATAGATAAGATAACTGGAAGGATAATTTGTCAAAAAAATTGTTTCGAAATATTTTTCTTTTTTTGTTAATTAATAATGCGCATAATTTGTCTCATATTTCAGAAAGGGGACATCAGTTGACTATAAAAGCAGCAGATGATCAGACATTAGCTCTCACAAAGTATGACGAACATCTCTACGACCATCTTATCATTTTTGCCCCAGGAGTTGACGGTACCATTCTAATTTTGCACCAATTTTTTATCTTTAGGTATCTTTGAATTTACATCATCCTTCAATCAATATCCATAAGGAAACAAAGCTTGTATCCTTGATATTCATCACATGAAAAAATAATGTGATATTTTTTGTTAGCTTTAGTCCCACAATTTTATTTTCTTTTCTCTTTTTAGACAAAAACTTGGCTCAGTGGCATAGATCTCTTCTATTCTCTTATTAAATGATAAATTATTAAATATAAGAATAGCGTTTGTTGAACAGCAAGCTATTTGACAGCATATCCTTACTATTCACTGGTACAATTGAAATTGGACGTGTTGCCTACTACAGAGCATAGCCAAATAGTATGATATTAGTATAGGGAGTCAAGAGCATGCTAATAAAAGATGCTAAACATGATGTTCAGAAAAGATCTCTGATATACAATATAAAGCTAGTCAAAACTATACAAAATATGCTAATCCATTCCTTTTAAGATCGTACTTTTTATTTCTCTTACTGTGCTGAATCTTTGGATTCAAAATAAAAATAAAAAGGATTTTCTAATATGTATGATAATTTCGGCATCATATTACATTTAAATCTTTACTAGCATTAACACTAGAAATTTTAATTTAATGGGCATTGAAATCACAAATTTTTGTTAATGTCTGTTATAGAATTTGGTGGAACGATTAGTGTCAAAGCTATAACTTCTTTTATTGATAATGGTGGCAATGTATTAGTGACAGCGGGAACACGCGTTGGTGATGCTTTACATGATTTGGCTGCAGAGAATGGTTTCGAATTTGATGAGGATCGAACTGCTGTCATTGACCATTTGAATTATGACACCGTTCTTGTAAGCTTTCAGTTTTAAAAATTGAATTATACTATTTGAATTATGCTGATTGTATCTCTGTTTTGTTTTTGTTTTGTATTTTTGTATTTTGTATTTTGTTTTGCAATTTTTGTATCTCTGTTTTCTGTTTATTTATCTCTGTTTATTTCTGTTTTGTTTTGTATCTTGATTGTATCTGTTTTGTTTTATATTATTTAACAATCTGTTTAAAGAGTTTTTACAATAGATATGTTTACCTACGTATTTTTAGTTTTATTTTTTCATTTTTAATTTTATTTTTTCATTTTTAGTTTTATTTATGCAATTTCTTGGACGTTATTTTGTCATTCATTCTTTTTATCGCAAAAATGTTTTCGATGAAGATAGGAAAAATGGTTTTTTTGATGATCCCGAAAGATTGATGAAGACTCAACTTAATTACAGAATTTGCTGATAAAATAATTATAATTTTCAATAGCATTTGAAAACATGTTTAGGAGTTGCTCATGTTTGTAAGCTTTACTAAATGAATTACAGGATGAAGGAGATCACACGACGATTGTAGCTGATCCGTCAAGCCTTTTATCTGCTCCAATGATTATAGGAAAAACTCGGCAAGTTAATCCTGTTCTATTTCGTGGTGTAGCTTTAATTGCTGACAAGACGAATCAGCTTCGTCTGGAAATACTTTCTGCTTCAACAACTGCTTATTCATTCAATCCTCGTGAAAAAGTTGAAGAAGTATGTTTTTGGATTTTGTTATTTTAATTAAATTATGGAAGTAAAGATGAAAATTGTAAAAGATGTAAGTATTCTCCATAAATATGGGGTAATAGAAATATGTTCTAACCCGTTTGTATGGATCATATTCTTGTTCTATTTCGGAGCCCTCTTAGTATTTGCAGAATGATTTTTTTTTCAATAATGAAAATTGCTACTGTCAAAGATTTGATAACAGTGATATTATTTCCAAACGCATGAAATTTGAAATCTGAAACTTAGATTAGAATAATGCAGTATTCAATTCAAATTTGAATTTAATTGAAATTTTTGTGAATAATTTACTGATTGCAGAGAATTTTCGATGTTTCGAACTTTAAACATTTTTATTGTTTTTTCCTCTCAATTTCAGTATCCGGGTGCTGTGGGGCGTTCAACACTGTTGATTGGTGCTATTCAGGCGCGGAATAATGCGCGTGTTATGTTGACTGGTTCGATTGCCATGTTTAGCGATGCTTTTATGAGTGCAAATGTCAGCAAATATGGCTCGGCAACGAAGTATTTGAATTGTTTTACGACAGCTTTTTCAATTCCATGCCAGATTTGTAATTATTAGTGATCATGATTTTCCTGTGATTCCAAATCAATCTCGTCCATTGCATGATTCTTTGAAAAGACAAACCGTGGGACCAAATTATTTTTTAGGTTAGGTCAGGACTAATTACTCCTAAATATATTTTTCACTTAGCTACATTTGAATATCTGTTTTAGACTTCAGAAAAGTGGAAATTTCGAGTTACTAACTGAATTGAGCAAGTGGGTATTTATGGAGAAAGGTGTGCTGAAAGTAAAGAGTGTTTCACATCATAAGGTATGCTTATTTTTTTTTCGATGTTGTGGAGTTAGTTCAAAAGAGATTAGTTTCATGAAATTAATTTGCTGGATTGAGACTGAACAAACATCTTGTAAACAGAGGACTTTGGACAGGGTTAGTTTTTATTACCTTATTGGATTCAGGTCGGTGAAAAGAATCCTCCACGAGAATATACAATACTGGATAATGTCGAGTATGAGATCGAAATTGAAGAGCTCAATAACGGGAAATGGGAAGCGTTCAGAGGGGATGACGTTCAGCTAGAATTCACTCGCATTGATCCATTTGTTCGAACAACTCTCAAAAATTATAGTATGTTTCCAATTTAATTCTGAGAGTTTGTTTTGGAGCTTTTTTCACAATAATTTTGTTGGCTAGAGTGTTAATAGATTCAATACTATCATACTAGATAGTATTGAATACTAGAGGTGTACTATCATTAACATTTCTGGAATATAGTAAAATGTTCAAGTCAAATTTCGCAGAAGATATCTCGAAGAAAGTCGAATTTACTGAATTCATTGCTTCCATGTACGCAAATTGCTATTATCACATGAAACAATCTTTTGTTTTTCAATATTTTTACAACTTATTTTAGATGGCAAATTGAAAACACAGTTTAAAATTCCTGATGTTTACGGCGTGTTCAAATTTATGGTCGATTATCGTCGCATCGGGTATACACATTTGTTGGATGTGCAGCAGGTAAGCAACAACTATTTTTTATAAAGTAATAACTTGTACTAAGATATCATAGTAATAGTGGGCTTTATTATCTTAAGATCACTAGATATTCTTAGGTTTAGCTGCGGAAGGAAAACATATATGTAAAAGAAATGATGAAAGTATGACCTGTATATTTCAACATGTTATTTAGATATTTAGAGGTTAACATAGGTACATGAAGAGATAAATAACAAAATAAAGAAGGAAATAAGTGAGTGGGTAACATGTCTTCAATTTCCATAGGCACCTGAACAAATGTTGACGTCTTTGGGAATAAAGTTGGATCATTATGAAAGTGTATCGAAGTGTAGAATTTCATTTAGTTTTTTGACCTATTATTTTTAATCTTTGATCCATGATCTGCAATATTTTTGTTCAATTTCAGGTATCTGTTCGACCACTGCAACATACCCAGTATGAACGTTTTATTTATAGCGCATATCCTTATTACGTTTCGGCATTTTCTATGATGATAGGAGTTATTCTGTTCTCGTGTGTTTTCCTCTATCACAAAGAACCATCAAAGGATATAAAGAAGGACTAATCTTGTTTGGCGTGTCCCCTTAATATTTCCTATAAATTTTATTTGTTACGTACGAGTTGATTAGTGGTATAACTTCTACTCATAACTTTCACTTTTGAAATAGATTCTAATGATCCAAGTTTTTGTCTAACATCCAATTTTACTAGAATCATAAAATTTGCTAGAGACATAAAATTTTTGACTGTGGTGGTAATATATAAAGCTAACGGGCTGTCATCTTCTGAATTAATTGATCCGCTAGAAATGTCTCGTTTATTAATACTACCTGATCTTATTACCAAAGTGTTAGAGGCGCTCTGGTAGCATTCATCTAAATAGTAAGCAATGCTGTATCGTGATTCCTCTAGGCTAGTTCAAAAATTTGTTTGGTTATCTGATTTTCATTCTTTTAATTACAGTTGCCTTTCTTTCTGATTTCTTTTTTCACTGTTAATAAATGATTAATATCGTAAATCTTCGACATCAGCTAATAAATATTTGGCACGGAATGATAGAAATAGTAGAATAACTGGACCAATTTATTTCATGGTATTTATTTCATATTTCAAATTTCTATTGGCATATATATTTCTTGAAATTTCGGAAATTTTTATTTTTGCTTTCTTCTCACACATAAAAATGATACATGTGATATTTGGAGAATTAACAAAATACTAAGAATTTATTTTCTAGCAAATTAATTAACACCAAAAACGGAAAAATATTTATACAACAGGACGATGAAAGATGCATTCATATATAGGTAACATCCAATATTTTCATCAAAAATTAGCAAATTTAAATTTAATTTCACAAAGAAAGCATAATTTTTTCCATTCACAAAAACATAAAACAATAAACTTGAAAAAGAAAAGAAAAGAAAAGAAATGAGCGTTATGCAACGGATAAAATTATATATTAGAGGTATGCAACTGTATATTTGATTCATAATTAGATTGGTAATATTTCAATTAAATGATACATTATTTTCCGAATAATACTATAGAATTCTCATTAATTATAAGATGACAAAAGAAAAAAATGAAATTTCATAAAAAATGATTTCGTGATATTCATTTCATATTTACTGATTCTAACAATTAATTACGTAACATTCTTATATCAAGAAGCATCATTATCTTTCCCAACTGAAAAATTGTGAAATTAAAAAATTAAGAGTGAAATAACATAATATTTCATTTTTAATGAATCCTGGGTTCCATCGGGGTACATCGATAATATGTTTAGGTAGTAGTAGTAGTGGATGTATGATCTGTAAGATTCGATTGATGAATTCCGTTGTAATTTTCATTTGGCAATGATCGACGTAATATCTTACGTAATCTTGCAATTTCATCATTTGCTTTATCCAAATCACCAACTAAGATTGATTGTCTGGAAGATAAATTTTTAGAACGGTTAGTTTGATAATGAAAAATTTGATTCATAATTTATTTTTAATTATAGTCAACTTGTACATATAAATATTACAAATAAATATAATTATATTTTCACACACAAAAATACAAATAGTCAAGTTACATACCGTTCTTTTAATTTTTTGATATCTGTTTTACAAGTGAAATTTTGACGCATTAAAACCATTCGTTCTGTTCGTAATTTTTCTACATCATTCAGAAGTTCATTAAGACGTTTTACTTCTTCCTCTCGTAAAGGTACTTGACGATCAACACAAAAACTACACGATACACGATTTGAATGTACTACTTCAGTAGATGATAATGATTCCTGGAAAATATTTACAATCAATATCATACCTGATATATATATATGTAGATGTTAAGAAATTGCAAAAATTCTAAAATTTAAATTTTTGTGAATAAAAATAAGATAATGTCAACAGAAGCTAAAAAAGCATTTCCTGATTACTATAAGTAATAATTAATATCATTAATGATATAACATGGGATCTGAAATTTTTATCTTTCTATCGATATGTAAATTTTTTTTCCCGATAATCTCTTATCTTTATTATTTGTCACTAAAATTTGCATTTTAGAATTTCTTTTTCCAATCAATTTCTAAACATTTTCTTTGTTCTTTATTTTTTGTTCCCAAAATCTCTTTGCTCTTTCCGGAACTTCCGTAGTCTAGAATAAGCTATCGCAGGAAGAAGAAAGAGGAAATCATTACCAATCCGGTATCCGAATCATGTCCCATTTCAGTGCTTTCATTCTCACCACTTGACAAATCCCATTCTCCATGATTGCGCTTGCTGCAAATAATTTAACCCAATTTTTTCCTTTTTTGAAAACATAGTTCACACTATCAATTTAAATTTGAAAATTTCATTGATTGAAAAATTTACTTAATAATAATTTAATGTTAAGAGATGAAATAAAACAATAAATTGGTACCATAAATCGTTAGTTTTCAACGGAGTATTTTGAGACTGAATCGATAGGAAGAATCCGGATGAACTGTCACCACGGCTACCGTATGCTTCATCCGTTTCATTATGATACTCTTGCAACGATCTACTTAATAATTATTACATTTAATGAAAATTTTTTTCTGTTAAAATTAATTTAAAATCTAAAAATATGAAAAATATTTTGGATCCAAAATATTGTAATGAAAATTATGAAAAGAAAGAGAGAAAGGGAAAATAATATCCTAAAAAAGATCGTAAAGAATTTTTGATTTGTTTTTATAAATTTTTTATCATTTCATGCTTTTATTTTTGAAATGAAAAACATAAATTGGTCAATGCGAAAGATTTGCTAAAAATGATAAAACATATTTTATAAAATTTAAAATATTTAAATATATTGAAAAACTTTTGAATTCATTAAGTTTTAATTAATCATCAGAATTAAAAGAAAGAATTTCATAATAAAATGGATGAGTGTTTAGGCATTAGTGATATAGAAGTAATTTAGTAGTATATTTTAAAAAAAATTTCTTTATTCATCAAAGAATTAATTAGTACACACACACACACACACACATACACACACACATACACACACACATACACACACACATACACACACGCACATACATACACATACACACATGCATAAATATATGTAATAAATAAATGAATCCAAACTTTTTAAATTCATTAGAAGAAATCCGTTGCTGATTGCTACTTCCAATTCCGCTGACTGATGTTGTGGAGTTTCTGGAAATTGATTCACCACAACTGAATGATTTTCGATCAGCATTTTTTGGACTATTTAAGGTAGTAACTACTGGATTTCGTACCGATGAAGATGCTGTCACATCTTGCGATACTGATCGTGACCTGTAAATTGGCATTGAAACAAATTTTATTCAATTATTTTCAATCATTTTTATTTAATTTAAAAAACAAAAAAAAAAGATTAAAATGAAGATAAATTGTTAATGGTGGGTGGAAGGAAGGAGGAAATTTTAAATTTTATATATTTTAAATAAACAAAATTATATTTATATATACAATCTTACCTTCCGGTTAATGCTTTTTTAACAGAATGAAAGATCCCTATTGGATGTGAAATACTGTCTGTTGTTTCCAATAATGGTAAACCATAAAATTGTGCTCGTTCTTTTAAATTTCCATAAAGTGCTTCTAATAATGACGAACGTGTTCGCTCCTTTGAAAGAAGAAAAAAATGTAAGAAAAATTTTTGATAGAAAATTTAAGTACCAATTTAGGTTAAGTATAATTAGCAGTAATTAATAAAATCCTAAAATTGCTAAATATTTGATATATTTTTTCGAACAACAAATTTCATGCCGACTTTTTGAAAATACTTTATGTCATAAGTCAAATAATAATGCAACCTTTCTTTTTACTGATAATATGATAATAGCAGAAAGCATTTAAAATTTTTGATCGATAGGTTAAGCAAATAATTGCATTTTTTGAATTTTGAATTTTTTGGGCAATTTGATTTTTAAGACAGATTTTAAATGAAAAAATTTTAGTAAAGCTTACGGCAAGTTTAGCAAATTTCGTTGATTTATATGCAGCATTTTCAGCATTGATTAATTTGGTGAGCAGAAAATTGCGGAATTCTTGACCTTTCCGAAAAATGGATGGTGCCGGTAGAGTTGGTCCAAAAAATGGGACATCATCGCGTGCTGTTACAGATACCTGAGAGAAAAAAATATGATAAACATAAACGAAATAGCAAAAGTTATGAGAAGATATCGAAATTTGAAATGATGATAATGAAATGATAATGATAATGATAATGATAATGAAAAATCAAATCGATATGTAGGATTTCAATTTTGGAACATAGCTAAGTAAGTTTAGAATTTTTTATGATTTTTGAAAAGTTTTAAACAAATAAACTTACACGATAGCGAGCTTTTTCAGTGCATGGATCAATTGGCTGAATTACAATAAATGCATGTAAAAAATTACTCGCTATCATATCAGCAGAAAATGGCGTATTCTGTTCCTGAAATCCATTTTTAAATATTTTTCAATTATTATTATAATCTTTGATTGTTAAACGAATAATTAAATGCATAAAAGTAATCCTCTTGAATAATTTAGCTTTTATTTCCTTTTTCTTGCTTAAAAGAATATAAATAATTTAAAAAGCAAATTGAAAAAATAAATAACCTGGAAAACGATCGCAACAATATCATTTCCAATATGTCGTTTTCGCTGTAATTGTTGAGCATCACCAACTGTATACGGTAACATGGTAGATATATGAAACATAATTTCGCGTTGTCGAAATTGACAATAAACTGATTCGATGCCTGTTTGGCCATGCTGCGTATCCAGTCCACCACGATAACCCTTGAGAAAGTACATTATAATACCAATAATAGAAATAATACCAATAATAGAAATAACAATGATAATAATAATGATCATAATAATAACCGTAATAATGTTTATAATAATATTATTAATTATGAAGACAAAATTAATAATGATTATATATTTTAGTTAGTGAATTATTTAACAAATTATAATAAATATTTATTACCATTTAGCATTAATAATTACTCATTTAATAGATTTTTTAATTGGTAATTATACTAGCAAGTATTTGCATTAATAAAATAAGAAATTTCAACAGATACAAAAAATATTGTCAACAATGATTTAGTACCAAAAGACATTACTTCAATTCTTGGATATGAGTAAAAAACAATTAAGTATTTAACATGTAAATAATATATGGACTGCTTCCGTCAAAATCTTTGAGAATAAAATCGGATCAGTTAAAATTATTTACTTTCTTAAAGTAATCATTACGATAACTATTCATACAGCATAAAACATTAACAAATTCACACATGAAATTATTAACCTTGAAATCCCTGAGTTCTATTCGTTCACCAATAATATTTAAAAATTCATCGAAAGCATTTGAAAATGTAGCATTTCCGAAAAGCTCTTCTTCGGTAGTCTGTAAATGAAAGTTGAATTTTACAATAACAAAAAAAAGCGATTGATCAATTAGTGATTAATTAGTAATCAATTAGTGTTAATTGCATATTATTTTATATAATTTAGAAATTATTGAATTTATACGATTTCTTTTTTCTCGCGAAATAAAATTTACTTTTTCTTGAAAATAAAATCAACTGATAAAATTAATATCCCTGATTAGAATTTCGGAAAGTTTCATTCCATACTTTACCTGTCCGAATCGTTGATAAATAACCCCAAATTTGTAAGTATTAGTCAGAACATGCTCATCATATTTTAAAATCATTTCGGTACCGCCCGGAAAAGCTACTGGAATAAATCGATCCGTTGTTACTTCATCACACAACAACCGTGCCATTCGACTTGCAGTTGGTCGATCTGCTAAAGCTAAAAAATAATTCATTCATTGTAAAAATATATATTTTTTCTTGTTTATTCTTTAATATGTTTGCATGCAGCATGCAGCATGCTATATTATACGATTTTATTAGCATGCAACATTATACGATTTTATTAGCATGCATTAAAAAACGAAATAAAATCGATTTGTATTATACTACAAAAATTATTTTACTACTAAATAACGCAATAAATGTAACAAATGCAATTCAACTTTTTTTAAAAATGATTACCAGAAGCAGGAACAATTTCATGTACAGTTCCATGTCCGGTTCGTAACATAATCCTAAAATGCTCCTGCGAAGAGATTAGTTCCGTCCGTGCTGACAACACCAATGGTCCTAGTTTGTTGTCAATTGCATAGAAATCATGATGCTCCTAAAATATATTTATTTATTTATTAATGATTCATACTGTAATATTTGTATTCCTGCATATGCCAAAATATTTAAATTCCGAATGTGTCATTATGATATTTATGCTTAAAATGTAAGCTAAAAAAAGTAGATGAATAAAAAATAAATCTAGAAATAGATGAAATTTTGCAACAAGTAAAATTAGACGAAATAATTTAGTAGGTGCAACACTATATATTTGACAAAACGATTTAATACGTCTAACTTATTCATTAATTAATTTATTTCTAGAGCTATTTTGCTTAATTTGACTGCCAGACCATCTATTTAACTTCAATGATTTTAGATAATTAATCTATTAATTAGCTTATTTGCAAAATTTCACTTTATTTATTTCCAGTTGATATATAATTACAGCACACTTTACTAGTACTGCAAATTATTATAAATATCTTAAAAAAAATATGATAATTTATTTACCTTCATTTAATTTTAATGACTAGATAATAAATTTACTAATTTGTTTATTTGCAAATTTTCACTTTATTTATTTCCAGTTGATATGAAATTACAGCATGCTTTATTGATACTGTAAATTACTATAAACATTTTTTAAAGCACGATAACATATTATTATAATAATTTATCATTTCATTTCAAGACAAAAATCTTAAAACAAAAAAAAAGATAAGAATTGCTAAAGATAATTAGGAAATAATTAATATTACCCTGCCGATAAAATGCCGCCTATAGCAATGCGACGTGTCATCAGTTTCTAATTTTGTTCGAGCACAACTACTGGTAGCTGGACAACATCCAACAACTTCATCATCGATATTAATTGTACAATTACTTACACCATCCAACCAATAACCACCACCGGCTGGTAGAACAATTTGTGGATATGGTCCCGGATGTTTTAAAATCTAAAAATTTTCATAAAAATATTATTTAATTTCATTCATCCATATGAGTAGCTAAATTTAAATTGAATAATCAGATTTTTTTCTTGATGGAAAAAATAGAAGCAAAAGTATCAGATATAAACAAAAAAATTTACTACCATTGCTTAAAGTGCCGTTATTTCCATGAAAACAAAGATTTCAGCATTACTTAAATTTTTGTAATTAAAATTAAAGTAATTCAAAAATTAAAACAATGGTTTGAAATTGATATTGTTTGCATTAAACCGCATTGCTGACACGAATTTTGAATAACTTTCTCATCTATTGAGAAAACAAAAATTGAAAATAATATCAAAGGTCAAATCACTGAACTGAAAATGACATCAGAAGCCAAATGACCTCCACCTATTTAATTTCAGCAAAAGCAAAATATTGATTAATGCAAAATTTCAACATACCTCCTTGATAGTATCTCGGGTCTGCATAATCCAACCATTTCCATTACATTGTTGAGTTGTTGTATTATTCTAGAATCGTGAATTCGATTATATATTAGAGAATACTCAAAAAATGAACAAAAAAAAGCTAAAACATCGAAATTGTGCCATTCAAAATGTCAAATGTCAAATGTCAACATGCCATCAGATATTGTCATACTTACTTTAAAAATTTGCATAAAATTGTGAATAAAAATTGTTTGTATATGATATCATCTCATTTACCTTATTTATAGTATATATTTTAGTCATATCATATTATTAATTTATTATCATTTTTGATAAGTAAGTATTGAGGAATTTATAATATATATATAATTTAAAATTTGTATAATTTAAAATAACACAACGAATGAATAAGTTATTCGACCATTAATTTCTTTAATTGTATTGTTTTCTCTTTTAAATGCATTTATAAGAATTGAATAATAATTTTATAATTGCCACATTAATTACCAGTTTAATTATTCACTTCGCTTAATTGTTTTCTGCTATATATA